AATAGATTGCTGCCATATATGTGAGACGTAAGCGAGCAGGTCACCAGTTGATCCCTGATAACAAAAGCCATATTGCCTATTGTTGATACTTTAATATTCCAGGTATTTCATGAGCTCGATGTTGATAGCTTCCTCCATGATCTTTGAAATAATAGATAGCAGTGCAATCGGTCTGTAGTTGTTAGGTAGGGTCTTTTTACCTCTTTTAGGAACTTGGTTGTACTCTTGCAATTTTCCAGTTCGACGGGAATATCCCGAATTTGTGAGAGTAGTTGAACAACTTGCAGAGACCAGATGTTAGTTAGTTAGTTAATATGCATTGGAAATTGACCTTGAGCGGTGATGAAAAATGTGTTTTGTAGGTCACCTGCACAAAACCGTATTATTTGTTTCTTACTATCTATTTTTACGTATATCATATTTCTGCATATCTGAATTCATGCATATGCATCAGGATCAGAGTATCTCATGGTTTTTCTTTTAGTTTCAGATTATAGTGATCGTGTTTTGCGTCGACTTGGCTACCAGAGAACCCTACAAACTGCTCAAGTTCTGCATCCGCCTCCAAGATAAGATTCCAATTGGTTCTAGAGAATACGAGAGAGTAGAAATATTCAAGGAGAGAATACGGGAGATGTTGCCAAAATTCACTGCGGCCAATTTCTTTCAAATCACCCGTTCCACCATATTATCGGTTATAAGTGTCATCACTACTTATTTCATTGTCGTCGTACAATTTTATTTAACCTCTAAGAACTAGACTAATGATGAATCTGGCATTATACATCAATTTGATTGCACGTGATGCTATATATTCTCTTCTTATTTCTTTATTATTATTATTATTCGAATCATTTGTTCTTTCTAGATTTATGATTCAATGATAGATATAGATCATCAGTAACGTCAGGGAATATTGACGGTTTTTTCTTTTCAAATGACAGTGATATTTTTCCAATAATGTATGACAAGTCGACTTTCGGACGAAATTAGTTAAAATAGATATAATACCGAGTTGAAAAAAACACATATTTTCGTAAAATTTTGAGATGTATCATGTGGCACATTCATCAATATTGAAACTCACGTAGAATGAGCATCACTTCTTTCATAATTATTATGTCTGGTATAGGCACATTTAAAGTTATACATAGTACAGTAAAGTCATCGGGGATTATGGAATACAGTTTTAATTTTTTGAGTTATTTCGGAAAATACCTATTGAATAAAATATGAATTTGAAATGATAATGGTGTGGCCAAAAGATTCATTACAGCAAGTTATGATACCAAACTCAGATAAATATAAACAATGAAATAATATTTTGAATTATTTAACAATATACTACATTTCTGTTGGCCGAAAAAATGCTGGGGTTGTATGGAATACCTATAGCAGCTATATCTGATGTCTACTAACGACAAAAGATGGAAAAAGCATGAATCTTAGGCTTTGTATCCATCACTATTCATATCCACTATATTGGATGGAAGAATGGATAAATCCATTCTTCTGCTGCTAACTGCTCTCACTGACCTTTTTCCATCTTCTTAATGCCACTTCTTACTTTGAGGAATTGTGGTTCGCATTGTTTTCATTTTGTTAATATTTCGAAGTGTTAAATAATTAAGTCAGGTAATATGGAATACTATTCCATAATTGCCGCCTATATTACTTCGGAGGTTGAATAGTTTGAATGAGCGCTATCTCTACGTTGGGCATTCCATCTACTCAACACAAAAATAATATGAGATGCAATCACTTCCAAATGTGTTTGAAATATGAATTTGATAAACTCACCTGAAAATTTCGTGAGCACCGAAATTCCATCAACTATCAAAACTGTCAGAAGAGATATTATACTATATAAAATTGGAATAGATTTCGCTTGTAGTTTTGTCAAAAATAGGGTATTCCATATTACCGTATATATTTCATAATCCTATATTATTTGAAAAATTATATATGAATAGTTTGGTTTGCCACAATCTTCATGCAAATAAAAATGTATAAATATTTCTGTCTTTCAAATACACCACCATTATTTCTCGATCTTTGAAATGAGAAGTCGTTTTCTTCCTATTGGTCAATAATAAAATTTGTTTACAATCAATATTATGTACATGTCTCACAACTAACGGACCCCCTTCTATATCTCATCTGCTATTAATCGAGCGAGACTATTGTACTGGTATGAATATCATCAGAATATCCTATAATATGATCAGTTTTTCGGAGACGATTTTATAGAAATAAAAATAAAGGGGTCGATTTTTCATAAACCCCATTAGGATTTTTTTCGTATGGAAAACTAACTTCATAGAATTGTTTATTATGCATTTTAATCTCCATATGCAAAAATTCACCTGATTCCGAGTTACTATCACGGTCGTCTTTATTTTTTAATTCTATATTAAATATCGAATTCAAAAAGTTATGAGAAATCAAATACACTTATTAATTTCCTTTATTCCTCCCTGCTTGTTTATTAGGAAAACGAGGCATCCCTTTCTATATAGAAGGAGAGCCTGAAGGAAAAAAAGGATTGTTCAGGTTCCCTCTGAATCCGAGAGATTTCTTATATCTTTCTGAACATCCTATATGTATACAGTGCTGTGGTCATTTAAGTGTGCAACATATGGGAATCTTTTTAATGAATTGCACAACCAAAATACAGATAGTGCCAAAAGTTGGTGCATGTTCGGTAATCATTTTAGGTGTACTCAGAATGGTTGCAAGTCACACAGCATTCAGGGTAGGTCAGAAAATATAAAAATTGCTCAAGAGTAAAGTACCCTTATTCAAGAAAATTCAGCAGAATGATATTGAGAAAAGTTGTTTACAATTGAAAGTTATGCCTAAATACCAAAAGATGGCCTCCTACGCCATTTTTTTGTTTTTCAATTTTGTTCGTTAATAATTTCCGACTTTGTAATATTTTAAATACAAAATGTTCACATTAAATGGAAGTTTTTGAATATGCATATTATCATTAATGATGTTTTACTCTGTTAAAAATATGGTTTGCGAAAACTTAAAGTTAAGCTGAATATCGTTGCAATAACAAACATAAAGTTTGTGATTTCCTAAAAAAATTTAAATCCAAGTTAATTTCACAAATATGTTTGAATTTGAATGAAGGTATGCTCAACTGATTTTGTAAAGATTAACTTATGAAAGTATTCAAGGTAAATATAAAAAAAATTACAAATTGGGAAATTATTCACGAGCACAATTGAAAAATCAAAAAATGTCATAGGAGGCCATGTTTTGGTATTTAGGCATAACTTTCTATTGCAACTTTTCTCAATAACATTTTGCTGAATTTTATGAAATAAGGGTACTTTACTCTTGAGCAATTTTTATATTTTTTGACCTACCCTGTATGCTGTGTGACTTGCAACCATTCTGAGTGCACCTAAAATGATTACCGAACATGCACCAACTTTCGGCGCTATCTGTATTTTGCTTGGGCAATTCATTAAAAAGATTCCCATATGTTGCACACTTAAATGACCACACGTATAAAGAATATGTGTTTTCGTTCGATAATAATAAGTTACTTTCATTGCTGCACTAGTCACTATAATATGATGATTACCTATGTATACATGTATGTATACTTTCCGTACTTATATAAATAATATCCAATAACCTAATGAGCTCAATGTATTGTTAGTACCTAGTACATTAGATCAATATTCCTAGAACTAGAAAATGTCAGTAGGAAAGAAATCGTTCAACTGTTAATGTGAAGATGAAACATAGTCGACAAAATATGCTGTTCCTCAAACCATTAGTTAGATTTGCAAATGTCTTTGGTATTTTGCCGAACTACAGCTTCAAAGACCATGATCTCATCAGCGAAACATTCCATGTTTGGTACTCGATTATTTTGATTATGGGAGCAATTGGATCATCAGCTCATCTAGTGTACCAGAGGAGCAAAAATATTTATCCATACTTCAACTCGATATTTGTGTTTCTTGATGTAACCAATGAAATTGTTGCTTTTCTGGCCTTTTTCCTCTCTGCTTTTCAAGCTATCATTAGCAGACACCAATGGAAGGAATTGTTTCATCATTTTGAATATCTCGATAGCAGGAAGCCATTGACATTGACAGAATGCCCAAAAAGTACTTGTATTAAGAATGCAACGTTACTGTTGATGCTGGACATATGCTCATTGTTACTAGTTATATGTTTGGGAGTAGCAATTGGTGAAGATATTCTAACTGATTTTTATAACTACTGGAATTTGTACATATATTACTTTGCTTTTGCTGCACAGATACACGTCATCAGCAACATCTTCATTTCCATCAAACTCAGATATCGAATTATAAATGCTGTGGTGATGAAAAACGTTGATAGAAGTAGCGTTATACAAAAAATGGATGGAGTTTTACAGTTTTATTCGATTATGAGCAAGATAGTGAATGTTACAAACAGCTACTTCGGAAGTATAATCTTGATATTTTTGGCATATACTATATTATCAGTGATTACCATAATATCGTTTCCAATTGCATTATCTTCGTCTATAGCCAATAGAACTACATATTCTGATCTCCTTATGTACTCTTCATGTCAAGGAATTTTAAGCATCGTAAGTATAATAGATATTGAAATTTGCCTTCAAAAGAAATAGCACGTGGTGACGTTGGGACGGTTCTGGTTCTGAATTCGAAGAAAACAAAGACAAAACTTTGAATTAGTATATTGTTTAACGAGCACGGTATGATAGAGATTTCCTACGAGAATGATGTTTGAAGCATGAGCCATAGGCGAATGCTGCAATCATTTGAGTAGGAAATTAGCATTCCATTAGTTATACATTATTATTTTTCTACGGCTATGATAGATAACAGCGGCATCTTCGATTTCTTCGTCTTGTAGTCATCTGATTTCCTGTCAAGTAATGCTCATCTATTAGACAAAGCTGTCATTGCTTGAAATTTGACATAATAGAGTCATTGTGATATCAGAAAAGGGAATAACATTGAAGACATACAAAGTACCTCATTGATGTATCGAACACAGTAAAACAAGTGAGGTACGTAGTTTTTCAAAGGTATCAGATTAGTGTAGATGTATAGTTTTCATTAGGTATTAGATTAGTATAGAGGTCAGATAATTTATACGACGCTATAAAAGCAGATGATATTTTATCATTGCTCATGTAAGATGGAAGTAGAGGCCATGGCACCATATCATGAGTATATTTTTATATTGAAACTATCATTGGGCACCAAAGATGTGTATACGACGCTATGAAAGTTCAGAGAACTGGAGATTTTTCCCACAAACTACGTAGTTAGCCCACTCGACTGTCTTGGTTTTTCCACACAAACTACGTACCTAGCCCACTCGACTGCCAATAGGGACTAAAAAAACAAAAACAAAAGAAAGTTAAAACAATGCCAACATATTTCTTCTTTGTGGGAAATCAAGACAGTCGAGTGAGCTAGGTACGTAGTTTGTGGGAAAAAATCAAGACAGTCGAGTGAGCTAGGTACGTTGTTTGTGAGAAAAAATCAAGACAGTCGAGTAAGCTAGGTACGTAGTTTGTGGGAAAAAAATGAAGACAGTCGAGTGTTTACTTTCTTTTGTTTTTTGTTTTGTTTTCTATTGGTAAGTGATTATCTAGGAACTTGTAAATTTTTCAGTTTTTTCATCGTATCTCCCGAACTATCGAATTCAGAGAAAAATGTTATACGGATTTTTTGTAGATTCCATCAATAGAAATAATTTTGATTCCATAACATTTTCAGATATTTCCAGTTGTTTTCGAGATATTTGTTATTATCTGAGAATAAAATTTTCAACACTTTTGTTCCATCTTCCAATCAAAAAAAGGAGAAAATATTTCATGTTTCTGTGGAAGTCGATGAGCTTCATCCATCGATAATCTTTGTTTTTCAATATATCTTCATGGTACCCTATGGGTCGTTCAAATTTTTTTTTCATGTTTTTTACTTTATTTCTTGTACTATTGGGTTTACAGAAAAAATTATGGGTAATAATTTGTAGGAAATGTTCCAATGGATAACTTTGCACTCCTGATAATTTTCGATTTTTCCATTTGTTTTCGATAGATATTGAATTGGAAGGATTTCAAATTTTGATGTTTTGATTTTCATTTGTTTCTTCATTTTCCGATGGATGCACGAAAAAATGGTGATATAATAATTTGTTGCGTCATCAAAGAGGCATACGGTGCATTTTTCAAATTTGGATTTAGTCTATTGGTTCAGGAGATATGTCGTTTTAAAGCGAACCGTGTGTTTCGGAAAATCTCCTTGAAAAACCCCCTTGGAATTTTCCGACCCTCCTCAATTTCAATGGGCTTCGTCTCTCCCTGATAGAGTTTTCTTTCACAAAAAATGAAATCGATCGGACCACTTTTGCGATTTGTAGAGTGGTTACAAGAAACTTCCGGTGAAAAATCGAAAAAAAAACGGAAAAACCACCTTAGAGTTTTCCGATGTCCTTCATATTCAAATGACATGATATTGTTATATATGAGTACAATAAGATGGCGAAATTTCAAATCGATATGTCAAAGGGTTCCGGAGATATATCGATTTATGATTACCACGGGAGTACAGACAGACAGACAGACCACACACAAAAACCAAAGTTGCTCAAAATTCGATGGGGATCATTTTCTCCAAAGTAACTATACCTGCTCTATATCTCGCTTAGTTTCTGAGATAGAATTTTTGGCAAGGCCGTAGGTGTTATAGCCGTAGAAAAGAAAAAATTAATTTCCTGATTTTTTTACTCCCCGCATCATCCGTATGTTGCATGAAAAAGAATTTCACAGAAATCTGAAAGTCAGTCAGGATTTCACCTGAATGAATATAAAAAATTGAGAGCCAACCTGAAACAGGAAATTAAACGAGAAAACAAATCTTACATACTTCATAGGTCAAGACACAATGTTAATCAGAGATACAAATGAAATTTCCGGTGGCTTTGCTGAATATTTTAAATCAGTATACAAACAGAACCCACCCAGCATATGACTCGACCACATAACAAGAACAATGCTCAATCATTTAACTGATGTTCCTCATTTGAATTTCAACGTAATTTACATGGACATATTTTCAATGCCTTCAAGAAATTAAAACCAAAATTCTCGGCAGGGCCGAATGAGATTCCAGGGAATATCTATAAAGCTTGCCGTGACTACTTGACATACTCCTTGCTAGTTAAATTCCAAAAATCCCTCGATTCTTACATTTTTCCTAATTGATTTAAATCTGCAAAATCAACACCTATCGACATGATATGTGTGCAACAGCACCGATTTTGTACAAAAAAAATGTATTGAAACTAATTTTTTATATTTTACAAATTTTGCCCAAATATTTGACAAAGTTGACTATGACATATAGCTAAAAAAAATTGTCTCCTTTGGTGTGAGTGATGCATTGTTAGAATTGTTTTCAACATATTTGCGGGATAGATGGCAATATGGAATCAAGACTGAATCCTATTTGGCTAAGTCAGGTATACCACAAGAGTCAAACTTGGGCCCTCCTCTTTTCTTATTATTCAGTACATCAGGATAATCCACCATAGCCTGCTTTCTTTCTATAAACTGATGAATAACCATGTATACTCTCTAGAACTCCTGCATCAAATATCGAACCCGACCCAGACGCCTTACTTTTTTTGGTAACACTACATATACTCTTGAATTATTGTGCCAATTATACAATCGATACTATCTCGAATATAATCTGGATATATTCAGATCGAATCATTCAGAATAGCCGTTTTCGAAATAAAAAGTGAACACTAAGTTCGTTTTGGTGCTGAGTCGTCAGCATGTCAGACCAGTCCTCCCGTTTGATTGCATGAATCCAATCTTCTTGCATTCTTTTAAAAATTTCACGAGTATTTCTATTAACTCCTATTGCAAAAGGAGTTCCGATGAGAAATCAGAAAAATCACCAGATTTCAAAATGGAAACTATATGTGAGTGACTAATTGGCTTTAGTAGGTACTTACTTCCATTGAATCATAATGTACCAACCGGATTCCTTTGTCTCTCGCTGCATTGTTTGTGCATTGTAACAACAGCACAATGTGATGGCATGCGCGAATTAATACAACCCTGGGCTGACGCCTCGGAACTTTTTGTTCAACTTATGTTCATTTCAGATTAAACCATTAGTGGTGATATTCTTCATAGATCTAGCGACCAGGGAACCCGAAAAGCTGGTCGAATTCTGTAACTCACTCGAACGTAGAATGGCTTCTGGATCTCGAGAACATGACAGAGTTCGAATCTTCAGGAAGAGAATCAGAGAACATCTGCCTGAATTCACCGCTGCAGGTTTCTTCATCATAACTCGTACCACGATTTATAACATCATCGAAGTTGTCGTTTTCCTGTACATAGTTGTTGTGCAGTTTCATTTGACCTCGCATAAACAAAATATTTCTGTGGCGGTTGGTTTCAATGTGACTTCAAGTACCTACTCAGATCATAGACCCAACTAACTGGAGATTCATTTGTTCCAGATCTCAAATTGGAAAGAATGAACAGATTAACTGAACTGCTCAACACATGAAACGTAAAATCGCATTTTTTCGATCAAATTTGGATCATCATAACGTTCGATGTCCTCAACCGATTTTCAATTATTTTTCAGTTTCTGAAGGCTCATTTCATTGACTATCGAACCTATGGATATGACTATTTCATCTTCCACAGATGTGATTCTACAGGATGATAATCAAAGCTGTGCATTTTTCCAAAAATTTCGAACGCCTCCCGCTAGAAAGAAAAATGTTTCTATTCATTTTTGGGGTCAAAAACATATTGCTTCATATGTTTTCTCGATACTGTAAAGAACTTTTTGGAATTGTCACACGCGTTACTGAAATATGCATGTTTTGTTAAAATAATGCATAATTTGCCGACATCGACATTTGCCCGCTATTCTCGGCATGGGCCCGACTTTCAACCGCCTTTCGATGTTTGCTGGGATGTCTCGGCAGCAACTTTTTTCATGTAGACGACATGTATATTTCTTCAGTCTATCTCATTTCTCTTGAAATTATCTTCTGAAAATCTATCATAAAGTGAGAACGACGCTCTGAAAATCCGGTTGTTCTAACAATTCCAGTGGTTTCCAATAGATTCTGTAGCAACTTAACATGGTGATGACACCTCTCCTACACGCTTTGATCGCTAGAAAACTTCTCAATCGGTTTTCTGCTTCGAAATTTTCTTTTATCACCTGATGTCATAATTGTTGTTTGAGAACCACCTCGTATATAAGAATAGGTTGACCATGCATCATTCCAAGATTTTTGACCATCGTTCGAACCAGATTGACAGGAACACAAAGCCAACAGAAATTAGAGCATCAAATAATGCATTATCTCAACAAAACATTCATATTTCAGTAACACGTGTGACAATAACTCCAAAAAATTTTTCACAGTATCGAGAGAACATATGAAGCAATATGGTTTTGACCCGAAAAAAAAAATAGAAAAGTTTTTCTTCCTTACGGGAGGCGTTTGAAATTTTTGGAATAATGCACAGCTTTGATTATCATCCTGTAGAATCTCATCCGGAAAAGATGAAATAGTCTAGAGAGCTCATTATTTTTTTTACCTTGTTACATTCTCACTACTGAGATCAACTGAGACGGATCTGAGTTGTCGATTGAATAAAAAGAACACGCTTTTATCTGTCTGAAAGGGCAAGGGAAGAAAACATAACCCAACATAATTCAACCAAAATGTAAAATGACTGGGGAAATTAATGAGGAGCATAGAAGTATTGTTTTAGTGAGTATTCAAAGGATTCAAGCTGTGGACTGAAACTTTAAAGCTGAAAGCATGTCAAAATGAAAATATAACCTCACAATTTTCAGCACAGAACCACAGAATTACTAAAATTAATCCAGTCTCACCTTTTTCTTACTACCACACCAGATGAATAGCAAGTTCAGTTGGGGTGAGGGGATGCCGACATAGGGAAAAAATAATACGACAATATGGCTACTGATTTCAAATTTTCCATCCTTCACTTTCTGTTCTAATAGATTCAAAAAGTACCTCTCATTTTGGTCCCAATTTTGTTGAGATTTCATATAGGTCATGCGCCATATATAGAAATAGTACATATATGGGGGCCAAGCTAGAATGGTCAAGCTCTACTACCAATTCAATTCTTAAATTGACGGAGAGGAAGATACCTTATGTTTCGATGGCACGGTTTTTTTTGTATGTTCTGGTTTCCCACGAAAAAGGAATTCTTGTAATGTTCAGAGAACATCGTGAGAACCAAGGGAAATGAAGTAGGAATTGGTGTTCTTCTTGAATTTCTGGAGGTTATATGCCTCGGGGAACACCTCCCTTGGCAATGTGTTCCAGAGCCACGCTGTTCGTTGAATGAACGAGTCTTTGGAAAGAGATGTTCTGCAGGTCTCCAAAGTGACCACGATCGAGTGTGAAGCCTCAATTCGTCGGGTTAATCTCGCGGGGACTGCCAAGGGAGGAACAATTGTTGATATTTCAGAACAGTACTCCAGGACAGGTCGGATCTGTGCCTATAGATCATAAGCAGCTGACTGGAAGTGAAATAATAATGTTAGGTTAGGTGTCATTGAATCATTAGGTTTGTGATCGATGTATCTTCATCAACTATTTTTTTGTGTACTTCTGCATATTGTCAATGACCTATCACGAACCCATACAAATTCAAGATATGTTGTCGATAGATGGGATATACATAGCACTTTTAAATTAGAATTATGTGAATTTGAGTTAATTGATGTATCACGTGAATAAAAGTATTATGAAAAAAAAAGTGTGCTAAAATTGAATGTAAGATATATCTGATGATGATTATGTGTCCTATATCATAGTCTCCGCGGAATATAAAAACTACCACAGCATCTTGTATTTTAGGTCGTTCCAGGAAAATTATATCTACCAAGATTCTTATAAAAAGGAGTTACCCAGCTAGAAGATTGATAAACGCCGTCTCTGTTGGCGGTCAGTCATTCATGTAAAATTTCCTCGAGCCCTAGTCACAGTTTACAGAAAATACTAGCTGAGACAGCTATGAAATCAAGTGATTTTGATCGAATCAAACCATGCAAGGAATATATTTGAAGAACCTATAGATGAACAATTATCGAAATTATAATAAGAAATAATATTTCAGAGCATGACGTGTGCGTTGTTAAAACAATGACACGAACAAATTTCCATTACTATAAACATCATACACTCATATAGATTAATTTCATTTTCATATTTAGTATGTCGAGTATTTCAGTTCAATCAATATGGCACGGCATGGTCAGACCATATCATTTCTAGAACCTCTCATAGCCAGGATCGCAATAGTCTTCTGCATCTTACCAAGCTATAGTTTTCAACAACACAATTCGACATCAAAGCATATATTATTCAACTGCTACAGCTTCATTTTCACTGCAACAATATCAGTGGCTGTGGTTTACATGTTTTATTTGCGGGTACAATGGTTGTATGATGCCATGCACCCTGTAGTGATATTTCTAGAAATTGGTAGAGACTCTGTCGGAATTGTGTTGATTCTCTTCTCAGCTTACAGGTCTACTATCCAGAAAGACAAGTGGTACCAACTCATAGGATATTTCAGGCAACTTGAATCACCAAAAATAAACAGATGGATCAGTCGAAGCCATACCAAATCATCGATTTTCAGTAAGCCAAACTGTTTGTTTGTCATCAACGTACTGGTGTTTATACTGTTGAATGTATCCAAAGCTGCTTACCTAGCTTCGATCGATTATGCGAGGTATTGGTATTTTTACTGGTTCTTGAATTTCGTGGAACACATAGAACTGGTACATTTCCATATCTTGTACAACCTGTTTCTGTGTGTCAACTATCAAATGGGGATTCTCACGGAGATACTGAGTCTTAAAGGAGATATTCAGTTTCTGATGGAAAAAATCAAGGATGTTCATCAACTGATTGACAGAATACTTGAAACCATGAACGATTTCTTCGGATGGACGGTTTTATTGATATTGACGCACAGAGTGTTGAGAATTTTATTTGCCTTAACCATGCCGATGTCACCATCTCCTGTTTTTATAGGAAGAGAGATACAAGAGCATACCTTATTCTATCACTACAATATTCTAGTTGGTTTATATTCACTGGTAAGTAGAGCAAGCACCCAAAATCATTGATCGAATAATTGGCTACTTCATAATGATTTTTTCCAACACGCAAAAAGTACAGGCCTACTTTGTTGGATTTGGCAACAATTCAAACAAAACACAAGCATGCCATTTATCTACAAAAACCGATCTCACTGTGCCCAACATAAGCTTGTCAGGAGTAACCATACCTTTAAAGGCATCCATTTCGATGCTTGGTATTCCTATCAGCAATAACCTTTCTAGTGAAAATCACGTGAGGTCAATTATTGCTAAAAGTGCATCCCAAAAACTTGGTTTTCTGTTTCGGGCCAGAATCCGACCTGTCCTGGAATACTGTTCCCATATTTGGAGTGCAGCACCCAAATATACCCTGAAACTGTTGGATTCTGTCCAAAAAGGGGCATTTCGTCTCGTGAGTGATGCCCCGCTCACAAACTCACTAACTTCTCTGGATTACCGTAGAAAAGTTGCCGATCTGGCTCTTTTTTTTAGATATTTTCATGGACGATGCTCATCTCTGAAATATCAACAATTGTTCCTCCCTTGGCAGTCCCCGCGAGATTAACCCGTCGAGTTGAGGCTTCGCACCCCTTCGTCGTCACTTTGGAGACCTGCAGAACATCTCTTTCCAAAGACTCGTTCATCCAACGAACAGCGAGTCTAAGACCAATTTAAAAATGTTAAAATCGTAGCCATATTGGTTCAATAAGTTTCGTATTATTTTTCCCTACGTCGGCATCAACGCCTAATCGCGATAGAAAATAACACGTCACCCCACCTGACGACAGCTACTCGAACACTTCTGAGCGACTTGATTTGATTGTATGACCAATAAGCATGAACAAAAAACAAATGTGAACCAATGAAAACAAAGTAAACACGCTGCTTTGATAGCTTTCAAGGACTCCGATAGGTGGCGTACGCTTATTTTCTATCACGAATTGGTCCTATAGAGACAGAAGTTGGTCAAGCTATGCTTCATAATTATTATGAGTAGTTGATATATGGTTATAATCGCTGAAATGTGTTAATTGTCTGGTTGTTGCTATTCTTTGCTTCTGCTTTCAAAATGGCAGTGAGACTTTCTTTCATTGTTATATTAAAAAAACAACGTATTGGAAAAAATCATATATTCAAGTCAAATATTCTCATTGCATAAATAACAATTGTTTTAGTTCGAAATCATTGTGATCGTTTTTTGCATCGATTTGGCAAATATGGGTTCCGGAAAGGTCATAAGGTCATGCATAAACCTACAGCGACATCTATGTGTGGAGTCAAAAGAATACCGCAGTATTGCAATATTCAGGAATCAGGTCGAATTCTCCTTGCCAAAATTCACTGCAGCTGGATTTTTCGTGATAAATCGCGAGGGGTAAATCTCCAGGAAAAATGTGTACACCAGACTTCCAATGACCAAAGACTTCCAAAGGCTTCCAGAGACTCCCAAAGACTCCCAAAGACTCCCAAAGACTCCCAAAGACTCCCAAAGACTCCCAAAGACTTTCAAAGACTCCCAAAGACTTTCAAAGACTTCCAAAGACATCCAAAGACATCCAAAGACGTCCAAAGACATCCAAAGACATCCAAAGAATTCCAAAGACTTCCAAAGACTTCCGACGGAGTGTACACCAGACTTCCAAAGAGATTTACCCCTCGATAAATCGTTCAACTATTCTAGCACTGATGAGTGTAATCACCACTTACTTTATCGTTGTTACACAATTCTATTTAGCTCACAAATAATATAAATCGTTATTGTCTCTGGGATCAGTTTGATCATACATAAAATTGTGGAACACATAATGAAATGGAATATTGATTGAATTTTGTCAATAAAAACTAATCTACAAGCGCCTCACTGAATACCCAAAATTATATCATAAATTATATATGAAGCACATCAGTTCATATTGAAGTGACCATATATAGTGGTGTATAGTAAATGACAAATTACTTATATCTATAATTATCAGATAATTATGGTTGTCACGAAGGTACATTTTTTTATAATCGTGTATCAAAGAGCAATATCAAATTAACTACAGGATAGTTCAGACTTCAGAATATATCTTTGTGGTTGGTAAAACAATGAAAACCACAATTCTGTTAGCTGGAGGTCTATCTATACAACAAAATTAGTTTAGAAGACAACAGTTTGAAACAATGTTTGGTTCGAACTTTAAAATCTGGTTCCAAGTATATACTAAAAACCAGAGCATTTTCAAGAAACGAGTAGCACTTCGTGATATCATCAACTCTGCCTCATTACCTTCTTTCATTATTTTCGAATTTTTGTTATTGATCAAAACTGTTTATATTTGCATATATGTATAGTGAGTTAGTGACAATTATTATAATTCGCATTGTACACATTTTCATGTAAACATATCCAAGTGATCAGGACTGTAGTCTTTGACAGCAATAAAGAATCTATCTATCTATATGTCGTATTCTTGAGAATGTTGAGGAAGTTATCTCGAAAAAAAAACACTGTGACATTTTGGGGCAAATCATCTGATTTGTACACATTGTATATTGAAATAATACTTACTCATATTTTTATTTCATAGAAACTAGGAGAATATCCAAAAAAAATCAAGTGAAATAAATCACTTTAAAATATGTCTCCCGTCTGAGTTACAGGGTGATTTATTCAAAAATTTCAAAATGTTTTTTGCCCAGTTCTTCAAAACTATTTGACGTATCACTTTCATATTTGGAGGGAAGTGTAGGTATTATACACCCATCTGAATTATGTGAAATGAACTTTTCTAGCTATTACCAGAGGCGTACCCCTCCCAAATTCTACGCCACTGGCGGAATTGCAATTCTATCACAAATTTTCGATTCTCCAACAATTTTGACGTAGATATTGAACTTCTTCTCCATGGCGATAAAGTCTTTTTTTTTCGCGGTATTTCAAGTTAAACATAAATCTACACAATCATTTTGATTTCAATGTGCATTAATTTTGTTGTGTTGCTTCATGTTTAACTTGAAATATCTCGAAAAATAATGACTTTATTGCTATGAAGAAGGAGTACAATATCTACTAAGAAGGTATTGAAGAATCGAAATTTTTTTATAAAATTGCAATTCTACCAGTGGCGTAGAATTTGGGAAGGATCAACCAGTCACTTGCCCCTGTCGTACGCCTCTGTTGACAGCTAGTGAAGTTCATTTCACATAATTCAGTTGGGTGTATAATACCTACACTTCCCTCCAAATATGAAAGTGATACGTCAAATAGTTTTGAAGAACTGGGCAAAAAACATTTCAAAATTTTTGAATAAAACACCCTGTAACTCAGACAGGAGACATGTTTTATCCAGGTGATTTGGGTTAAATCTTCATATTTTGAGTTCGGTATTCTATGGTTGAAATATTTAAAATTCCCGAAGCAAAAGAATTCAACAGAGAATCACTCTGTAACAATAACACTCATTAATATCGTCCATGTAGTAATAGAGCGCATATTCCAGTGGAACTCGATTGAATTACCTATATATGATGCTCGAGTTATCACGATATCACATCAGTAGTACGAAATATTCGAAATGAAACTGACGTACAGTAGGCAGTGTATCCTCTTCATCGCACCAATGGCGAAATTAGGTGCATTTTTTTGCATCCTCCCGAGCTACAGCTTCGAAAAACACAAACTGACCCACGAAAGATTGTTCATCTTTTACGCAACAGTTGTGTTTTGCACAATATCGTCTGCATTTGGATATGTTTTTTACTTGCGATTTGAGAATGTTTATCCTTACATCCACCCTGTGTTGATCTACATGGATTTCCTAAGAGACATCATCGGAGTTATTTTGATTTACCTCACGACATTCCAGTCGGTTTGGAAGCGAAAGGAATGGCAAAAACTATTCGTCAGTTTCGATCAGTTAGAATCCACCGAGAACTTGAACACCAAATTCCAAAAGGAAGAACACATATTCACTAACATCAACATCATATTCTTCTTCAACACAGTTCTGTACACAATTGTAATAGGTAGTTCCGTTTTCATGGAAGGAGAATATTTCCGTATTGAAATGAAGTACAACTGGAACTACATCGTTCAAGCTTACACGGAACTATTACATATCTTCCTTATGTACAATCTGATACTGGCTATAAAAAACAAATACGAGTGCATCAACGGCATTCTGGAGACCAAAATCAACCCACTAGATCTGATACACCAAATAGATATCGCAGAAAATCTCTACTACATCATGGATGAAATTGTGGCTCTATTCAACAACTTGTGCGGTTGGAGCATGTTGCTGGTGATACTACACAGAGTGATAATAGTACTATACGCTTTGAGCGCACCACTAGCTCCATCTTACATAGTCAACGGAAAAACGCTGACTCGTAGTCCTGATTTGTTGCTGATAAACATCTGCTTCAGCTTAGTTTCATTGGTAAGTTGATTACAAGTCAACAACTCTTGTAGTCCTGGTAAGGCTCTATTAAAAATCAAGGAAATTCAACTCCTTGAATATACAGGGAGTATCTAAATAACACCGAGAAAATTCAAGGGGTGTGTCCTTGTGATATTCTACCAAATAAAGTTCATATAAACATGTGTCCTAACTCCGTTTTTGAGATACAGGATGTTTTTTTTATGTTCTGGTTCCCACGAAAAGGGATATCCTGTAATGTTCAGAGAACATCGTAAGAACCAAGGGAAATAAGGTAGGAATGGTGTTCTTCTTAAATTTCTGGAGGTTATATGCTTGTGTTCCAGAGCCTCGCTGTTCGTTGGATGAACGAGTCTTTGGTGAGAGATGTTATGCAGGTCTCCAAATTGATCACGAAGGGGTGCGAAGACACTCAACTCGACGGGTTAATCTCGCGGGGACTGCGAAGGGAGGAACAATTGTTGATATTTCAGAAGAGCATCGTCCATGAAAATATCTATAAAATAGAGCCAGATCGCCAACTTTTCTACGGTGTTCCAGACAAGTGAGTGAGTTTTAGAGCGAGGCATCACCAACGAGACGAATTGCCCTTTTTAGGACAGAATCCATCAGTTTCAGGGTATGGTTGGGTGGTGCACTCCAAATATGGAAACCGTATATTCCAGGACAGGTCGGATCTGTGCCTTATATATCATGAGCAGCTGACTGGAAGTGAAATAGCTCCTGGCCCGAAACAGAGAACCAAGTTTTTGGGGTGCACTTTTAGCAATTGATCTCACGTAATTTTCCTAAGAAAGGTTATTGCTGCTAGTAATACCAAGCATCGAAATGGATATCTCGAGTTTTCAAATCATACACTTATTGACAACATTGATTTGACAACACTTGAAATGTATATATAAATAAATAAAAATAAATTGATCCAACAGACAGCTGTAAAGTACACAATAATTTGAGAGTTAAAGCTTTGCAGAAAATACTCAGTCAAGATGTAATGATGTTTGTATAGTAGTAATGTTTTCACCTTAGTACGGATTTTTTTACAAAATGCGATTCCTTTCATGTCATTTGGCAGATGAAAGTATATTTTCATTCCAGAGTAAATAATAGAATCCATAACCACAGCGGTGCGGGGGATTATCAATTTCATTTGGCCGCTCTGTCTTGTATTATATCGTGAGGAGACAGCTGGTAAGGACCGTTATATCCTTATGAAACAGAGGAGCTTTTTCCAAGATAGATATAAAGAAATTACAGTTAGTATATCACAATCCCTAAACAACTCTCTACAAGAGTTTGTTTATTTTGCATGACACATATATCTCAGAGCTCTCTTTTGTAACATAAAATTCCTTTGGAATAACTGATTGCTACAGCTTTCCCAGAACGCTATTCCATATCTCAGGTGGGACTCAAGTAGGGCGAAATATGTTGTTCTGGCAGATGCATGCCCTAATTCAGAGGCAATTGCTCTGATGGCATAGCATCCAGATGCTAGCTTTTCACACATACATATTACATGATCATTGAACATCAACTTGTTATCGATATGCAAACCTAAAAATCTTGTTGATGTTTCATTTTCTAATATGTCATTACCGATTTTCAAGTATGGGACATTACAATGAAAAGTCAAAATATTGGTTTTCTTGATATTGAGGGAAAGTAGGTTTGTGTCACACCAATCTTTGATTACTTTTATATGTCGTATCAAATTCGTGTATATCTCATCATTATGAAGTTGAAAGTATTAATTGTTTTTATTCACAACCCCCCTGTATATAAGCTTCCATGGTGCCAAAATTCAGTATAGATGGAGACTGAGAAAGCCCCAAAATTTCAAAATGATTCTAATTGGGGTTATTGAGTAATCTCTATGGAAGTCTTGAAAACACCTATATACATTGAAATTTGGAGTAAAATCGAATTTTTATTGTTTCCTCAAAAACTGAGCTAGATACAAAAATCACACAAAGGATAAAAAAGTTGTTATTAAGTTGTGTTAAGTAATCACCCCTTGAATTTTTTCGATGTTATTTAGATACACCCTGTATAACATGGGTATACAGTACCAACAAACACGTATTTAAATACGAGATGATATGAACGAGATTTTTATGCTGATATGAGAAGGTATCAACAATTGTAGACAGGAAATTGAATTTCATGTCACCTGCCACAGTCTTCTTCTCTTCTTTTTCATTTTAAGTGAACATTGTTCAAAAATCTTGTATTGAAAGTACCTGATGAATAGATCAGCGATCGCAAACCAACAGTACTACACAGTGTTTGTATATAGTTTCAGGTAATGGTGATGATATGTTGCATTGACGTTACCAAAAAGGAGCCCGTGAAACTCGTGAAATCCAGTATAATACTGCAGAAGAATCTCTCTATCGATTCCAAAGAGTACGCACGACTCGAGCTATTCAAAATCAGGGTAACAGAAATTTTGCCAATATTCACAGCTGCAGGATTCTTCCAGATAGAGCGTTCAACAATTTTGTCAGTTATCAGCGTTATCACTACTTATTTCATCGTGGTTGTTCAATTCTATCTGAGTTCTCGATAATTTTGTAAAATGTTCAAAGAAACCAATGTTTGCTGAGATAATTTTTTTTACTATGGGGGATAGGGAGAGGAAGCACCTAGGTGTTAGTTTCATCATTGTTATGAGATACGAGCGAGTGAATAATAAATGTCCCTTCGAGTTGATGTCCGAAGTCTGGATTTTTTTGAACCATCTAAATGAACCTTCTTGCTTAGAAGACAGTAATTTTTTCAGGGAGGAAGGAAAATATCTTTCTTGCATAAAAAAGAACACTACTTTTGATGGCTAAAATCAACCAAAAAGAGCATATGAAAATGAGCCTATCTGGTTTGATAATTATATCAACCAGCGAACAATAGTTGAATATGTTTAGTCACCATACGAATGGAATCACAAAAAATGTTTATCTCATAATTCCATAGAACTCGCCCAAACTAGCTCACCACCGCAAACCGTTTCTTGCTGTGAGCTCCCTACGTTTTACAAAAAAATATTGAAATCCCCGATTTTTCGGACCTCTGAAAACGAGGCGATGATGTGACGTCAAAACCCTGATACTGAAACAAGACTATTCCAGACAAAGATGAATGATACATGATTTCTGACAGAGAGAATTAGCGTGAGATCACAGTTTAAAGAAATATATCAGTTGCCTCAGTCTCCGTCGGGCGTTTGGTATTTTCTTTTAACTATGGCGAGATGAGGTTTCTTCGTCATAAGAGGGTCCGTTTTCAGAAGGTACTATATTATTTATGTCCAAAAATAAAACATTCCAGTTAATTCTTCGATCGAATTATGTTGTCAATCATTATTTATGTATGAAAAGATAATTTCAAACATGGTTTGAGTTAAAAGTTCTACTGAGGTGTACACGCCCATTGTTGTTGTCACTAGGTTGTCATCATTACATGATGGTCAAATTTACAAAATATCTTCAGTATAATTCTCTTCATTTGTAATTTCTCGTCTCCGTCTCAATGGACGTTATTTATTTGCTACCACAGTGCATCATCTTCTTCCTGCAGGAAATGTGTAGAATCGAAATATGAATTTAATATTGATAATTGATTGAATTCATGAATAATACTCACCATCACATAATTAGGAATCTTCAATTTTTCTGTCTTCATATTTTTTCAAAAAACACACCGTTTTGGAGATATTTTCAAAAAACCGAAAAGACGGCACCGGTGGCATGTCTTCTAGACACCTGAACCTATAATCCTACAAAGTTTCAAAACTTCCGGACTTTTTTCGAGGCAATCCCTATTCTGGATCCCCAATGACTGAACTAATAATGCTTTTTCGTTATCAGATCACGGTCGAAATTTTCAGTCGGCTCTCCTACTATTAATACCTTCCCATCTCAAAAGTCTCTCTTTTCTGGAATATGATAATATCTCGCCACTATATCCACACCTGAACCACTCGAGAAAAGTGCATATTGAGCGCAAACTTTTTTTTTTGAGTGCTCGCGGAGTTCATATCTCCGCATCGGGGTATTCATCACGCTGCTCGTGTCATGATTACCCATTTGTCACCGTGCTTTTTTCCACTGGACTGACTGGTGGTTGAGCAAACATCGTTCCTATATACGACAAAAAAAAACAAATCGTTGGGTATATAGGTACGTGACAAAAGGCAGGGGAAGCAAACAGTAAAGTGAAAAGTGGCGAATTTGAAACTGACAATGGATACGCAGTTCGTCGTTTTATTATTGATGAACGGCTGAATGAGGTATTTTTTTTATGTGTAGGTATAGAGAGAAGTGCACAGAAAACGGCCAGGACTGTTACTTTTGAATTATTCGAGATAGATATCTGGTAGTAATCCATGCTCAAATTGGAGGTGATGAGATAATTAAGAGAACAAACTCAAAGTCTCACTCCAAGTAAATTTCAATAAAATAATGTGTGCTACATGTTTCGACTCCTAAGAGTCCTCATCAGGCTTGCTAGGTAGGAGGAGAAAAGAAACTATAAAATCAATAACATGTTTCACAAGGGTTATAGCCCCCAAATGTTTTGTAAAAATCATTCACATGTTTTTTAAAAGAGAAGAATAGTCCTAAAAGCTGGATGTATCTGCGAATAATCGATCTATCTAGTTGGAAATAAATTAAACATACTACTTTTGAGTAAGGATTTCATTTTTCAAATTATCATTTTCTGTGAAATGCAGTGATAAAACTTTCAAGAATAATATGAGAAAAGGAACAATAATGATTCAAGATACTCTACTGAAGAATTCAAACTCAAAAAATATCACAATGACCACTAAACTTTCGATAAAGTGCATGGATACTTGAATGTAAACAAGCTTTCAATATGCTTTCAAGTCATGGACGTATAATGTTTCAAGTTCTTTCCATTATAGTTATACTTGATACTTGAATATCAGCAAGAGAGCTTATCACTTAATTATTTTGAATTGTTTTGAATCGCCAATAGAAAGGTGGATATATGTTGAAACAGTGCTGCCAACCACCCCGATATATCTGGAGATCTCCTGATTTTCTGAATTTTCTCCCGACTAACGATTTACTGTCGAAATCTACCGATATTCAGAGAGATCATGGATAATCTATACCGATATTCAGAGAGAATCATAGATAATCTACCGATTTTTAGTTGAATAGTTGAAATCTCTTGATTTTTTTAGGTGTTTCTTGTTCCTGTAGTCAGAGATTGTTGAATTCTATGTTATTATCAATATATTATATATTATGAATACAACATTTCTTCGTTACAATTTTTCACAATCAAAATAGCCGTGGGCCATGGCCTAGACTTTTATAAGAAGTACACTTTGGAATAGGAATCCATAGTTTGGATACTCCTCTTATTATAACAACAAATCATACAACATAAATTTCGAAAACAGTTCATTTCAAGGTGGATTTCCCCCTCCCGATTTCAAGATCGAATCCCCGACATATAATGATCGCTTGTCTCCCGATTTCTCAAAAGCTGAGTTGGCAGCACTGCTCTCAAATGGTTAGAGATAGAAAGTTGGTTGAGTGGTTGAATATGTATCAAAGGTTTCATTGTTTCAAGAAAATTTCTTGGTACGTCTCTGCTCAACATGGTCTCAGTGATTAAACAAACCAAATTCACGATTTCCCTCATAAATAACGATTAAATCATGTGAATGTGCACCAACGGGGCTGTGTGTGAGATAACTCTATGTAAGTAGGTACGAAACGTAGTATATTCAACACAAACAAAGATCGAGGGGACTAGATCGAGGTTTATGCACTATTTCATAAAGGCTATTCAACTGGTCAGTACTATCAGTAAGTTATAAATCCACTAACTACCGAAAATCTGTGATCCGAAATATAAAATAAAAAAATACAGTGCTGTAATGCGGAACACGTTTTCATGATTTTCAGATTTTCATCAGTAATCCAGCAGCAGTTGATCAGCTGGTGAAATTTGATAAGACAAGGAATAAATGTGGCATTCCTTTTCCCTATAAAATAATAACAGTTCACTGAACACACTACTTATTAAAGCACTATATTTTTGATTTTTTATTTTGAAACACAGATTTATATCTGCTAGGCGATTTTGGCTTTGGCGATGCTCATGCACGATAATTGATCGAGTCAAACATTGAGCATTCTGGCACAGTTTAATGCTTATTTAAGCATTAAACTGTGGTATCACCATCGTGGTTGAACGACTGACTTACTTTTATATAGCCACCTTACTTTTATACAAAGAGGAGAACCTACTATTCTTTGTTTTATATCTGCGCAGCGAACGGTGATTGGTGTCTTGGTGAACATCAGAAATGATCACAAGATCCAGTTCAGGATTTATGGAAACCGCAACAAGTCGGTTTGCATGCACATGGCATCCAATGGCATCATAGCGGGATGTCACAGGGGAGAGCGATGTAATGAACATGCAAGGAGATGAACATGAACATCACGTCACGTGTCTCCAGATTTCAGGAACACTGCTGCGGGTGGAACAGATAACAGATCTCGAACTCGAATCCCGATGGAATTGCAGTGCAGTGGTGTAGACAAAATGTAGGAAACTTGCGAGCATTGTATTTCTCCTGAAGAATTTAACTACCATAAAATAGACAAAGCACGTGGTGATGGCCTATCATGCTCTTTTTCACAGTATAATGTCATATGGCATTCGACTGTGGGGTAATTCATCACACGCAAATCAATAAATAGATACTATTATTACAAAAACGAGCCGTGCGTGTTATCATACTGAAACGGACCATTGCAGTAATATTACATATTACTGTGACATTGCTGGATCGTTACATTTACAAATTTACATTTGCAATATTGCTGAACGTACGTTTCAGAAATTGCTACAACCTTGCATCAACATAGCTTAGAAATTTGCTTAGTAGTGTAATGCAGTTGCATTATGATTTATGTTCTCAATTTCCATTCCCTTCGAATTATTTTGAGAAGAGAGGAAATTGTGAGTTCCAGAAACGATTATCCGATTATTATATCGGTAGGTATAATAGGTATAATCATGAAAATGTGCTTTGTTTTTATTATCTTTTTACAGCACCTCAATCAACGACTTTTTCTTCAAGTTCAGGATGATTTGACAGAAATATAGTTCCGGGTGAAAAAGAGTTGCTGTGATTGGTTGGGTTTCTGAATTAAACTTATTGTCTAATTCATAAATTTGTGTTCTGTTGTACGCCATCTATCGGAGTTTTTTAAAGTTGCCACAACTGCCTGTTTACTTTGTTTTCATTGGCTCACATTCGTTTTATTATTTGTGCTTATTGGTCAATCCATCAGAACACACCGCTAAGTGTTCAAGTTGTTGCCGTCAGGTAGGGCAACGTGTTATTTTCTATTTCTATGTGAAAATTATAAAATATATGTTCTAATAACTAATAACATAACTTTGTGTTGCAGAGCCTTCAATCAAGGTGACAATATCTGTACCTATATCTATTTACCATCCCAATTTATTTTTTCAAATAGGTATAAGAATTACCAGAGGAATTATTAAAATAAATCAAATAATGCAGAATTATGTGTGTGTGAATAGGTGCTTGAAACCTATGCCAGAGATCAGTCACTGACTGATCTCTGCCTATACAAACAACCATGAAACAGAGCCTATATTTTATAAAGACAAATGCAGTACCAAATATTGCAAAGAGGAAAATTACATCCATATATCATGTACCTATCTTCTTTTCCTAGAAGAAATCCAAACATATTTCATAGATTCATTTCAAACACCTAAAAAAAAAGAACAGTCACTAAAGCTATTTGTATATGTTGCAAACATAATTTTTTATACCCAAAGTTATTGTCATTTAGTAAGGGGTCAACCATTTCGAAAATATTATAATATCTAGACCCCCTCCTAGCTAAATCAATAGCAGTCTCCCCATTATTATTCCTTATACTAGGATCCACATAAGGGTGCATAAGAAGTAGCTGAACAGTATCATATGATGCCCCATGTGAAGCAGCAATATGCAGAGGTGTTTGACCTATAAAATTAACCCAAACAATTATTATTGTCACCTAACTTGAATTCATTGAGTAGGTACTCACTTCCTTCAGACTTGGCATTCACATCAGCCCCATTTTGTATCAGAACAGCTGCACAGTCTACATGATTCCATTGACAACAGGAGTGGAGGGGCTGCCATTGCATTTCTGTCTTAGCTGCAATGTTTGCTCCTTTCTGTATCAGATACTTCACGATATCTAAATGATTACTATAGCATGCTCGGTGCAGAGGAGTGTATTTGTCTTTGTCAGTTGCATTTACAAGATCAGGATCAGTTTCAATTAGGGATTTTACTCTTTCTAGAAGGCCTTTCTCACATGCTTCCAATATTTCTGCTTGTAGCTTATCTAGAATTGGTATATTACTTGTGGATGAAACAGGAGTCTTTTTTAATACAATTTTTGTAACCTACCTGTAGGATTTCTTGTTTCGTCAATATCGAGTAGGTCGTCTTCCCAGCCACTTACCGTAAACCTTTCATCATCCATATTGATTATTTTTATGTAGGTATCTTAATATTTTGTATTCAATGGAAAGGGAAAGTAAATAAATATAAATGGAATGATCGGAATTTCAACAGATTTTGTTTGGTTTCGTTAGGTTAGGTTCTTTGTCTTTGGCTCAACCCGTTCCGTTCTGTGCTCCTAGCTCCACCTAGTCAAAATGTCATGAATCATAATTTGTCTTCTTCAATTCTACCTCAATATTTTCGCGAATTTCGCGGTAGCCACGGTCATCTGACGTTGCGATGACATAAAAACTACGGGAATTCGATACAACATTCCTAACTTCTGGATAGATTGAATGTATTATAGCGAATTCCATTCGTAAACCTGGTGGTGCACTGGTTTTGCACTCGCACTACGTTAGTAACTTGCGTAATGCGTATACCGTCTACGTGTTCCGTGTTGCTGTCAGCGATACAGCAACGTCCGTGTCATGCCACTAACTGTCATGTGTTTAGTGTTGAGTTGATTATTGAATTTTGCAATTTTGTTTGAAGTAAATAAAATAATAATGTAAGTACTGTATTATAGGGATTCCTATTCCTATTAGCAGTTATATTATATTTGTGATATTGTTATGGTGATAATGAAACATAAAACGTTTTGAAATTTTTTTTATTAAATAATACCATCAAAGTAAAAATCAACCCTAATCTATTTATCAAAGTCTGGAAGCTAGAGCTAGAAGTCTCCTAAATCTTCCAGTGCCTTGAAGATTTTGACTTTCTTTATTTGTCTTATATCCATAGGAAAATCCATGAGTCGTGATGCAATGTAGGCCCCAAATGCCTCTTCAGAGGTTTGGTGTCTGATAGTTGTTATTGTTTCAGAATTTCGAAGAGGAACCTGAAAAATGATATACATACTGAACTTTGTGAGTGTATTATTTCAATAATCACCTACCTCTTTGACTGATAATTGTCTACTTTCTTCCTCATCCATAGTCTCAAATGTGATTTCTTCAATTTGTGTGTTATCATCCAAATCATTTTCAACCATGAACACTTGTTCAGGACTATCAGCAGGGGTAAACTTTATATCAGCACAATCCGATGCATTGGTAGAAGTATCATCAATGTCTTGAAATTCTGCACCAACAGCATAAGAAGTCCTGAAAAAATGGGAAAAAATTTAAATGGAAAGAAAGGATTGAAGGAATATTGTTATATACCTTTGTTTCAATCTCTTGAGTATTGATCTTCTTCTTTTAATGTAAGGATTGAGAAATTCCATGGCTTCATAAAATTCCCAATGAGGGAGTTTACCAGTAATAGAATATGATCTTCTCTCCCTAGTGTATCTATCTCTGAAGTTTTTCCATAGTCTGAAGCATTCAGCAACTAAAAAAAATCTCAACTCATTCTTCATTCTCAGGACCAATGTGAATGAGTATAGTGAATATAATAAATACCAGGAAGTTCCAGAGTTGCACCAATTTTGTCCCAGGTTTTTCTTCTGTAAGAGATATTTTTGAAATCCTTATGTTGTTGATCATACAAGTATGGGAAACTTTTTACAGTTCTTATGAATAGGCCTACATCCACCTCTGAAAAAAAATTCACACATGAACCTATACTCTAGTACCATTTTATCAATCTTCTACCTATCCAATCAATAATATATTGATTATTATTGATATCAAAGATATGTAATTGATTCTTACCCAGGTTTTCAAATAGTTTTGTTTCTGACATGTTAATTAATCATAATCCATTACACATCAGGTACAGTAGGTATATTTTCTCCTCATTTCCCACAGTCTACAATATACAAAATGAAAAATATATATATACTTTTTTTAGATATCAATATTTGATTTCAGTGGAATTCAAATATTGTGAAAAAGTATTTCAAATAGCTGATGAAGGAATCTGCATTACCAATATTTAAGCTAGCTCAGCACTAACACTGCTTAGCAGTAGCAGCATATGTATCCACGCTAATCTTAGCAATACCCAGGAGCAATACCGTATTATTTGTCTCTTGCGATGTTTGTGGAGTCACTTGAATATTCATACAATTTTAATGAAATAATCTAATAAATTGATAATGCCTCACTGTGATAGTCACCGAGAATTTGCGAAATCGAAAATAATGAATAAAGATTTTTCACGAGCTTCAGCTTCCTCAGCTGTTTTATTACAAGTAATAATTAATCGTAGAACGCTAGAACGTGAAACGCAAGAGCCAGACGCACTACGCAGAAACTGAAATGCTTGCAGAAACCTACCGACAGTGCCGACCACGAAACAAAAGAATCAAAATATGTTCCGTGGTGTCAACCCTTGTCTCGAATGCAGTCTACAGAAAATCTGTGTCAGCCTGAACTATCGATTCAATCGCTACTAGGCCTGTTCGTTTGTATTGCTAAACTGGCTAAAGTTGATCTTTTCCCCATAGTTGTCTCTGTTCATGCCATGATGTAAACAAAGAAAGTCATAGAAAAAAATCAAGTTTAGCAGGTTGAACAAGCACAAACGAACAGGCCTACTGAGAATCAACGGCAACAACGCATCTGGTGACGTAAATATGTCAACGTCACTGTAACATTGTCAGACATCAGTAAAGTCACTCGTCAGACATCAGTAACGCCACTCGTCAGACGCTACGCGAACTTCATTCTGCTTCATTAATTTGTGTGATTGTGTGTCCACCAGCAAGAATTAAAATTATATTACATAACACAAGAAGGGGCCACGAACCATGGCGTACCTCCTCAACCACAGCATCCGCAGGTTCCTGCAGACCAGCGCCAGAAGGGCGGTGCAAATAGAGGGCCCCTCCGCTGTCTCCGGGGGCCATGACGGGGGCTACAAAATCTGGAAGAACCTCACCTTCTTCGTCGCGTTCCCTTCTATCATCCTCTGCGGGGTCAACTGCTACTTGTCTCACCAGGAGCATGCTGCTCACCATACTCAGCCTGAGTTTATCAAGTATGATTACTTGAGGGTGCGTACAAAGAGATTCCCATGGGGAGACGGAAACCATTCCTTGTTCCACAACCCACACACCAACCCCTTGCCCGATGGCTATGAAGAAACCCACTGAGTTATTGAGGATTTCTTAGAAAGTGAATGTAATTATTCTCATCTGTTATTTGATTTAATAATAAAATTGTAGACTGACACATGTTCTTGTTCATAAGTTTCCTCCCTCAAATAGGTAGTTCAAACTTCTCCTTATTTTGATTAAATTGAAAATTACAAAAAATGATTGGTAGATTTATTTACATGTTTCTAAATAAGAAAGGCATTGATTCACTTTCAGCCCCTGCTAGCCAATAAAAAGGATCCCTCTCATACCCACACACTTCTGAAAGGCTTCTCTGTTATTTGATTCAATAATACAATTGTAGGTAGACTTACACAAATACTAGTTCATAAGTTTAATTTCTCTATAAAGGTAGTTTAGTTCATCAAATAAGAAAATCAAATAAAAATTTATTGTTTCATCATATTTACAAATAATAAACCAACCTAAACATTGCTTCTAAATGAAAGTATTAATTCACTATTCAGCCCCTGCTAGCCAGTAAACAGGTTCTCTTCATATCCACACACTCTTGAAAAGCTTGTACCACTTTGGCACACCTCATTGGTTCATTTGGATAACACTGATAACACTCCATGACTGCTTGTTCTGATTCTTTACATGCAGGTAGCTTGATTCCTGATACTTGGTTCTTCTGTACCTTGAACTCCTCAACCTAAAAAAATTAATATTAACATAATTATAACTAGCAAAATCATGTCATCAAGATTTTCATACAGCCTTGTTGTATTCCTGGTTCAAGACATCATTCATAATCCCATGACTTTGTTCTAAAGCATTGATTCTTCTTTCCCAATATTCATCATTCTTCTTCAGTTCTGCAATGTTTGCCTGTCGAAGTTGAAGACTGGTTAGACTGGGTTCACTCATGAAAAATGGAGCTGCTGCAACCATGCCCCCTTGTACTTGTGGCACAGATCCTTGGGTACCTGAATAATCTTGTCTTACCGCTAAAAACACCCCCCAAGATATGATGGTTGTAGTATTATGTAATAACAACTTCAACTGTTACAGGAAATGTAAATACTACAAAGGACTGATTGGTTCCTGAATTAGTTATTAATCAAAGACTTCAGGGTAATTTTTAATGAATAAATGTGTGAAAAAAGGGTAGTTGAAGGCTTCTTGGTTGGACATAACCTTACTTTGATTTCCTCGTAGGCGATCCACAACATTTTCAGATACTTTGATTACACTTGTGGGGTCATCATTTTCGACAGTTAATTTTCTAGATTTGCTGGAAGAACCACCCATTTTGAATTTAAAAAGAAACAGCTCCAAAATATTTGTCCATTGGCTGTCAAGTGTCAATTTACAATTTTTTAATTTTATATTTTTGATTTCAAATTGACATTTGACAGTCACTACAGGTGACGGTGCAAGATGCGAGAATTGACAAGCCCCGGGGTTTATCGCGGGAGAGAGAAGGACATATAATGCCCTCTCACTCGCGAGAATGCATGCATGCAACGTTATAGTGGGCAGTACTTCATCATACTTCGTCTCGTAAGCAACTGGTTGGCTCAGTAGGCAGAGCATCGGCATGCCAAGCCGGCGGGCCGGGGTTCGAATCCGTGCGAGGCTCATCTTTTTTTTATTTTTTCCTTGTTCTCAAGTGATTTCTAAAAAATATTCTCTATGGGAAATAGGTTCATTTAGGGGTTTTCTATGTTTGTGGTTTAGGCCAGAGGTGAGGTTCGGTTAGGTTAGGTTAGGTTAGAATAGAATAGAATATTTTATTTGGTGTTAATAAACATTAAGTTTTACACAGGTCAACGAAACAAGTACAGATATACTCATAAAATAGATAGGTTAGGTTTTCTCATTTTTTATGCAGAAACAATATTTTCCTTCCTCAAGAAAAATTCTCCTTCTTCAAGAAAAAAGGTTCATCTGAGCGAGAGCGAGTTATACGTCCTTCTCTTTCCCGCGATGAACCCCGGGGCTGGTCAATTCTCGCGTGCAAGATATGGTGCAAGGTGCAAGGTCTACTAAACTATCACAGACGTTATCCGGGTGCTGATCCGGGTGATCGTTACGGCTGTGGTTACAGTTCTGAATGCGGTTCTGTGTTCTGTATTGAAGCCTTAAGGATTTCTTCTTTGAGTTCTTTGCCTTTTCAATTTGTCACCATCACACGTCAGTCAGTAGTCACACACACCACTGCACCATCTGATGATTCTCATGTTTTGATTTTGATGTTATTGCAAAACGCAAAACAAATCACATTAATTTATTGAATTATATTGATTAACAAAATAAAAATATTGATGTCGATTATTCAAGAACACTTTTATTGAATGGGATGGGTCCACGTAAAAGCAAGTCTAGGTCTCCATCCCACAGAAGCAAATCCAGGAAGCCAGACAACTTGAAGCACAGAAGCAGGTCCAGATCACCAGTGCAAAAGGCCCATCATGAAATACGACACAGTCGGGGTAGAAGCGAAGCAAAATCTGACCACACTTCGAAATATGGCGATAACAGGTACGGCAGCTCCAGACCAAGGGAGTCCAGTAAGAGATACAATGAAGATGATTTCATGGAGTCTCGAAGGAAACAACGAGAAGTTATTGGCATGAGAGACAACTCTAATGTCTGGTCAAAATCACCCGAACGCCCCGACTCGAATTCTGAAGAAGAAATCATTAAAAATACTGAGAGTGCTACAGTGAAGAAGAGTAAGAAGAAGCGACAAAAACACAAAAAGGATAAGAAAGCTAAGAAAGAGAAGAAACACAAAAAGGAAAAGAAAAAGAAGAAGCACAAGAAGAAGGATTCAAGTAGTGAAGACACCAGTGGTTCTGAGGAAGAAAAATGGGTTGAGAAACCCAGTCTTGGCAGTAAACAGGATCATAATTCTGATAATGAAGATTCCATTGGACCTTCTCAAAAGGCTCACACAACTCTTACCCATAAAGAAATGGGCAAAGCTCTGTTGCCAGGAGAAGGTGCTGCTATGGCAGCTTTTGTGGCTGAAGGCAAGAGGATACCAAGAAGAGGAGAAATTGGTCTAACATCTGATGAAATTGCCACATATGAGTCTGTAGGCTATGTCATGTCTGGTTCAAGGCATAGGAGGATGGAGGCTGTACGTATCCGTAAAGAAAACCAGATTTATTCTGCTGATGAAAAGAGAGCTTTAGCTATGTTCAGTAAGGAGGAGAGACAGAAGAGGGAGAATTTGATACTTGGACAATTTAAAGATATGATCAGTTCTAAACTGGCTGAAAAAAATCAGTAGTAGAGTTTTGAAAATGTGATAACTAGTGGATATGTTCTAGGTAGTTTTTGCTTCAAGAAATAATTTAATAAATTTTCAATTTAGAATCACTTGAATTCAGGAATACCTATACTTGATGTTTCAATTGTGCATGTCATCATTTATTTTATCTGATTATGTACCTGTTATAGTTTTTAGAATGTTGGTTAATGACATTAAACAGATAAGGATTGAACATGTAGAAATTGTTTCCTCATCTGATATAATATACCTACCTACCTACCTACCTACTTCAGTACTTCATTCTCAAAACTGATTATGCAACAAAACGTTTCAACTAAAATTAGCTCAATAGCTGAGTGGCCGTGATTATCTTTGAAATATCTATTAATTCCAATCAAATTAATAATTTTAAAAAAATAGTCCATTATTTGACTAATTTCATTATTTCCATTTTCCATGGACAGCCTACGTGACGCAAATAACGTTCCTGTTTATCGCTGTTGCCAGAGTCAATTAAAATTTCTGATATATCCTTCAAATGAATATGGGGATGGTTCACTAGAAATAATGGATTGAATCAGTCAACATGATTGTGTTCTTCCGAAAGGCTTCAATTCCATAGAATGCTCTTTAACTGATTCAGTTCTAGTGGAATTTATCGGTTAAGTAGTTCCACTGTTTCAGATTGAAAGAATAGGTATCGCACTAAATAATATGTTGAGTAGTGTTCACAGAATTCGTTGAAGAACGAATATAATATGGGAGGGTAAATATTGGACGGTTGGATATACCTTGATACCTATAACATGTGTGAATTCAATTGGGAACAAACATTCACTTTGTATTCTGTTTTATCGAGAATGTCGTCTGACGGATTTATAAAACAGGAAATGTTCATCCTGCCATTCTTGGCCGACATACCCCTAGCTCGAAGACGAAGACTAGTCTTACTATTTTTCAATGCGGATGATATACATCAAGTTTATATACTTATTGTGGATTATAATCAGTCGATTCAATTTTTTTCAAATTTGAATGTGGAATGAGAAAAGTCAAAAGTGTAATATTATGTTCGAACTCATCTGGCAACATCGATTTTTCATTATGCCACTAATGTCAATTTTCAGACTTGTCATGTTGAAGTGTTGTTACTTTTTTTATCTGTTATCATTTGGTTATCATGTTATCTTGGTTCTTGGTTGGGTTTGTTGATTTTTGATTTTTCCGAATTTCCATTGAGAATAATATTAGTGTCGCAACTCGGGAATCAAGTATTTTGTGAATATTTTGAATTATTGATGACGTGCCACGGAAAAATGTGCGGTGCATAGAAAATATATGTATTTCTCGTGGCATATATTTAAACAAAAACATAAAAACAATGACTAGTTGTGACAAAGATTGTGACAAAAAACGTTGGGATTCCAGTCAGCTGAGAAAATATGATTTGGGTTTGGAACCAATCCCTAGATATCACTACCAAGATCCCAAAGTTGATGAGCTAATCAAGAAAAATGTAAGAAAAATAAGATCTCTAGCTCTAAACTCATAAGCTTTTGGTATGTTTATTGAACATTTTTTCAGCAACCTGTACTCATAACTGGTTCTAAACTCGTAGAATCAGCCTTACAAAAATGGAGCCTAGAATATTTAGAGAAAAATCTAGGCAAATCAGGCTATACAGTCTACTTATCCAGGAATCACAAGTTCAAATACTTTGATGAAAAAAAAATGCTGACCAAAACTAATCAAAAGGGTGTAGAATTCACACCAATATCCAAAAGAGTGGATATGAAAGTTTCTGACTTTATGAAGAGATTAAAAGAATGGAAAAGAGGAGAGGAAAGGTAAATTGATAGTAATCACACTTTACCAAAATATCCATTAGTCACACTGGTATTTATTTTCCAGAATATACCTACAACAACCATTAAATTCAACAGTGGGACCTTCCATAGTAGAAGACTACATGAAATTTGACTGGCCTTTTGTGACAAGCAAAAAAACCAAACACAACTGGGGTGAATTAACCTCAAATGTACTGTTCATTTCCATGGAAGGGAATGTCACTCCTTGTCATTATGATGAGCAACAAAATCTATTTGCCCAAATACATGGCTATAAAAGGTGTATATTGTTCTCACCAGACCAATTTGAGTATTTATACCCTCACCCTGTATATCACCCCCATGATAGGCAAAGTATGGTAAGAGGAATCTATTTTTTAATATGTTAATGCTACAAATTTTTATCCAATGAAGAGAAAAAACAAGGTATTTCGCATTCTCTATTTTTCTTTTAGGTTGATTTTGAAAGACCTGACTATGCTAGGTTTCCAAAATTCAGGAATGTTAGAGGAGTTGAAACAGTCATTGAACCAGGAGATGTACTGTATATTCCAAAATATTGGTGGCATCATGTTGAATCTTTGATGCGTGGAGGACCCACAATAACTGTCAATTTTTGGTACAAAGTAAGAAACAAAATTTGTATACTGTATGCATAATTATTTTTTGGTTTACAAGCAACCAGAATCCTCTGGAATGTTTATGAAATTTCTTCTAAAATTTACCCCAAAAAAATCCTGAAAATCTTATGAAATTTAATGAGAAATCAGACGTCACCATGTAAAATTCTGAAGGTGAATATTTTTATGGTTTTGGAAACTCTTTGAAATGTATCTCAGAATAGAGCAGATCAGCTAGCTTTGAGAGAGAAAAGAAATGTCTTCCTCATCCCAGTGTTGCCGTTTCAGAATTTCAATTTGTACTAGAAGTCATTCCGAAATTGTACTAAATTCAAGTATATTGTACTAAATTGAGAAAATAACATGGAAATTTACGATTCACACATTTGATGAAAAACTTCATATTCATTCATAAAAATTCAAAATGATGATATACAACACATTAAAACCTCTGAAAAACTTAATTTCATGAAACAAATATAAGCCGAAAATAAGAGATGACAAGGAACAGATCAAATTACAGATTGAGATCAAAAGTATCATACTGTCAATCAGAGTGAAAAGATGACTCAAACTTCAAAGTCAAATCAATTCATCACTAACAGCTAATTGTTTCTACGTTGAATTGTGAATTATGGACTTTTCATCAATTAGGGCTTCATTATGATTCCAATTATAACATTTCTTCTCCAAATAATTGTTTTGTATGCAACGATAGCTTGGGCTCTCATCCGATTCTTGTTTTTGTACCAGATTAGTGTTCATTGTATTTTGACGTACTAAATGTGTATGAAATGTACTAGAAAAGTACAATAGTACTAAAAACGGCAACTCTGTCCTCATCTGTCCTTGTCTTCAGTTTTCCAACATAAATTAATGGACATTTTATGTTGATAAAATTGGAAATGGGGAAAAATGGAGAAGATCATATTAACCTCAATATAAAATAAGGTTAGAATGATCTTCTGCATTTCTTCTCATTACCAGTGTTGACAACATAAAATTTCCATTATTTTATGTTGAAACACTGACATTATTTCTCTCTCAATGCTTAGGAACTGCTCAATTTCAATTTGCTTTAAACTTTTGCTCGAAAATACTTGAAAAATCTCTTTGAATTTCTTTGAAATTCCTATTTGAAATGCATTCGATTTTTTGCCTGCAAATTCCATGCAATTTTTCTTTAAAATAATATTTCATTGGAATTCATCTTTGAACTTTCTATGTATTTCTTTTTGAGATCCCTTTGGAGATTCTTCAAATTTATTTGAATCTTTGAAATTTCCTCATAAAATTCCTCAGAATTTCTTCCCCTTCAAATAGTAAGAATATAATCCTTGAAGTATTTTGGATTCCTTGAAATATCTTTGAATTCCAGTTTCTTGAAATTTCATAGGCACTTATTTTGGTATTTCCCGGAATTTCCTTTTGCGAAATGCCCGGAAATGCCTCATTTTTCTTGAAATTGTTCGTTAATCCTCTCAAATATACATCCCCTTGCAATTTCTGCTTGAAATTATTGCTTGCATTCATCCATGGGAATTTTGGGTTGAATTTCGTTGAATCTCTTTTTGAACTCATAGATGAAATGCCTTTTTGAAAACCGTTGAAATTTATAATTCCCTTGAATTTATCAAAATTTCATGTAATATATATGTCCTTGAAGTCCATTGGCCTTTCTCAAAACCTTTTGGAAACTCACGGAATAGAGCATTGTCAGTGACGTCATATGACGTAAAATTGTCGGCCATTGAACAATGAACAGCTGATGGGGGGACAAGCATACACATTTTCCATAAGGGTACATGTAACTTTCTTGCATGTTCACCACTAAAATACAATACCTGGAGCATTTATTTATTGACATGTTTGTTATTTCATTCATCATGAATCCTGTGAGAGAAGTGAATGAGTCCAAAGAAGAGTTCAAATTGGTTTATTTGTCAATTTTAAATTACTGGATTTACTTGAGTTCTGCTCTAATATGCCTAATTTACCTTGTAATATACCTCAATAGATACTCATTTTGGAAGAAAGTGTACACATTCTTCTTGTATAATATCTACAAGTTCAACAAAATCAACAATGGGTCAGAAATAATAAAATCAAAATTCACAAGCTTTGTTTGTCACCCGATCAGCTGATGAAAACGACGAGTGCGCCATGTTGTGATGTCAGCAGACATTGCTCTATTCCTTATGGGTTGCGTGCAAGAACTGTCAGATGACCAACACTGGAGGCAAAACATTGAAACACAATGTCACTTTTCTTATTTATTTACAAGTGATCGAAGTAGTTTTTCACAATTATTTTGGCATACGAATCGTATTTTTCCGCTATTCATCAATTCGCTCATGCCATCACATTGTGCTGTTGTGAAATGCACAAAAACTGCAGCGGAAGATGAAGGAATCCGGATGGTACATTATGATTTAAAAGTAAGTACCTACTATAGTCACTCACCTATAGTTTTCATTTTTGAAATTTGGTAATTTCTCTGATTTCTCATCGAATTCCTTCTGCGATAGGAGCTAATAGAAATACACCTGAAATTTCTAAAATAATGCAAGAAGATTGGATTCATGCAATCAATCGGGAGGACAGAGGGTCTGACATGCTGACGATCGTGTGTGTTGTAGACATTTTCAATCTATTAGCAGTATTAGCTTGTATTGCAGGAGTGGCAGAAGGCAGAAGGAATTTTAATAAGGAATGACAACATTTCATGATGATAACTATGTGAGATTACTATTTACCTGAAAAATCATATTCCTTAGTCTCTTGCTGCATTTTTTGTGCATTGTACAACAGCACAATGCGAAGGCATGCTTGAATTAATGAATAGCGCAAAAAACACGATTCGTATGCCAGAATATTGTGAAAAACTATTTCAATCCTTTGATTCCTCTGTAACCAAATGAAAAAGTGAGGTTGTGTTTCAATAATTTACAGAAGAATGAGGTTGTGTTTCAATATTTTGCCTCCAGGGTCGGTCATCGTGCACGCGACCTATTTAGACCCCATCAGAATTCTTTGAAATTCATTGAAAAAAATGAGGTGAAGTTTCGTTTTTCGTTTGTTTCAAGGGTGGACCTACTACCCTCGAGTACCCCCTAATGGACCATCAAAAGGTTTCGATAATGCGGAACGTGGAAAAGATGTTACTGGAAGTATTGCAAGACCCGAAAGAAGTTGGGCCTCTGTTGAGATCCATGGTCATTGGGAGGTATACGGAACAGTGATTTCTTTTTTTAGGTTACAAATCGAGAAAGCACTGTTTCTCTGTGAATATTTTGTTACCAATTCATGTTGTTGATTATTTATTTAAGACCTGTTTTTGGCTGGGGTTTGAATTTTTTATTTGATGTGGAACCCCTTCAGAAAGCATCTTGCTGGAGTTTTTTACTTATTGCAAGGATACCTTACCTCAGAGGTATTTGTACAGGTTGTCCTATAAAATGCCACAAACTGTTACTTTTTGTCGAATTTCGAAAAATGGATTTGATGGTTTGAAATATGGTATAAACTGGTGTGAATTTTTTTCAACGTCAACACCGATGTTTGACAGAATTTTGTGAAATTTTTTTTTTCACAAAAAGTTACTTGTGAACTCTTTGAATTCAGAAAAACGACCTGAATTAAAGGAAACAAAAAGCAAAACATTTAATTTGAAAAAATAATCTTTTGTCTCTGTTTTTTCGTTTGATATTGACACAAATTTACATTTATATCAGTTCATAGTGTTTTTCAACCTATTGAATTCTTTTTTTTATATATATAAATGGGTTAAAAAGTGACGCAGTTACGACTTTCGGCGTTTTTTATGGCACACCCTGTGTATTATTAGTTATACCAAAGTATTTATTCATTCGGAAATTCATAATTTTCAAGAGTTCCTGGTTCCTGCCGATCATTTTCGGTTTGCGAAAATCTGAATCAAACATAATCAGGGGTAAAATTTGTACAAGTGATATAAAATGTCTCTGGATATTTCGAGAAATTAATCCGCAGTTGAAATAATTGATATATTCCATACTTTATCAATTCCCTGTATAAATAAATCATACCTATTTATTGTAGAGTAAGTGTAAACTATTTTTGTTTTATAAAAATAAAGTTATATTATTAGTAAATCAATTTTCTTATCTGATGCATAGAATCAAAACACAAATATTTAGGTGATGAAAGTGTTTACTCATCCACAATATATCACACTGTAAATGCATTTATCAATGATTCATATACTAATAATAGTCCAATAAATAAAGGGAAAAAGTTAACATTAATTACGCACTATTTTCATCTTCCGATTGGAAGTAGCTTTTGGTACCTTATTAAACATGAGACAAAGTTTGACTGGAAAACGCGTGCGATGGCGGAGAAAATGGCCCCAAAAGACCAGGAAAATAGGTTTTCAGCCAATATCTCCTAAAATATGGCAGTTAGAGATTTTCGGTTCAGATAAAAATTAAAGTTCAGTTAATTTACTACAAAAATGGTCCTTATCATTTTTCTCGAAAATTTGCCCGTTTTCGAGAAAAACGGCACAAAGCGCACCTCGAATAATGAGCTTCTGTGTTGTATGCCGGAGAGCACAGTCCGTGTATTTACACATCGGCGGGGGGACAAATTATTCAATAACTTTGTTAAAAATGCATATTTTCTCATGATTCAAAGTTCATGTGAAAGAGGAATTCTGCCGCTATCATACCCTGTGAATTGAGTCACGCTTGACTCTTTTGGCCATATCGGAACATGGGTCAAACTTTCTGCTCCCGGTCAATTTTGACCTCTCCAGGAATTTGTTCCTATTTTTTTTGTATTGCACTAATTTACTCAAAATTTTCTTGATTATGGGTCCTCATAAGGTCCTTTGTCATCCCTGAAATTTGTATACCCTATTTTTTTTTAATTTTCATTTACTCTTTGTTTATTGAATCCCAATTTTTTGCTGTTTTTGGAGCGCGGGGAAATTTTGTGAACAACCATCAATTAAAAATTTATACATGATCCGATTGGTTTCTATGATACATCATTTGAAAGCTAAGAAGGTCTACTTTTCGATTGTGCAATTACTTTTTTAGACGAAGTCGTCCATTTTTCAATAAAATCAGAGAAAGCGGGGTCAAGGAATAAACGCATTTTTTTTCGGTGTTTTTTTTATCCTTACTTTTTATTTCTAACATTTTAACACCTTAACTAGTGTAACGGGGGAATTCCCACCTTTTCATTGATGTATATAAGTCATACCTTTGATATCCGGGGAAAAAACCAGTATATCTAAAGGTACACGCTATAATTTATTACTTTCGTTCCTCCGTCGTTCGCCGCGTGTGTGCTCTACGTGGCGCTCGGGTCGTCTGCTACAAACCATTGCGGGTATGATAGCAGCAGAATTCCTCTTTCATATGAACTTTGAATCATGAGAAAATATGCATTTTTATCAAAGTTATTGGATAATTTGTCCCCCCGCCGATGTGTAAATACACGGACTGTGCTCTCCGGCATACAACACAGAAGCTCAATATTCGAGGTGCGCTTCGTGCCGTTTTTCTCGAAACCGGGCAAATTTTCGAGAAAAATGATAAGGTCCATTTTTGTAGAAAATTAACTGAACTTCAATTTTTATCTGAACCGAAAATCTCTAATTGCCATATTTCAGGAGATATTGGCTGAAAACCTATTTTCCTGGTCTTTTGGGGCCATTTTCTCCGCCATCGCACGCGTTTTCCAGTCAAACTTTGTCTCATGTTTAATGAGGTACCAAAAGCTACTTCCAACCGGAAGATGAAAATAGTGCGTAATTAACGTTAACTTTGCCTTTTTTTCCTCCTTCATTTATTGGACTATAACAAAATATTGAGATCAAACTGACTAGACACGATCTAACTAACATTTTTCGAAATTGTCTGAATTGTACTGGATTTTCACTCGGGTAAAAGATCATCACCCAATTCTTCATTTCCAAAATCATCGAAATCTAACGCTTTCCCAGCTCCTGTCCTAGGCCTCATCGGTTGCGGGCCCAAGGGATCAGAATAACTTGCATCTGAAAAAAAAATTAACTCAAAGCGGTGTACAGTGGTGCTCAATAAAAACGGAATAACTTATGTTTTTGAATATTGCATGTTGCATGTGGATGAATGAACGAAAAACTTGACGAGCTGCAAATTTTGACCGTCATCTGATAACAAAATTTTATAATAATTGTTCCAAAGGTCATGTAAAAACATTGTATTATATCGAATGGCACCTGATTGCAAAATGATTGAGAAATTGCGGCAATTTGCGCTCAATGTCGCGATTTGATAACCAGATAATAATGCCATCTGATACCAGTTGAATGGTATACAGTGCGTCTCACTGCTAATGGAAACACTCCTGTATCTTACGTAACGTGAAATATTTGTTCTTTCCCAAATAGATATTAGATATTGTAAATTTAAATAAAAAAAGACAGAAATCTAACAGGAATGAAATTACGAATTTTATATACAGTGTGTCCCACTTACCATGCTCACCATGGGTATCTTTTTAACGGTGAGAGATACGAGGTCGGTTAAATGACACCAAATGTGGAGTTTGGCAAGGCCAACTATAATATGAAAACATATCTTGATAAAATCTGTTCGTTTTTGTTTTATACGCAAAAAACAGATTTTGATCATTTTCATGTCTCCTCCGTAACTTCTTTATTCATGAAAATATTCAAATAGGAATTTCACATTCTCATGGCAGTTTTTCAAAGTGATTTCGAAAAAGATTTGAAATTTATACCAACTCTTCTAGAATTTGAGATATCAGCACCAACTTTAGTATTTCAAATATAGGTCATAGCTCACTATGACTTAGTTACAAATTACTTTTTTTCCTCTTACAGATGATATGTCGCAGTAATAGTTTTGTGTTGATAACAACGGAGTTATCGTCATTTATACAAAAACAAAAAATTATTTGGAAGCCGCCATCTTGAAATTATAAATTACAACAAAAAATCATGATCTCCGACCTCAAAAACCCCCACTCACCAATTTTGAATGGAATCGGACCAAATATTGTCCGCCATCTTGGAGCAGCAATTTTTTAAAATTTCAACAAAAATTCCATAATGTATTGTCACCGAAATTATGAACACATGCCAAATTTCAAGTTAATCGGAGTAATGGAATTTTTGTTGAAATTTAAAAAAATGGCTGCTCCAAGATGGCGGACAATATTTGGTCCGATTCCATTCAAAATTGGTGAGTGGGGGTTTTCGAGGTCGGAGATCATGATTTTTTTGTTAAAATTAATAAATTCAAGATGGCGGCTTCCAAATAATTTTTTGTTTTTGTATAAATGACGATAACTCCGTTGTTATCAACACAAAACTATTACTGCGATATATCATCTGTAAGAGAAAAAAAAGTTATTTGTAACTAAGTCATAGTGAGCCATGACCTGCATTTGAAAAACTGGAGTTGGTGCTGATATCTCAAATTCTAGAAGAGTTGGTATAAATTTCATATTTTTTTCGAAATCGCTTAGAAAAACTGCCATGAGAATGTGAAATTAGTATTTGAATATTTTCATGAATAAAGAAGTTACGGAGGAGACATGAAAATGATCAAAATCTGTTTTTTGCGTATAAAACAAAAACGAATAGATTTTATCAAAATATTTTCTCACTTTATAGTTGGCCTTGACAAACTCCACATTTGGTGTCATTTAACCGACCTCGTATCTCTCACCGTTAAAAAGATACCCATGGTGAGCATGGTAAGTGGGACACACTGTATAATACCAGCAATAGGATTCAATTTTTTCCTCAATTGATCTATATGCAGAGTCCACGATAATTGTTCATCAATATAAAGACCTAAACATTTTGTTACATTTGTATATTCAATGGATTTGTTATTGAAACATATTGGGGTATTATTCAATATATCCGTTGTTCTTCTTGAGATGTACATAATTAAGAGTCAACTTATTGGTCGTTAGCCAAGATGATATTTGTTTCAAATCATTTTTAATATCATTATTAATATCGTTAAAACCTTTTGTTGTATCATCTGCGAATAATTTTAGTTTTCCTTTCAATTTCAAAGTAGATATTGAGTTAATGTAAATTAAAAATAAAATTGGCCCCAAAACGGACCCTTGTGGTACACCACATGTAATATTCATTTTGAAACCAATCATGAGATGCAGCTTTGTGGAGCCGGTATTTGATATCGAAAAATACAATAATCATACCGACTGTCGGTTGGGCAAACCCTGAATCCATGCTGCCAGCGCTGTTGTGGGCATGCGCCAGTCTTGCAGAGCGCAAGTTTCTGTTTCCAGAATGCAATGGGCTCGCAACGGGGGCGTTTTCCGGGACCGGACTGAATCCAGATCCGGCTCTCGACGATAGGCCGCTATTGCTTCTTCGTGACCCTAAAATTGTCATGTTTACTCTAGAAAATTTCGGAGAAAAAATTGTTTTCACGCAGATATTTTTTGCATTTTATTCTCACCAGGTCTACTACTGTTTACCCTCTCCCGTACTTCTTTGGTTTTCTCCAACTTTTTCAGTTCCATCAGATAATCCTGAGCTTCTCTCATGCCCAGATCGCTACATAACCTCACTAAAAATCTCAGACATTCCGCATTATCAGGGAATTGCTTATGTATATCCTACAAAATGCATAAACTATTTAGTACCTACATATTTGTTCAGTATATTTTCACGTTAATCTTGAAAGTTTACTATTGGGCACAACAAATACTTTTTATTAATGATTTATTATTCCTAGGGTAATTTTCATTAATGATGAAGATAGTGAATAATTATTAAGTGATATACAGGCTGATTCACGGTGGATGCCACATTAGACGTTTCTGAAAAGTTGGTGCGTTGGATAATAACTTGTGTTCTATCGACCTAAAAGATTCTCAGCGTTGCGACGTTGCCGCTTATAATGAAAAGTAGCAGCAACTTTGATTTTTTAAATTGGACACCCTGTATATTATTCCATTCTCAGATTCTTTCTGGAGAGCTGATTTCATTGACATATAACACTTGGGGGTCTAGCAGTAATAATTACAAAGTTATAGGATGTGAAAAATCGAGGTTTTTCAACTTTAGGAATTTTTTGTGTTGACACTATTTATAATTGGTCAAAACGGTTTTCATGTCCCTTTTCCAACATTTTATTCACTATCAATCGATATTCAATTGAAATAGATACAGAGTGGTTGAAAATATTAATTCTGAACCACCCTGTATCTATTTCAATTGAATATAAAGTGATAGTACATGAAAAGTTCTGATAGGGACATAAAGACCGTTTCGACCATTTATGAATAGTTTCCACACAAAAAATTCTTCAAGTTGAAAAATCTCGATTTTTCACACCCTATATATCTTTGTTATCATTCCCGCTAGACCCCGAGTGTGATAGATCGATGAAATCAGCTTTTCAGGGAGAATCTGAAAATGGAATGATATACAGGGTATCTCATTGAAAAAATCAAAGTTGTTGCTACTTTTCAATATAAGCGACAACGTCGCAGCGCTGAGAATATTTCAGGTCGATAGAACACAACTAATTATTCAAGGAACCGAGTTTTCAAAATAATCCTACGTTGCGTTCTCCAGAAACGTCACCGTGAAACAGCCTGTATATCGAGTAACTAGTCGAAAATATATACAAGTCGCAGATATCTAGTTACAAGACAGAATTCCAGCTTATTCGAAATTCTGAGTTACAAGTCATAATTCCAAGTTATATGACGACAATTCGAATAACTTGGGATATTGATTTGCCAGTCAAAACTCTAAATGACAAGTCGAAATTCCAAGTTATAAGTCAAAATGTCGCGAGTTACAAGACGAAATTTCAAATTACTAGAACCTACAAGTCTGATATTCCAATCATAGTATGAAATTATTCTGTGTTTGAAATTGTATGGATTTATAAGTCTGCCCAAGTTACCAGTAGCTTTGATTTACTAATCGAAAATCTGAGTTTTAAACGGATTACCGAGTTATAAGTCGAAGTTTTCCGAGTTACTAGTCGAAATTCCAAGTTACAAGTCAATATTCGATTAACAAGTCGACATTTCCAGTGTTAATCATTCATTACCATAAATATGTTTCATTCAGTTTCATTGGAAATTTTAAAGCTGGTTTATTGATGTTATAGAATGTGAAGTTTATTAAACAAAATATGTGTTTATCTGTTGATATTTTACCTGATACAAAGTCAGTGCTTTATGCATATTTCCACTACGTCTGTGACAGCCTGCAACCATCATGTTCCATTTTGGCTCGTTCGGTTGCATTATGGCAGCCTTTTCGAAATAAGTCAATGCCTTTTCCACCACTTGCATCTCGATGTAGTACGATCCTAACCAATCGACAACCGACAGGTTTGCAGGATAATATCTATAAGACTGTATTCCATAAAAAAGGAATACCAAAAATCTATATCAATATATGCCACAATCTAGTTGATAGAGATGTATAGAAATTTAACTGGTGGGCTCACTCTTCAATTGTTTCGTCAGACTAACTCTCGATATGGAACAATTGCAAGCGAGTTTTGGACGTGGGGTTCAGGTATTTGCGATAGAGGCGCCATAATCGGAAAATCGTTCAAAACCTTGGTTCTGTGAGGGATGAATCTATATCCATCATTGTTGTGTGGTCGAATAAATACTGTGCTCTACATTTTCATTCAAATTTCAATTTGAAATAGAAGCAAGAAATCTTTTTTGTAGCCGATTTTAATAAGCGTCACTTCTTTCATGACATGAACCTATTTAAAGCATGAAATCTGATGAATTTCCTCTTTGAAGAACCAGAACAAAGAATGTATCAACTATTGAAATAGACCAATATCGAAAATCATAATAGGCAGATATGGTAACTGGTACTCACCTTAGAATTTATTCACACCAGTTCACGCTAATATTTCAAATCACTGAAATAATACTGTTGTAGAACAGAGATTTTCTTTTTTCTATGGTGGATTAGGTATTATACACAAAATTTAGAAACTACGGAACACGTCCCTAACGAACACTTGACCCCAATCTCAGATATAACCATTTTTTCAGCTCAAGAATATTTTTGACATATTGACGTTTCGATTCTTTGATCAGAAATCAGTTCACTGCTCTGATCCAAATCATATACGTATCCAAATATTTATCGGTCGGTAATATGTTTCCTGTAAATATGGATTGTAACTAGGATGAGCTTAGCGAGATTTACCCACGTCAAGTATGTTTACCAAAGGTATATCAGAGTAGGCGCCATCGAGAAACTTGCAAACGAGCAAGCGCACCAGTTAAATTTCTATACATCTCTTAGTTGATAAACAAAAGAAAAGTTGTTGGTGTAAATAATGGCCACGTTGTTTTTCAAGTGTTTTTTTTTCTGTTTCTTACATCAGTGTGATAGTGATGAGCCTGCTGCTTATCGCCTTCTTGATCGTAAATTTCACCCAGCTTCTGTAGCGCCTTAGCGTCGGTGGGAACCAATCCCAGCAGCTGCTGGTAAGTGTCAGCTGCAGCTTCGTTATCCCCGATCAGCTCCAGCAAGTTAGCGACTTGATAGACGACAGCAGGAAGCAGTGCTAAAGACCCTGAGAACCTCTGGAAGCAACCTAGGGCTTCGTTGTAGTGTCCCTGTCGCTTCAAACATAGCCCTGAGCGAATTTTCATTCATTCAAATTTTTATTCCTCTGTATAGTTCATGAGAATTAATTGAAGACGATCGACGCTGTGAAATCAAACCGGCGTATCTGCAAAATTACTTTTTTTCGCCAGAGCGCTTCAAAGTTTTTCTACTGGATTATTTCTTTATATCTACTTGGTCTCTCTTCTCAGACTACTCAGAGCTATCTTTTTCGTGCCTAAAATTGAGTTCAGTTTTGCTTGTCGGTGCATCGGTGGCAAATAACTGGAAAATTGTCTGGTAACAGGAAAATATGTATATAACTATGAAGAGTATCTGCCAATAAGCCATACTCGAGGTCACGCCAGTGCAGCTTAGAGAGTAGTATTTTTACTTTACTTACAAGCTGCAGCAGTTTCCACCACGACATCTCATTCTGGACTGACGCATTGGACAATATACCTGTTGACCTGTTTACTGCTTATAAAAATACTGAATTCCGCCAAAATTCAAACCGGTACGATACCTGACTAATTACAAGTATACTCTATAATGAATTACCTGCCAGACTAAAGAAAAAATTAAGTGTTGAAAAATTCAAAAAAGAACTGAAAAAATACTTATGTCTTTGATTCTCTTCATGTCATCCTGAATCAATTCAAGAAATTATATTTAACAGTCTCTAGAAGAAACAACATTATATGTATTATGTATATGATTTAAAAATGATTATCTGATTATCTATTTTTTTTTTTTTTTTTTTTTAGTTGCTCTTTCATAATTTTCCCTGCTATAAACATGTATGTTTCTTGGGAATAATAATAAAGATAATAAATACATATGCCTCACTCAACGAGGTGAAAAAAACTAGTTATTTATTATACAAGGGAAAAAAGTAGTAGATTTTAGCTCCAGGTTGTGTTGTTGAGACAAAAAACCGTGAGCTAAAATCTAATATTTTTCCCGTGTGTAATACACTATTTTTTTCTGTGACAGAAGAAAGGACGAATCAATATTGCGATGATATTACATTATTTTGAAATCTGAAAATTATCGACGTGAAATTTTAAGTTTTTAACAGTAGGGACACCTGCGTTGTAGGCATCTTCATCATTCTTTTGAAGTAATCAAATAACTGATGTCACTTCTGTCAGTCTAATTCTGTGATTTGATTTCAAAAAATTGCGAATTTAGTGGTTGTTTAGTAATATACGTAACCGCGAAGTCGAATGGAAGATAAAAGGACTTGCAGTTCTTCCTCGAAGACGGTATTATTGACTCATTTTTCGGAACTATAGCACAACAAAAGCCATTAACAGTGTATATATATATGTGATATTTATATCCGGGAAAAAAGTACTCACTTTTTTCCCACGGGAAAAAAGTAATTTATGAAAAGTGACATTTAATAACCTGCCAACAGAGATGAAATGCCACACTTTTTTTGAGAAAAAATGAATTTTTTGACACCAATAACTCAAAAATCCCGTTTTTGCAGACATGCTGGTTTGATTTCACGGTGACAACATATTTTGGCTCCTCCACCATTTTCATAACGTACTTCTTAGAAAAGTCATGGGCAGGGCGATAGACCATATTTCAAAATTTGAAAAATCATCTGAAATGATTTTTGATTTTTTTTTTCGCCACCTACATCAGAAAATACAGAGTGCTCGGAACAAACGATCTACAGGGTACTAGTTTTTTTTTCGAATGTAACTGGCAACAGTGGTGTAAACCCGATTTACACCATACTGAGATGTATTTTGTTTACATTTTTGTTCAGGTTTGAGGTTAGATCATACTGACAAAGTGACAGCTTTCTTCTTATCCTTATTTTCGGATACGTAGGCGTGAAGGAAATAAGTCTAGAAACTCATCAAAGACATCCCCGAATGTCACTAGATTTAAGTAGTAGGTACATCATAGTCTGATTCTAGTCATCAGAAACCTAATACTAGGTAAAGTTGAATAATAATTCTATGATAATTCGTTTGAGGGAAATTTCCTTATTAAGACAGTTTTATGTCAATGTCAACATACCGAGATTGAAAATAGCCTCGAAAAATGTGGGATCGATTTTCAGGGCTTTCTGGAAGCAGCTTTCTGCTTCGCCCAACTTTCCTTTTACCATCAAACTCGCGCCATAATTCACATAACCTTCTGCACTCTTGGCATTCGTTTTCTCAACGACTTCCCCATATTTCAATGCATTATCATAGTCTCCTTGCTACAAAAAAAAGATAATTGATGCAACTAGTGTATAATTGACAGGTGAACATAACCTCAACAAAGAGGCCTTGAAGTCTCACCAGGTAATAGATGAAACTAAGGTTCACAGCAGCATTGATAGCAATGATAGAATCCCTTTCGAAAGCTTTCAGGGTTGCAATGGCCTCTGGCAGCTGTTTCTGCTTGAGAAACATAACCGCCTTGTTGATTTCCAAGTCCGAAGCTAATCTTGCGTATTCAGAGTTTTTTATGGTGGCCACACACCAATCATAACCTAAGAAAATCAACAGGTTATATTTTGTGGATGTGTGGATGATGGGTTACCATCGCTGAAGGATTCTTCTATGAATGGTGCGATCAATTTGGCAGCGGTGTTGATACAATATTCGGCTTCTTTGCGTTTTTGAGTCTCGTATTTGTGTAAATCGTCATTTTGGATTGCTAGAGCAATCAACATGTCTTCAGGAGAATCCTACGAGTTGATTCAAGGAAAAAATATTCATTTTATATTCAATGTATACATATATACTAATATTATAACGAAGAAAAATTGGTGGGGAGGTAGCTTAGAACCAGGAGATGGTTATAGGATACTTTTTATCCCGGTACGATTAGGAAATTCAAGATGGCGGACGAGTTTTGTAATTATGGTCCGATTCTATTAAAAATTGGAATCTGGGAGTTTTCGGGGTCGGAGATTATGATTCTTTCGTCAGAATTTGAAAATTCGGGCGGATTTTGGAAATTCAAGATGGCGGAACCAATATGGCGGACGAGTTTTGTGATTGTAATCCGATTCTTTTCAAAATTGGTACCTAGGGGTTTTCGTAATCGGGGATTATGATTCCTTCGTCAAAATTAAGAAATTCAAGATGAGGGATCCAAAATGGCGGATTTTGTAATTAGAATCCGATTTTATTCAAATTTGGTATGGTCGGAGATTATGATTCTTTCGTCAAAATTAGGAAATTCAAGATGGCGGACCCAATATGGCGGATGTGTATTGTAATTACATTCCTGCATAAAAATGATAAGATAATTTTGGATTCAAGCGTGTTATTTCTTATACAAATTGCATTCGGTTTATTTTCATATTTTGGCGGAAGAGCCCATAATGTATTTTACCTCGGAGAAGAAGATGATAAAATATAGAGGTAGTCTCGAACTTTGGTGGAAAATTCTAGTTGAAAAAATTCTTGGGCGTACCCAATTTTTTTCTGAGGGGATCGGAAATCCGAAAGTTGTGGTTTTATAAATTCCATTTCAGTGGCGTCGGTACTCATTTTTCAAACAACATTTTAAAATTTTATAAATAAATGGAAGTACAAATGAAATCCCATCAAGGCTGTATAGAAATAAAAATGTTAAGAATCCAGAGCAACACTGAAATTTTGATTTCAGGACAATGCAATTTTTTCAAGGGTTCACAATCACCTAGAGTAGATGGAATATGTTCAACACAAATTCGAAGAGAAATAGAAGATCGGACCAGCGATTCGCTACTTTCTCAGCCGTTGAAGATAGATCAAAAATCGAAGATTTGTTTCAAATGAAACAAGGTCGCTGATGACAACTATCTGTTCCAGTCGTCGAGACCTTCAATTCGATGTATTACACGATAGGTCTAACTCTCCCCGTTGCTGGGATATTTCGGTTTTTCCATAAGACATAAAACATAACCTCACTAAAAATTGAAAATCGAGCTAGCAGGCTGAAACTTGGTACATAGAGTAAATTTGGTACGGTGAATCCGAATTTGAAGAGAAATCAGAGATCAGACCAGCGGTTTGCTATTTCTTCAGCCGTCAGAGATAGATAAAAAATTTGAGATTTTTTTCGGGTAAATCGAGGTTGCTGATAACATAGATTAAACACACCTTCATCCATGCTGATAACAAATATCACAACAAATCGTTTGTATTTCTGAAGATAACCAAGATTCGGTCTCATCACCCTGTTTGATGAGGATATGGATTATTGATAAAAACAGTTGCAATCATTGTATTACCTGTTCTAAATTATATTTTTCTTCATCATCAATATTGAGAGGGACAGAAAGTAAGAGAGAAAAAGCAGTTCTCATTCTTTCTTTGTCTTCCAGGGCTTTACAGCACACAACCAAATGCAGCCCAGCCCTGTGGCATGCTTGTTCACTCATTATGTATTCCAAACTACTCACTGCTTCTTCCCATTGACCCATTCTGATGAAAACCATGGCGATATTATGCATTATTTTTATCCTGAAAATTAATAATGCACCAGTTTCAACATAATAATAATAATCATTACAATAATCATTTTGTGTCAAATTCGCTTGAATTCATGGTTTGAATCAGACCAAAGGCAAAATCCTTATATTATTTGAAGTTTCATTACTTTCCTCAAGTGTACCCATACCAACAACTTCATTTTAGGGAATTACTGGAATATTACAACCTTGAGCCAGATAATATTAAGGAATTGGAACAACACCTTTTTTGGCTGAACTGTTCATTAATCGGTTTGAAGCGAATGCAAAAGAAAAATTCTAATAGTTTCCAAGTTTTTTTTTTTTTTCATCGAGGTGGTTGAAATCCTTTATGGACACCATATGGGTGCAATCCCCCATATGATAGTGTGAGAGTCCCCTGACTCCAGATATACCCACTAAACACTCCACCCTATTTGTAGGCTCGTCTGCCCGAAGTCTCCGACGACACTTAGGCCTACTGGCCTATTGTATCTTACCTACATGCCGTTATCAATTTCACCATATACGACTCATGGTGCTTATTAAGGGTCACTTCAATATGAAATACCCTCTTCGTTCAGGTTCCTGAAGATTACTCTTCCGATCCCTGTTCTCGCTACGATGAAGGCCAAAAGTTTTCCTTCTCCTACGAGTGACGGGTTGGAAAGCGACCCCATCATGGGGATGCCAACGGATGGCATAATTCCAAAATATAGCTTTGAAAAAACTTTTAAAATAAGTATGACAGAGAGGTATGGAAGGAAGGACCTCCTATCAATGCAGACATTGCTGTCTATACGGACGGCTCCAAAACTGAGGAAGGATCAGGAGCTGGTATTTATGGGGCCAAGCCAAAGACAAGAATCTCACTGAGCTTAGGCAAATACGCGACGGTGTTTCATCATTGCGTGAAAGAATTGATAAGGCAAGAGTTTAAAGGCAAAACCATTGCAATCTATTCAGATAGCCAGGCGGCAATCAAAGCAGTCAACTATATGCAAGTTAACTCAAAACTAGTATGGGACTGCTTAGAAACCCTAAATGCACTGGGCAGTCAGAATAGATTGACTCTAGCATGGGTACCAGCACATACAGGGTACGAGGGCAATGAAGAGGCAGACTCACTTGCCCGAGCAGGAGCAAACAAAGCTCTTAATGGCCCAGAACCCTTCTGTGGTATTGCGAAAGCTATACAAAAGACTAGTATCAAATCATGGATGCAAACTAAATCTCAAGAATGGTGGAACAACTCGCCAGGAATGAGACAGGCAAAAGAGTTTATTAAAAAATCATCGCCAACATTCACAGAATATCTACTAAGCCAGAAACGAAGTTCAACTAGAATACTAGTGGGACTTCTCACAGGGCATTGTAGGCTCAACAAACACATGAGTACGATAGGTCTGACTGAAGAACTGCTGTGCAGGTTCTGTCAAGAAGAGGAAGAAACAGCAGTACACATACTTTGCCACTGTGAGGGCTTGTCAAAACTAAGGTTCCTTACGCTGGGTGAGGAAAAACCAGGAGCCCAGAGATACACAGGAGATCTGAAAGCTAGCCTATGGAGTCTCATAGAGAAGGCGGGGCTAGCCGAATAACTCTAATCCAAGGCACAATAGATCTGAAAAGGTCGCAGTGTGGAGGCAGATAGCCCGAAGGCCCCATTCCAAATCTAATCTAATCTACGAGTGACGGGGAAAGGGGTTGGTCCAGCCCTGTGGTGCCCCCTGCACAGGGCAAAGGCTACTTACTCTGAGATGTCGCCCTGTTTCCCAGAGGCCCCGTTAGCGACACCATACCTCGGTGCCATTCATACCACGGGTTCCCACAGCTTGGATTAGGTTGACAGAGCCTCGTTGACCAGTCCTCGGCCACCTAGACAGAGATAGCAAAGATGGTCCCAAAATGCTTCATCCGTCAAGCGGCCGCGGTCTGTCCTCCCCACACCACTTGATGGTGAGGTTGGGCTTGAAGGGGGGGAGGAAAAGAGAAGTTGGCCAAGAAAGGCCGATAGATAGATTGAAAAAGGAAGAGAGAAGAGGATATCACCCAAGACAAGTTGAAGTATGGTGAATATCCGGCTAGGGTACCTCGGGTTCACCATTCCCGTACTCACAAGTTGTTAGCCCCTGGATTAGATATGTCGACGATATTTTTTCTATTTTTGAAACGAAAATCACAGAAAAAGAACTTCATTTCAAAATTGAATAATAATTGCTTCCCCTCTATCAATTTAGCTTTGAAAACAACTCAGAATTTGGCGATTTTTTAAAAGAAACTAACACACTTAGATACATATTTAAGGACTCCAATCACTGTTTTCAACAAAAAATGGCAAGTTTGATTTTCTAGTAAATAGACTAGTTTCAATTCTCTGACCAAAGAAATATTTGATCTTGAAAGAATTGTTGTTTATAAAGTGGATGGCGTCAATGGTTATGATATCAAAATAGTAGATAAATTAATACATAGACATAAATTTAAGTTAACACTTCGGCATTCTACGACTTTCCAGCGGATAAAAACAATTAGAGAAGAATCCCAATCCCGCTCAATCCCAAGTACATGAAGAGGGACTTGATAAGTTTTTCAAAGACTTTCAGGTTTGGAAAGTAGGCAATTTATTAGGTAATCCAAAAGATTAGGTGGACACACTTGAAAGGTCAGGAATATACGAAATTAGTTGTAATGATTGATATAAAACATATATAGGCCAAACTAGGCGACCCATCAAAACAAGGTTCAAAGAACATCTAGCATATTTGAAATACGGTAGGTTAGATAAATCCTGTGTAGCTGAACACATGTTTAATCACACTTATACCACACATATTGATGATCTCAAATTAGTTGAGCAAGTTGATTATGTTAGGAAATTATTATCTAAGAATAGTAATAGAGTAATGAATAAAGATAATGGACCCATTCCATATACCCCTCTGTATAGTGTAGTGATATAGATATAAGATTGAGGTGAACATGTGAACTCAACCATGAAAAACATTAATTTGGTGGTGAGTGTCTTTCTGGGTTGGGTGGAAATATACCAAGTATATTGACATAGTAAGTCTGAAAAATAACCTTGAAATAATATACAAAAACTAGAGCTAGAGGAAACCCCTACTAACACCACATCATTTTGAAATTAATTTAATATTTCAACACTCTTAAAAGCTAGTTCATAAGGGACACATATTACAACATATTGAAACATCCCTATTCAAAATGATTTTATGGTTGGAAGGTGTCATTAAAAAAACTCTTGTAAACTATAAAAGGGTTTATTAAAAAATAGTGCTATTATTCTTGGTTTGATATTTTATTGGATCCTACTTTGATGGAATTCCAGCTTGCTGCAGAAGTAGTGTAAAATTTGCCTGGATGTTTTTCAATTGAGCACACTGTTTCCATGACAAAGATTACATAAACTGTTAAAATGTTGTGTTGATTGAAAAGGGATTTGCAGGGGGTCAGGAATTTTTGCTTTGCACATATATTTTACTGTGTTTTTGCCATATAAAAACTGAGTTTATGAGATGATCATTACACACCACCCAGAATGGAATTCCATAGCTTGAATGAGAATTAATCAAAGAGTAATGGTAAACAAAAATAGAAGGAGAAAGTACCTGAGATTTTTTTGACTGGAAGGTACCTGATCAAGAGCCATGCGAAACATCTTGACAGCTAGCTGATATTCACCCTGCTTGAAATAAATGTTCCCCATGTTCACTTTCAGTCTATAAGCATTTGAGAACATCCTGTTTTTGGTTATCATCTGATAGGTGTTGATAGCTTCTGTGTACAACTCATTTGATGCATATTGATTAGCCAAAGTAAACAGAACCTATGGGAAATTTTTGAATAACATTGGCAATTCAATAATGTTTTCCAAGCTCACAGCATAAGTTAGGTCAATATTGTGATGATCTCCTAGCCCAGATTGCTCCTGCATCCTTATCAGATGCCTCTCTTTATTTGAGGCATCTTTTGCTTTGGCCAAAGCTTTTCTGAAATCATTTTCAGACTGGGCAACACAAGCTTCCTCCAGTAGTTGCATAATTTTCAGTTCTTGCTGTCTTATCCTTTCTTCCGGCCTAGACAAACAGTTAGAGAAATGCAAGACTCTGATCTTTTAAAGAGAATTAGTGAGTAAGTATTCACTGTATACCTAGTATCAAGTGTGCAAGTTTGAAAAAGTGCTGATATTTGTTACTAACGAATCATCCTTTTGTAATTCCAGAGGTGGAGCAGGTAGGGAAGCTGCTTGATTCAGAGGGTCAAATGGTTTTCCATGAGATGTATATCCAGCCCCTCTGACAGCAGTCATAGGCCGGCTAACAATGTCTACTCCAGTACCAGGTCGAAAGCTTGTTCCTGGCTTGAAGCCAGTACCTGGTTTATTGAAGTTTGTGGTTAGTTTGAAGCCTGTACCAGATCTATAGCCAGTGCCAGGTTTGTAGGGTGTTCTTGGTACCCCCGAACTTTGACGCTGGAACTGTGATTGAATGATGATGGTTTTTTGTTCAGTACTGTATGTACGTACCTCTGTAGAAGATCCCAGATACATAACAGGCTTTGGGGTTGACATACGCGCCATGTCTGGCATTTTGAAAGATTTGCTTATGTCGTCTTCGTTGGAGATTGATAAATCGAGATCTTGAACCCCAAAATCCGTTTCCATTCTATCTCTATTTCGTCTCCTTCAAATGAAATAATGGAACTAATGGAAATGGTTGGTTTTGTTTGTATTGTTTTGTTTGTTGTTGTCCTTCAAATAGAAATTAGGTTAGGAACTTTGGAACGTTTGTTATTTTGTTCCGTACTCTGAACGACTCCGCTGACGCGTGCGTTTAAATGTAACGTTAAATGGTGAAAATAAACGTTACCTTAAACGTAACCGTTGTCTTCCATGTGGTTAAGGCAAAGTTAACGTTAATGTGGAAAGTAATGAATAATGCTAATGATTGGCTGTGCTGTGCCGTGATCTGTCACTTCTGTCAGATCTGTGTGTTTCTAATTTCTATGAAAATGGCAGGAAAAAAGTTCTCTGAATATTAATAATAATATTTTACTTCTTGAAACCAATAATTTTGAACAGTTTTGTACAAATTTCTGTACCAAAATGAACGATTTTCATTTTATTTTCTCCTATTGATAATTGAACGTTCTCAGTAATCCCTACACATTTTCTATTTTTTTTCTGCAATGGAAAACTCAAAATATGAAGATCTTTGTAGATTGTGTGCTACCAAAACTACAATGGTTTTAGCTATAAATATATTCGAGCATGAAGGAACTATTCGCCAGATCAGCAAAAAGATAGAAACTTGTCTTCCTATAAATGTGAGTTCAACCCACAGCTAGAGCCCATTCTAGAGCTAACTGGCTGTATTTTTTTTTCAGATAAATCAAACTGATGAACTTCCCAAAATGATATGTGAAAATTGTCTGTACAAACTAGAATTATTCTGTGATTTTCGTGAACGATCTGTTAGGACTGAAAAGTTGTTACTAGAACTATACAAAGAGCTATCTTCTAGTCTACTCAGTGATACACAGCACACCTGCTTAGTCCCTATGGATGGTAATGGGCTGATTATCGTCCCACACCAACTGCTTACAAATCATAATGTTTCTGACTTGGACCTGGGGCCATTGGATGGCAGAATGATTGTCCAACAAGAAATAATACATTTAAATTCCCATTCATTGGACATTATGAATAGCCATAGTTTGAGTAGTCAGGACTATTCCAATCAAAGTGTGCTTACTCAGGACTCTGCAGTGATAAATTCCAGTGGGCAGAGTATGGAAGACAGTAAGTTTAGTGATAATTTAGGGCTCATACAGCATCAGCTTCTGAGTGAGCAGTTCAAGCTTCAACATGAGTATCAAATAGGAATTCAAAATGCTAATGAAGTTAGTTTGGCCAATGGGGTAAGTGAATTCATTTTGGAATGCTGTGGTACTAATTATTAATAATTCATTAGGAAGAGTATATTTTTTATAGGTTGATACTCAAGATTCTGATCAAAGCTATAGTATTACTAAAAATTTAGACCATGAAGGTATATGTTCTATAGAATATGAAGAATCCAAACTTGTTGATAATAATACCATAGATGCTTATAAGCATGAAGATAGTAATAGTGGACATTCCCTTCATGTAGATGACCATATTAGCAACATAAGTCCTCATGATTCAGTGGAAGCTGAGAAAATTTACAGTTTGGATTCTGATAGCAGTAATGTGCACATAGAAGATCCCCAGATATCTGAAAATAGACAATTCTATGATTTGGACAGTAGCAATAGTGAGTCTCTGTTGATTTTGAGCAGTAACAAAAATTGGTTCTATTGTAACATGTGTGGGAAGTCCTATGAAGATAAAACAATGTTTGAAGCACATTATAATATTCACTTTCACAAATGTAGCTTGTGTTTGGCTGTTTTTACTAGTGAAGATGTATTTTTGGAGCATAGGACTGTTTGTGTAGAGGATTCTAAGGTAAGAAAGTTCTTTATAATGCATCATAAAGCAATAATGTAATCATTATAAATCTATCACAATTAATGGATCAATGAAAAAAGAAATACTAGACAATTAATTCTCTTTACCCTAAGGTTTGTTTTTTCCCTAGACCTAGATTCACCATTTCTCAATAATATCAACTGCTATTTATTTATTATTTTTATTCAGATTATCTGCAATTTTGACTAAAATAATGGATCAAATCAAAATTGGTATGTCCCTGTCTTTTTAGACACTTTATTTTCTTTTTCCTACAAAAGTGTTGTAAACCCAGTTTTGGGGAAGTTGCAAATTTTATGTTCAAAAAAAGATACTCTGACTTTGATTAGCATGGTCTTGTGGGGCATAAAAAAATTTAAGAATTGGGACTCTTGCATTTTTTTTTCATTCAACTAACTGTTTTCTAGAAAATTGTAACCAATGAAAGGGGAAGTCATGACATTGTTTTCCAATGCAATCAGTTGAAGGCTTGCATGCAGAGGTAATCATAATAATATGATCACAATTTCAGATCATTTTTTTTTGTCCAAATTACAGTGGCTGTAGCTTCGAGGGGGTACATTTTAGGCCACATCTTTATATCAGGATTGGCAAATATAATGATATTTATATAAATATCCGAATTTATATCAAAATTTTGATATTTATTTATATTTTCAATTATTCTGGAATTATTTCATCTGTCTTATGCTTGGAGAATTGAAGATATTCTTTGAATTAAAAATATCTTATTGGTAATAATATTATGTTATAAATAATGAACATGCAGGTACATTTTTATTTCAATTCTATTCTATTCAATGAAAGTTGGTGAATACATAATATATAAATTTTGTATTAATCATTATTCATTAATTTTTGCCTGCCTTCAAAGTTGTTGTTCACCAAATAACAAAAATTGAGGTCACAACAACTTAGAGCCAAAAGAGAACAACTAAAATAATATTTCCATTATGAAACAATTAAAGAAGTCTAGGCATTGTAAAATTTTTCGACGATATTTACATAGAATTATGATTCACCCCTTGTCTATCTTGTTTATTATAAAAAATGAACCACAGGATCAGCATGGCAAAATATACATCTAGATATTTATTGACGATTGTCATTCTTGTAGTCACTCTCACAATATGAAATGCCTCACCGTTGAAAACATGACATCATTCCGAAAGTGTCAGTTCCAATATTTTCAGCTTCTCAGCACCGAATTCTCGACAGCAGAAATGCTCATAGAAAAAAACCCCGACCCGAAACTGTCTAATGACGACAGCGATTCCGAAGGCGATCCGAACGCCTCCGAAGCCAACTGAACCCAACGGAAGGCGCCCGAGCCGGTCGACTTCGACGATATTTACATAGAATTATTATGATTCACCCCCTGCCTATCTTGTTTATTATAAAAAATGAACCACAGGATCAGCATGGCAAAATATACATCCCCCGACCCGAAACTGTCCAATGACGACAGCGATTCCGAAGGCGATCCGAACGCCTCCGAAGCTAACCGAACGCAACGGAAGGCACCCGACCTGGTCGACTTTGACAATATTTACATAGAATTTTGAATCACCCCCTGTGTAAATTGTTTATTATATAAATTGATCCACAGGATCAGCATGACGAAATATACATCTAGATATTTATTGACAATTGATATTCTTGTAGTCACTCTCACAGTATGAAATGCCTCACCGTTGAAAACATGACATCATTTCGAACGTGTCAGTTCCAATATTTTCAGCTTCTCAACACCGAATTCTCGACAGCAGAAATGCTCATACAAAAAAACCCCGACCCGAAACTGTCCAATGACGACAGCGATTCCGAAGGCGATCCGAACGCCTCCGAGGCCAACCGAACGCAACGGAAGGCGCCCGAGCCGGTCGACTTCGACGATATTTACATAGAATTATTATGATTCACCCCCTGTTTATCTTGTTTATTATAAAAAATGAACCACAGGATCAGCATGGCAAAATATACATCTAGATATTTATTGACGATTGTCATTCTTGTAGTCACTCTCACAATATGAAATGCCTCACCGTTGAAAACATGACATCATTTCGAACGTGTCAGTTCCAATATTTTCAGCTTCTCAACACCGAATTCTCGACAGCAGAAATGCTCATACAAAAAAACCCCGACCCGAAACTGTCCAACGACGACAGCGATTCCGAAGGCGATCCGAACGCCTCCGAGGCCAACCGAACGCAACGGAAGGCGCCCGAGCCGGTCGACTTCGACGCGAAGGCGCCCGAATCGTTGGATTTGGACCCGAGCACTCCCGAGGGGGCCGTAGAACGAGACGAGGACTCCGAAGATGGCCCTAAACAGCGAAAGTTCTCGCCCAAAGAGTGCAAGGAGTGCGGCAAAACGTACAAGACGAACTACAAGTTGACGGAGCACATGCGCAAGCATACGGGAGAGAAGCCCTACAAGTGCAAGTCGTGCGAGAAGGCTTTCAGGTCGAAAATCGGCTTGGCACAGCACGAGGCCAAACATACGGGTATGCATGAAAGCTTGTACAGGGGGGTTATAAATAAAAATCATTAATACTTTCAACTTCAACATCCTGTAACTCAAAAACGGAGCAAGTTAGGACACATGTTTATATGAAAAGGAAAATATCAATAAGTAGCGCTTTCATAAGGGCACGGGGAACCCCATTCTGGTATATGAAATGTTCATTAAAAACCAATAGTATGCGCTCTCAGGGCACGGGGCCCTTCATTTATTGAGAACCCGTTTTTTTCTGAACTTTTGGAATTCTTGGCTATGAGCATTGACAGTCAAGAAATAGTAGCATCATGAAAAATTTTTTCAACGCCGAGTAAGTCTCGCATAATAGTAGATTGTTTTATTAGGATCAAAAGTGACACTTTGTTTGACAAGCGAATTTTGCATTTGCGAGGCGGAGCGTTTAGCGAAGCCGAGCGAAAGCAAAATTTGCGAGTCGAACGAAGTCACTTTTGATCCGAATGAAACATGCTATTTTTTCTGCAACCGAAACAATTAACTCAAATGAACATGTGAAGTAATCACCAATGTCGTGCCATATGTATGCAATGCAACAAATATTGACAAATAATTCATGTGGTGAGAATATTCTACCTGCATTAACAGCAGGTTAGGTTTTCTAGGATGTTCGAATTGTAGTTTCAATATAAATACAACCACAGAGTGACATATTTATGTATGGACCAGGTGCTCTAATGGCAAATACCGCGACAGTGCCAGCTATAGGAACAAGACGTGGAAAATGTTAGGTTAGTGAGCATATCAACAATGATAATAGTGATTATTTATTCCTCTCCATACTACACTGTGTTTGACTCGATAATCAAATGAAGCTAAACAATAGCGTTGTTTGAGGCAAATAAACTATTGCTTGCCGTGATTATTCAAAAACAAGTTATCCATCCCGAGAATAACGAATGAAATACAGATCAAGCAAGTATTTGAATCTTGAAGGCTTTCCTGATCAAAAGAAAAATACGTAACTGAGATGTTTATAATCCCAATACTAAATTATAATAAGGTGTATTTATATCTCCAGCATGGGTATGAAATGCCAAATCTGCTGAAATCGGAAACAAATCAGGTATGCGTCTCAACCCAAATAACCAACCGTCACAATGTTGTTTATTCTTGATGACGTCCAGTAGTTCCTTTTTAGTTCCTAGGAGCTAAAGTTCAACTTTAGCTCCTAGGAACTAAAATTCAACTTTAGCTCCTAGGAACTAAATATGTTGCCTAGCAACATACCAATTTTTGTGTCAGTAATAGAAACGTCAATTTAAGAGCTAATTTTGGTATCAAAATGGACGACTTTTGTGTCGGTTGCAGAAAAAATAGGTTATTCTTCCACTTCAATATCATTTGTTTTTGTATTGTAGACCTTTCAATTAGGCTGAAGATGGTCTTTTATAAGACGGAAACATGTCCCTCATGATTAAGTAACAATATCATTAAAATTTGTGGAGATGACTTCGAGCATTCCTTCCTTCCTGTGAAATAAATAAATAAATAAATGTATTGTTACGTTATTCGGGTGCAGAAGCGAACACGACACTATTTATTTTCGAACTGATTTATTTGAACTAAAGAAACACTAATTTATATCGAACTTATAACTACTATTTATGTAAAACGATTTATAACACGCGGTATATAACTGTCTCTCTGACACTCGCTGTTTGACTCCCCGACAGCAGTTATTCGGCCGTTTATATATGAGATAACTAGACAGGCTTTGGTTCGAGAACCTTCTCGAATGATCTTCCTTCCTTCTTTTTGTTCTACATAGAAGCTTCTTAGAACAAACCTCTCTCTCTAATTCTTCCATCGATTGTTTCCAGAACATTCCAGAATCTTCTGTGACGTTATCTGTCACCGCGGCATATATTGAGTGTTCGGAAATATGCTAGTGCATTGGGAGGTAGGAGAGCAATCTGGTATGCGTGATACAGGATGATCGTTGTACTCCTGCCTTCCTGCTGATGTTTCTAAAGCCCCTCCTAGGGGAATATCATTACAGTATGTTTTTACTCATACCAGAACTTGTTCTGACTGGAAGATATTTTTGATAAATAAATAATGAAAAAAAAATACCCCGAATTTCTTTTTGCTTCGCCAGGCCAGTACGAGTTCTCGTGCCCCACCTGCGGCAAGGGCTTCCAGTGCAAGAGCTACCTCATCGGCCACCAGCGCGTCCACTCCAATCTGAAGCCCTATCCGTGCACCACGTGCGGCCAGAACTTCAAGACGAAGCAGTCGCTGTTGGACCACACGAACCGCCATCTCGGCGTGAAGCCGTACATTTGCGACGTGTGCGGCAGAGGATTCATCACGAAAGGTCGGTGTGATCCAGAAAATAATAATAATAATAATAATAATAATTGAATGGGGAGCAGCAAATCCCTGAGTGGTTTATCGAGGGGCGAACCGTGCTTCTCCCTAAGACTGGAGATTTGTCCAATCCGAAGAATTACAGACCAATTACCTGCCTGAATGCATGTTACAAGTTGTTTACACGCATCTTGTACATGCGAGTACTCCTAGTAGTTGATCCGGTTTATCAACGGATTTCTGAGCAGCGTGGGTCGAAGAGAGGTGTCGCTGGCTGCAAGGAGAACCTGTTGATAGATAGATCTATTACACAGGACTCTGTGCAGTACAAGCGGAATCTTTCTGTGGCCTCGATCGATTACCGAAAAGCATTTGACACAACGTCACATGAGTTACTCGTGTACTTGCTCAAATGTCTTTCGGTACCCGATTCTATAGTGAGATGCATAGAACAACTGATGCTGGTCTGGAAGACCCGCTTTACTATAACATCAGGTAATGCGAGAGTTCAGACAGAGCCAGTCATCATAAGGAGAGGCAGATACAAGCTAACAAGCCTGATGTAGTCCTCCTCGACCATCAAACCAAAGCGATGTTCGTGATCGAGTTTTCGGCGCCAGCCGAACCGAACATCGTTTTGAAGGAGGAGGAAAAACGGACTAAATATCGAGATCTTCTCTTCGAACTCCGCCGGCTCTATCCAGACCATTCTGTGGAATTGGTCATCCTGATAATCGGCTCCCTAGGAGGCACACGACACACGCTGCTCTCGGAGATCCAGAAAATCCCAGCGTGCCGTGATAAGGCACACATCCTGGCTGGTGGAATGCAGAAGGCCGTCATACTGGGATCATTGCGTCTACTTAGGGCACACGGTACTTGGTCCCAGTGATTACTCACCTCACAGGCTGTGAGGAGTAGTCACTGGATTTTATCCAGCACGACTCTGCGTGACGTCGGAGGCCGCAGGGTCGTGACTGGAATTATATGAACTAAATAATAATAATAATAATATCAGTTCATTATGATCAACAAGAAATTTTGTGTACAATTCGTCAAGGCTATAGATAAAGTGAATACAATACAATAATACAATCTCAAATAATATGAGTTTTACAAACATTTGGATAAAATACATCACATTCACATGAAAAAAAAAAAATTAAAATCAGTTCATGAAACAGTCAAAGAACTCACTAAAACTCACTAAAACATTGCACCGTGTGGTGGTCGGATTAGAATAACCCCACGGTAAGTCCTGCCTGTCGTAGAAGGCGACTAAAAGGACGCCAATAGGTGGAAGATGGTTAACGCCATCGCCCGGTGCGATACCACCACATCAACCATAGGCACTGTGAAATGGGTATACTTACCCGTGTTTCAGTAGCTGGTTGATGTTCCGGCCAACCCAACCCAACCCAATTTCCTTTTCCTTCCACGCCAACCTCCCTTCTTCATACAGAATACGCGATGATGAGTTCTCCTCAAGTAAAATTATCCGGAAGTAAAATACCTCTCCATTCGGATTTCCGGGCGAGAGGTGCTAGAGGGGGTTCACCATCGGCTGAAAAAGTCCTCAAGATAGACCTATGTAACATCCGAGGTCTAAGTAAGAACATCAACGATGTCCATCGACACCTTCAAATTGAAAAGCCAGACATATTGGCTCTTACTGAGACACAGGTCAATTCATCCACCAATACGACCTATCTGCTCTGTCCTGGGTACGAACTCCACACACGTTTCAGATTCAAGGGAGGTCTCTGCCTCTACTCTAAAACGAATCTCTCATGTCAACGAGAAAAAACTTTGGAACCAAATAAGTTTGATGTCATGTGGTTCAAACTCGATAGCCAGAAACAGACCAAATACCTTTGTTGTCTCTACTTATCACCAAATGATCCATCCTATGAAGAGCTCTTCGAATTCTTGTCTTTGAAGCTTGACCAAATTCAACAGAACCATCCAGCAGCAGAAATCATCATCATGGGCGATTTCAATGTACACAACACTGCCTGGCTCGTACACTCTAACAGAACGGATGAAGCTGGGCGACAAGCCGAAGCTTTCGCCATCACTCACGGCTTAGAGCAGCTTATCAAAGAACCCACACGAATTCCCGATGCCAATAACCATTCAGCTAACATACTTGACTTATTCCTCACAAATAATTCAGCACCCTACACCATAGATGTACGAGCTCCACTTGGCAATTCTGACCACGCACTCATCTCCACAACCTGCCCATTTTTCATTCCATCAACTGCTCCGGCACCCCCACGTCTTATATGGCATTACAATTCAGGAGATTGGGACGGTCTCCGCATGTTTTTTTCCGAGTTTCCTTGGCATAGAGTATGCTTCGACTCTGAGGACCCTTCACAGTGTGCTGCGGAAATATCCGAGATCATCATGCTCGGAATGGACACATACATACCTCATTTTTCGAAAAGATCATCACCTTCGAAACCCTGGTTCAACAAAAACTGTTCTAGAACTGTTGCCTTGAAACAAACAGCCTACCATCGCTGGCGCAAAAACCCTAACCTCGCGACTAGAGCAGAATACGTTGATGCCAGGAATAACTGCAGCCAAACAATAGATGCTTCTAAAGAAACATACAATGCCAAGATAAGATCGAAACTCATAGATTGCCCCAATGGCTCCCGTTCGTTTTGGTCCCTTGCTAAAGCGGTCGGAAGAAATTTCACTAATAGTTCATTTCCACCACTGTCCAAATCCGACGGCACATTAGCAACAACATCGCAGGAGAAAGCAAATATCTTTGCAGAGATGTTCGCAGCAAACTCTACCTTAGATTCCCAAGGAAAACTGCCGGCAGACATTCCACCCGTTGAGAGTCGAATGCCCGAAATCGTCTTCCGTCAACGCACCATCAGACGAATTTTGCTTGATCTCAAAACGAATAAGGCTAACGGTCCTGATGGAATTCCACCCATTATCCTCAAAAAATGTGCACCAGAATTAACACCGATCCTCTGCAAGTTGTTTACCATCTCGTACAGGTCGGGTATTTTTCCATCATGCTGGAAGACAGCTAGAGTCCAACCAATCCCCAAAAAAGGAAACAAGAACCTGCCCAACAACTACAGGCCCATTGCCCTGTTATCAGTAATCTCCAAAGTGATGGAAAAAGCCATCAACATTGAGCTCATCAAATATCTGGAGAGCTCAGGAATCATCAATGATAGACAATACGGCTTTCGCCACCGAAGATCTACTGGAGATCTACTTGCCTACGTCACCCATTTATGGCAATCTTCAATAGAAAAACACGGGGAATCTCTAGCTGTCGCGTTGGACATATCGAAAGCATTCGACCGTGTTTGGCACGAAGGACTCCTCCACAAACTACCATCATACGGCTTACCACCTCAGCTATGCCATCTCTTATCGAGTTTTCTTTCAGGCAGATCGCTTCACGTGGTGGTGGATGGTGTATCGTCTGATACCATTGGCATCAATTCCGGCGTTCCACAAGGATCAATTTTGGCACCAACATTATTCCTGCTTCATATCAATGATCTGTTGGGAGTAACAACTTGCCCCATCCACAGCTTTGCAGATGATAGTACTCTCCATACTGCGTTCTCTTCCAGAATTCCCATTTCTTCCCAGGAAACTAAGAACTCACGGCGCAGGCAGGTCAATGCTGTCAATGAAGATCTTGCTGAAATCACAGCCTGGGGAACAAACAACCTAGTTGAATTCAACGCCACCAAAACTCAAGCCTGCATTTTCTCTAGAAAGGCGGAACTCAGTATGCCCGATATTGTAATGTCTGGCTCCACCATCCCCACCAAGCCCACCATATCTATGCTCGGTATTTCCATCAGCAACACTCTTTCATGGGATAATCATGTCAGATCCATCGCAAAAGCTGCTTCACAAAAACTTGGATTCTTGTTCCGTGCGAAAAGCTACTTCACACCTCAACAGCTTCTCATGATCTACAAAGCGCAGATACGGCCTGTTCTAGAATACTGTTCCCACATATGGGGTTCAGCACCAAAACATACGCTGATGCTCTTAGATTCCATCCAGAGAAGAGCCATTCGCCTGGTGGGTGACGCCACACTCACTCACTCTTTGACATCATTGGAACACCGTAGAAAGGTCGGCGACCTTTCACTTTTCTATCGATACTTCCACGGGAAATGTTCTTCGGAAATCTCTGCTATCATCCCTCCACTAGCAATACCAATCAGACGAACAAGACAAGCCCAGTCAGCACATCCTTTCGTTGTCAACCTCGAAAGATGTCGAACAGCACTTTATCAAGACTCCTTCATCCATAGAACGGCTAGGCTGTGGAATTCATTGCCTGTGGAAGTATTCCCAACAACATATAATCTTCAAAAGTTCAAAAAAAAATTCCAATACCTACCTCTTGTCCCTATCCTCCCTAGGAACGCACGATGTTCTTTGAACATTATAGGGATTCCCTTTCGTGCGCTCCAAGCGATAAAAAAAAAAAAAAAAAAAAAATATGTTTAGTGAGGAGAGCTTTCAGGCTATTCCTAAATTTGACGTGAGTGGTACAATCTCTGACACTTCCTGGCAAATTGTTGAAAATCTTGATACCCATGTTTGTAGGGCCAATGTAGGTTAGTTGTAAGGTGTTTTTAGGTGGGTAAAGTAGGTTGTTATTCCTTGTTGAATAGGAGTGTATGTCGGAGTCAGAAAAACCGGATTTATTTGTTTGAATAGTATTTGTTTCATTGATAAATTTCTTTTGAAATATCAATCAATCAATACATTCATAATGAATGAGCGGAGTTTCACAATATTACATGAATGGTATCAAGCCCATTGAAGCTGGTGTTCCTCAGGGTGCAGTTTTATCTCCGCTGTTGTACAGTTTATACAGTGTGTCCCACTTACCATGCTCACCATGGGTATCTTTTTAACGGTGAGAGATACGAGGTCGGTTGAATGACACCAAATGTGGAGTTTGTGAAGGCCAACTATAATGTGAAAAAATATTTTGATAAAATCTATTCGTTTTTGTTTTATACGCAAAAAACAGATTTTGATCATTTTCATGTCTCCTCCGTAATATTCAAATAGGAACTTCATATTCTCATGGCAGTTTTTCAAAATGATTTCGAAAAAAATATGAAATTTATACCAACTCTTCTGATATTTGAGATATCAGCATCAACTTTAGTTTTTCAAATGTAGGTCATAGCTCACTATGACTTAGTTACAAATAACTTTTTTTTCTCTTACAGATGATATGTCGCAGTAATAGTTTTGTGTTGATAACAACGGAGTTATCGTCATTTATACAAAAACAAGAAATTATTTGGAAGCCGCCATCTTAAATTTATAAATTTTAACAAAAAAATCATGATCTCCGACCTCAAAAACCCCCACTTACCAATTTTGAATGGAATCGGACCAAATCTTGTCCGCCATCTTGGAGCAGCCATTTTTTTTAATTTCAGCGAAAATTCCATAACTTCGATTAACTTGAAATTTGGCAGGTGTTCATAATTTCGGTGACAATTCATTATGACACAATAAATTGCAATAAATAACATTTCTAGAGCTAACGAAAATTTTCAAAATATTGATCATTTTACTCACCATAGTTTGGAAAGCACTGGTTTGGTTCCGTTGTACAGAGAGCTCTCTCCGAGGCTCTCTCGCACTACTCCCGCACTGTTGCCAGCTTATGTTTTTATCCTTTCATCCACTGTTTCTTGAGAAGCACCGGTTTTAGTTCACAACAGGTGTTCAAAATTAGCGCCACCCATTTCTATGCAGAGTCTCGCACGGCGTAGTAATGATTCACAAGCCCGCTGAAAACTACCTTGTTGTCGCATTACTTGAACCGCATTAAAATCACTTGGTTCTCGATATTCCGAAACGGTGGTGCATAAACCAAATTTTTCAAAAAACCCCACACAAAAAAGTCCATCACATTCAGATCCGGGGAGCGTGGTGGCCACGGTACAGGCCCTCCCCAATCCATTTTTGTGGAAATTCGCCGTTCAAAAATTCCCGAACTATTGCACAGTAATGGCTAGGAGCTCCATCATGCATTAAAAACATTCTTTGTCTGAGTCCCAATGGCAAATCTTCTAAAAGAGTATCTAGATCATGTTGTAAAAATTCAAGTCCATTCAGTCTTGGCGGCAACTCATGAAGTCCAATTAAAACTCCGTTCACTACTCCACCCCATAGATTGATCGAGAAGCGATGTTGAAAATCAGTTTGCTTAGTCACATGTGGATTTTCAACTGCCCAGTGGTGATAATTATGATGATTGAAAATACCATTTCGGGTGAATGTTGTCTCATCAGTGAAAAGAATTTCATTCAGTAAATTTGGATTGACTTCATGTTGACCTAGTATCCATTCACAAAATTGTATCCTTCGTGGATAATCTTCGGGCTGCAATGACTGCACACGCTGATAATGGAAGGGATGCTGCATGTCCTCATTCAAAGTCCGCCAGACAACTTTATTCGAAACACCTAACTGACGACCAATGCTGCGGGTACTTGAGGTTGGATCGTTTTCAAGAATGTCCAAAATTCGTTGTTCCATGTTTATAATTCTGAGAGGTCTATTCCTACCGGCATCTCGTCCTCTGTGAGTGAATATTTCACCTGTATCGCGGGCTCTCGCTGAGCAAGTGCGACAAACCTGCGACCACGGGGATGAACACGATTGGGAAACCGTTCTGCATAAAGACGGGAGGCTGCTTCAAAATTTTGTTGCGTTTCGCCATAAATTAGGAGCATATCTATCAGTTCGTTATTCCCATACACGTGGGCGTTTGCCATTTTGAGGAACCGAAATTATTAAATACAAGCACAATGCACAAATTCGTTGCACAACTGAAACTAAAATGTTTTTATATCGAATTGGCAAACCTGTTCCGCGCGGATAGTGAGTTGACAACAACTGTCATTTGCTGTTGTCATACTAATCATTCATGAAATCCGATAGATTTCACGTTTGAATGGTACTCTGATGTGAATATAGGTCTTTGAGGTCGACGAAAAAATGTCATATGCACCTCGACGAAAAACTGTCTCGCCTGATTGGCTGAGGCGCTAAGGCTTTGGCTATTAATTTTCAGACTCGACTATAAAAGACAGTGTTTTGTCCTTGATACCTATAACTATTACCCGAAAAATTTTCTCGAATTATCGAATTGGCAGCGGTTCCACAGAGACCCTTAGAATTTTTTGCTTTTTCCGCAGATGAAAGGAGAAAAAATATATCACTTTTTCACTATTTCAGGGGTGTGTCGTGCCCACAATATAGGTCTTTGAGGTCGACGAAAAAATGTCATATGCACCTCGACGAAAAACTGTCTCGCCTGATCGGCTAAGGCCTTCGTCTATTAATTTTCAGACTCGACTATAAAAGACAGTGTTTTGTCCTTGATACCTATAACTATTACCCAAAAATTTTCTCGAATTATCGAATTGGCATCGGTTCCACAGAGACCCTTAGAATTTTTTGCTTTTTCCGCAGATGAAAGGAGAAAAAATAAATCACTTTTTCACTATTTCAGGGGTGTGTCGTGCCCACAATATAGGTCTTTGAGGTCGACGAAAAAATGTCATATGCACCTCGACGAAAAACTGTCTCGCCTGATCGGCTAAGGACTTCGGCTATTAATTTTCAGACTCGACTATAATCAAGGGCGTCGCCAGAGAGGGGCAGGGTGGGGCAGCTGCCCCCCCTACGATTAACGCTCACCAGTCACCCTGCTATCATTGAAACGACTATTTCATTCATCACATAATCTGACCAATCACAAGCCAGAGAAAACGTGTGCTTATCGCGAAAACTAGATGTTTTCAATGATGTAACCATGGGTAGCGAAGCGAAGTCTGTCAATTTGACAAAAAATAATGACTGTACTTGTCAGAATGAATCATTGAATCAAAATAAATGCTTCTTTGCTTCGTGAACGTGAAATAGTCTCCACTCTGTTCAGAATATATTCTCATAATTCTTCATTTCCTTGTCAAATCTATTGTGTTGCCGTACAGCCCTACCTTTCGTCCTGACTCGTGGTGTTGCTCAGCAACACAATTTCGTGAACAATGAGGCAACAGAATTATCTCGAATATTAAGAATATCGTGATATTACTTATGATAACTCTCACTTTGAGCAAAGAACTTCCGAAAGTATATTTTTCTCCTGAACTTGAGAAGGCTCTGAAGATCCTTGTTGCCTTTACCTTGTAAGATTTGTACAGTTGAAAGGTCATTTAGTAGCCTTAGGAGATCAAAACCTGGTTGAGGAGCACCATGTATGATGCTCGACTCAATGGCCTCGCAATGATGAGTATACACAGGCAACATATTTTCAAAAACTTGAACGATTTCGTCAAAAAGTGACCAACCAATTCCCAAAGAACCCTAGAAGATTATTTTTCAACTGATTTACTGTATAGATTTTTTTCTGTTTTTTGATTTTCTCATTAAACTCTTTCTATTTGATTTTTCTCTTCAGTTTTTTTATGGTGCCCCCCCCCCCCTATTTTTTCCGCTGGCGACGCCCTTGACTATAATATACAGTGTTTCGTCCTTGATACATAAATAACTATTACCCGAAAAATTTTCTCGAATTATCGAATTGGCAGCGGTTCCACAGAGGCCCTTAGAATTTTTCGCTTTGTCCGCAGATGAAAGGAGAAAAAATAAATCACTTTTTCACTATTTCAGGGGTGTGTCGTGCCCACAAAAAGACACATACTGGTTTCGATAACCGAAAGTACTCGTGCAAGATATGCGAGAAATTGTTCGTCTCTAAGAGCTATTTGCGCACTCATCTGCGCATCCATACAGGAGAGAAGCCCTACATGTGCGAAGTGTGCGGCAAAGGCTTCCTCACAGGTAAGAAATAATCATAGAAATAAAGCATGCTGTGTTGATTTCATTAAATTCGTTTGAGTTTGATTACGGGTAAATGAATAGAACAAAAATTCCACTTACTGCCGTTAACTCGCCTACGTATATGATAAAACTAAAGGATGGCTTTGATTATTTTGATTTTTTCGTATGTTCATTTGTTTTACCTTTACCCTGTATAGGTCGCGTGCACGATGACCGACCCTGGAGGTAAAACATCGAAACACAACCTCATTTTTCTCTTAAAACATTGAAACACAACCTCACTTTTCTTATTTGTTTACAAATAGGTTGCGTGCACGATCACCGACCCTGGAGGCAAAATATTGAAACACAACCTCACTCTTCTGTGAATTATTGAAACACAACCTCACTTTTTCATTTGTTTACAGAGGAATCAAAAGGTTGAAATAGTTTTTCACAATATTTTGGCATACGAATCGTGTTTCTTGCGTTATTCATTAATTCAAGCATGCCTTCGCATTGTGCTGTTGTGCAATGCACAAAAAATGCAGCAAGAGACTGGGGAATATGATTTTTCAGGTAAATAGTAATCTCACATAGTTATCATTATGAATCATTCCGTATTAAAATTCCTTCTGCCTTCTGCCACTTCTGCAATACAAGCTAATACTGCTGATAGATTGAAAATGTCTACAACACACACGATCGTCAGCATGTCAGACCAGTCCTCCCGATTGATTGCATGAATCCAATCTTCTTGCATTATTCTAGAAATTTCAGGTATATTTCTATTAGCTCTTATTGCAGAAGGAATTCCGATGAGAAATCAGAGAAATAACCAAATTTCAAAAATGAAAACTATATGTGAGTGACTATAGAAGGTATTTACTTTTAAATCATAATGTACCATCCGGATTCCTTCATCTTCCGCTGCAGTTTTTGTGCATTTTATAACAGCACAATGTGATGGCATGAGCGAATTGATGAATAGCGGAAAAATACGATTCATATGCCAAAATAATTGTGGAAAACTATTTACCTTTCGATCACTCGTAAACAAGTAAGAAAAGTGACGTTTCGTTTCAATGTTTTGCCTCCAGCGTCGGTCGTCTGACAGTTCTTGCACGCAACCCATGAATCGAAGGATGTTTTGCGTGCAAGAACTGTCAGATGACCGACCCTGGAGGTGAAACATTGGAACACAACCTCACTTTTCTTATTTGTTTACAAATGATTGAAATAGTTTTTCTCCATTATTTTGGCATACGAATCGTGTTTTTCGGGTATTCATTAATTTGCGCATGCCATCACATTGTGCTGTTGTACAATGCACAAAAACTGCAGCGGAAGACGAAGGAATCCGGTTTGTACATTATGATTTAAAAGTAAGTACCGACTATAGTCACTCACATATAATTTTCATTTTGAAATTTGGTAATTCCTCTGATTTCTCATCAGAATTCCTTCTGCAATAGGAGCTAATAGAAATACTCGTGAAATTTCTAGAATGATGCAAGAACATTGGATTCATGCAATCAAACGGGAGAACTGGTCTGACATGCTGACGAAATATGATCGTGTGTGTTGTAGACATTTTCAATCTATTTGCAGTATTGTACAACAGCATAATGAGAAGGCATGCTTGAATTAATGAATAGCGCAAAACACGATTCGGATGCCAAAATATGGTGAACAACTATTTACATAAAAGTGAGGTTGTGTCTCAATATTTTAATTACCTCCAGGGTCGGTTCTCGTGTACGCGACCTATTGAAATAGTTTTTCACAATACATTGTGCTGTTGTGCATAGCACAAAAAATGCAGCGAGAGACGAAGGAATATGATTTTTCAGGTAAATAGTGATCTCACATAGTTTTTATTATTATATTTTGTCATTTCTCATTAGAATTCCTTCTGCCACTTCTGCAATTAAAGCTAGCTCCTATTGCAGAAGGAAGTCCAGTGAGAAATCAAAACTATTTGAGTGACTATAGTACTTTCAGATCACAATATGTATCTACCTGGAAAATCGGATTCCTTCGTCTCTCGCTGCATTTTTGTGCATTGTACAACAGCACAGCGTGATGGCATGCTTGAATCAATGGATAACCGAAAAACACAATTCTTATGCCAACATAATTGTGAAAAACTATTTCAATACTTTGTAAACAAATAAGAAGTGAGGTTATATTTCAATGTTCTTCCTCTAAGGTATTGTTTCGCTAATCGGTTAGTCTGTTTGGGTTGAGTATAACTAGTCACTAGTCACTTTCTTTTTATTTTTTTTTTATTGTTTTCTAATATAGTTTTTCCTTCCTCCATTGTTAGTTCACAAGATTTTTTTATCAGGTTTTTGCTCCACCAATAGGTGCTTGCATAAGTATATCTAATTTTTTTAGAAATTTCTTTTTCAAATCATGTTTTTTCTTCCTTAAAATTGATAATTTTAGTCTACTGGTCGGCACCCTAAAAAAAAGTATTGATTGCCGACTGCAACCGCTACCTATATGAAATAAGTATTGCTCAGAGAAGATTTTTTTGTAATTATTTTATTTTATTGTGGATTTATGCAACATTTGCATTGTCTTAGTCATAATTTTAAGCATAACTAGAAGTTGAAACAAGGTACTTGCTTGAGGCCGTTTACACACCAATTTTAATCTTAAGCATAAGCACAAGCCTAAGAAACGACCTTGAAAGTTGATTAATTTGAACTTTTATGCTTATGCTTATGTTATGTGGATTCGTCGCATGCTCCTTTGATAGAAGTGTTGATGATTTGTTGTTTACATGGTCCGAAAATAATATTACGAGAAAGCTTAGATGTTGATAAGTTTGATAGATAATTTTCCTCATCAAGTTTGAATGTTTCTGGATAAATACCTCAAATATTCAAGACAAAAATTAATACTAAGACTACGCTTAGAACTAAGACTAGGACTATGTAAATGTTGCATAAATCCGCCATTGAAAAACAAATGATAGGGGAAAATGATGATACAATGCCATTGTACTCACGTGACACTGCCACATGAAAGAATTCTGATCCATTCTGGGGATTTTCCTTGCAGGGGTGGACTTGAAAATCCACTCTACGATGCACACCGGCGAAAAGTCTTTCGTGTGCGAAATGTGCGGCAAAGCGTTCGCCAGACAGGTGGCCTTGAGGTGTCACAGAAGGTCGCATACAGGAGAAAGACCGTACAGGTAACTACATTCGAATTCGCCCCCGTAACTCAGATATGCGTGTTTCGAAAAAGGTGTCGAGTGTCACTGATTATATCGATTGAATTTCCCTCTTAGGTTTCTAATAGTGAAAAATTTCAAGCGCAGTGAATATCTTCTAGAAATGTCAAAACTCAAAATTCCTTCAATGTCAGCGAGAAAAATATTGTCGAATATCGAGAATGAAATCGCATATACAGGGTGTTTCCTAAGTACGAGTAGAAAATTCAGGAGCATGTTGCTGACGTCAAAATAAGAAGAAAAGTTTCTATAAATATATGTCCGAAAGTTGTTCGTTTCTGAGATACAGAGTGTCAAAGTTGAATTCTTATTTTTGTTTTTTGTTAATAAATTTCGAACTAATATCATCATCACAAGTCGATTTAAATCTCGTGGTGGCCGCTCGATGACATCGTTTGAATAATCAGCCGATTTGCCATTTCTTTTCGTGAATTTCAAATGATGAAAACCGCTAGTTGATACCTCTTGAAGAACCGGAGAAATACTCGGAATAATATTATCAAAATTTAAACTGCTAGCATGTCAAATGCCTCCTCATTCGATATCGGCATTTTGACAAAAAAGCAACCCACAATGAACAGTGAAAACTTCCAATGGAACTTCAATTATATTTTGACGTTTCTTTCATTCAAAGCCAACTTGCCTTTTCTCATTCCTGAGCCTACTCACTACTTACATTTCAATTAGCTATGTCATTCACTATTGTGAGACATAACAGCAGTTTGTGAAACCAAAATAAATGAATTATTGAAATCATAATTTCATAGATACAGGATATATTATTGAAGTGAGATTCCTGTGGTGAATATTTTCATAATAGTATCTCGAGTATTTCTCCGGTTCATCAAGAGGTTTCAACTCGCGGTTTTCACCATTCTTCTTTTCGTTTGCTCTACTTTAATATTAGAGTAGAATAAATATATAGTTCCATTTGAAATTCTGGAATAAAATGGAAAATTGTCTGATTTTTCAAACGATGCCATCTAGCGGCCACCACAGAATTTAAATCGACTTGATTCGTGATTCATCTGGAAGAACTAAAAAAACTCTTCATAATGAGACCAAGATCGTTGAATTCCGTTACACCAAACTGTAGTAATGAGAGTTTTTTCAAAGTACTATTCATCCTTCCTTATCTCTTTTATTTAAAGAGCTAACGCAAGTTTTTTTGATCGAAATGATTGGAAATCAACTCGAGAACATGAAAAAAGTGTTTTCAATATGTCTTGATATATCGAATTTTCATAAAAACCCGCTGGCCAATGCAATTACGCACTCTAGCGGCTGTCCTGGAAACTTGAAAATAATTTCCAGAGATTTCTCTTGGCCACTTTCATCATTTATATGTTTTCATACATTCAAATTTGAATCACCCAGGATGTTAAAATTAGATTGAATACTTGACAAACGTAGTAATCTTGCAGTCGGATCTAGTATTACCACAATTTTTTTTTTCTCGATCGCTTCTAGCTGTGATCTGTGCGGCCAAACCTTTACCCAATTCACTCCGATGGCCATCCACAAGAGATTGCACACTGGCGAACGACCGTACGCTTGCGAGACGTGCGGCAAAGCGTTCGTGTCGAGATCGACGATGATGTCTCACGCGAAAAAACACCACGTGCGATGATTTTCGGGGCGCCACCATCGAAAACCCCGGGAATGTCGTCGCACCGTGATGTCCATTTTTCAGTTGTTTGGAATTTCCTCAATATGTAATACCACAAGTGATACTATTTTGCCAGAAATATTCGGCGATTATTGCGACGGCTTGTTGCTGAATAATAGAGAGTTGAAGTGTTGTCATGAACGTTAACGTAAACGTAGAAATTGACAGCTACGCATGCGCATTTTCCAATTCTTCACGTTTGCGTTGTTAGTGGGCTTACGGGTGTACGTTATCTCACGTTCCTTCACGTATACCTTCATCAACGTACAATGGATTTCTCGACTTCAACAGCTGATATCTCGAAAACGGAAAAAGATATTTGAAATTTGGAGAAAGGTACTTGAATGAGATGTCATTTCCTTCTAGAAAATGTGTTCTCTGCTTGATTTTATCATTTCATATACAGGGTTCGTGAAAAAAATTTTTTTTTTCAAATGGAACCCCCTGTATATTATCGCATATTTCGAAAGAGCTATCTTTCCTGATTTCAAAGATATATACTTTTCATATATTCTATCGAGTACTTGACGAAATATCAGCAAAATTAAATATTAATATTTGGTCCAAGTTAGCTATGGTTGAAATAGAATGAGATGATGAATAAGTGAATTGACATTTGGTCAACATTCCAGTGACATAAGTGCGCGAAATTTCGATAATTTTCTCACGATGCCATATCCACTGGAACAAAGAAGAGATATTTTGGAGTGCTATTTTTCAGTTAATAAAAATCTTGCTGAAACACTTACACTTATACTTACTTATATTTAATCTTTCAGATATGACAAGACAAAATTCAATCCGCTTCTCATTATCATCATAATTGAGTTTGTGGCATGGTCTAATTCTGAAATCCCTATATTTATGTTTCCTTGAGGTATGTTGAACAGAATAATAGCTGAAACCAAACTCTCTCACTGCATTTCTTATTGACCGTGAAGGATCCTCAACAAAATACTAGATTACAAGAAGTTTCTCGTCTTCGTTGTCTTGCCTTCAAACTATTCTCTTGATATTCGACAAACTGGAAGTTCCGTCAAATTTAGCAGCCAAATACTATACATAATTCTTACTTGGTAATCTCCTGCCTGGATAACTCCTCATAAACTTATGAAGTGTTTCAGCAAGATTTTCATTAACTGAAAAATAGCACTCCAAAATATCTCTTCTTTGTTTCAGTGGAGATGGCATCGTGAAAAAATTATCGAAATTTCGCGCACTTATGTCACTGGAATGTTGACCAAATGTCAATTCACTTATTCATCATCTCATTCTATTTCAACCATAGCTAACTTGGACCAAATATTAATATTTAATTTTGCTGATATTTCGTCAAGTACTCGATAGAATATATGAAAAGTATATATCTTTGAAATCAGGAAAGATAGCTCTTTCGAAATATGCGATAATATACAGGGGGTTCCATTTGAAAAAAAAAAATTTTTCCACATACCCTGTATATGAAATGATAAAATCAAGCAGAGAACACATTTTCCAGAAGGAAATGACATCTCATTCAAGTAACTTTTTCCAAATTTCAAATATCTTTTTTCGTTTTCGAGATATCAGCTGTTGAAGTCGAGAAATCCATAGTCAATCACCCGTACGTTAACCAAAGTATACTCGAAATATGCCGATGAGTCAAAATTATCAAATTCGAGATCACCAACGAGTTCTGCATCGAGGAGTCCTCTAATTTTGACAGGAATAAATGTTCGAATCTAAACATACAACCAAAAATGACCAATACAAACCGAAAACAAAATGTATTATTACGTTATGATGACAGTGACGACCAAAGTGGCGACTTCAACTCAATTTAACGACAATACGTAAACGTTATTTTTCGTACGTTAACGTCGACGTGGAGGTCTACGTACAGTGATTACTTCAACTCTCTAATTTCGCCGAAACAATGTTTATCAAAACTTTCGAGGCGTAGGCGAAAAGTTTTGGAACAATGTCATGAGCGAAATCAAAGCAGCAAGCTGCAGTATGTCCAGTGCTGCCAGATCTAATATAGCCAAGGCGGTAGATTCGCCGTATAGAAAACGGTATATTTAGGACTGATAACGGTAGCCATCATATGACGTCATAATTTCGATGTCGCGGTCGCCAAAACGTGTTCACGACTATCTAGTACGATTTAATTTTAGTATAATCATCAAAATTTCACAATAACCCTCATTATATTTGTTTCCAGGCGATAGCCAGGTTTTAAATTCATATTTTCTTTTTTTTTTGCCCTAGTGGAGGTAGGAACTGATGGATCATCAGTTAAATGAGATTCGTCAGAGCTAAAATTCAAAACATACATCAATAGTTATTTAACCAACTAGTGTAATAATGAGGGCGATTAATGATCGAGATATTTTAGCGAAGAGAGCGCGTTAATGTTCGAGATCATTAATCGCCTTTTAATGTACGAGTTGGTTACAAAAATTTTCCGTCGACTATATTTCTCATTTCTCCTGCAATGAAGAAAACTTGGTTCGCGAATTCATCATTCATCCGGAAACTACTAAGAATCACCTAGTAGCCTTATTACTGACATTAGTGACATTTGACATTTGCCGAAATGATCAACATAGAAAATAAATTCCTTGTGTTAGAAAATAGGGATTAAAATCGTTTCGGAAAGGCGAACCCGTTAACGGAAAATCATCGATGAAATCCATATTTTCGATTTAAAGACAGATTCCGTAAGTTATAGCATAAACAATGAATGCACGCGGTGTATGTTTGGTTGCCTATGAAACAATCGTGCATTAATAGACAAATTGATCATTAATAGGGGTCATTAACGATTTCATAAACATTAAACTTACTCGTTAATACAAGGTCGACGGAAAAGATGATGCTCACCTCATGTTCATATACAGTCATAGTCAGAGGATTAATTATTTACACAATACCAGACACAAATCCATGAATAACTATGTGGAATAGTGCTGGCTCGGGGAAATACTAGCTAAAGACGCTAGGACGCAAATCTAAATCGCAATCGCAACTATTCAAATAGCGCGGTTGGTCTTTTCTGGGAATACCCGAAATGCGTCTTTATTGTCGACGTCTGCATAGAATCGACAATCATATAGTATTATCGATATCGATTAACCATTGATTATTGTGAATTATTTTACTTTTATTATTATATTCTAAATTCTAATACCTTCTTCCTACTGTTTTGAATTTTACGGTAGAATTACTAGTCTTTGCGGTAGAACGGTAGCTAGAGTTTGGAAACGGTAGATCTACCGTAAAAACGGTAGACCTGGCAGCACTGAGTATGTCAATCGATGCTTCATCACGCAAGCGCAACTTTTACACTTTTTGATCGCTGTAAATTTGTGATCATCCTAATTCATCATAGACGTTAAATGTTTTCTATCGTCATTCAGGAGCCGTCAAAAGTCAAAATTACCATAATTGACCTATCCAAGATGTTGTCAAACCATCTAAATCAATATGGCCGACTGTAGGCACACAAACTTTCGTGTCGCAATATCTTTGTTATAGCGGTCCAAGGATAATAAATATCCACTTTTATTCAAAACAGCCATTATTATTATTTGATATATCTACCAAAGATTATACTGCTGCTACGTAAATCAACAAAAAATTCTTGTGTGCCTACAGGCGGCCATTAGAAATATGTCAGAAGTCACGTGTTCTGGAATGCCAAATAGGCCCCACCAATCGAACAATCACTTTGTTGACGAATCAGCATAACTAAATGTCTTTTGGTAGGTTAGGAATTTTGTTGATGATTCCTTTCTAACTGAGGCGTGAGATAGATAGTTAACTATATTAACTGCGACAAAGACTGTTATTATATTATTTTATTTTGTATTTTATTGATTTTATTCCGTCTACTCGTCTGGTGGAATATATTGTGAACAATATGAATAAACGTTTACATTATGAATAGGTGATGTTTTATTTAATAATATCTAAACTTCTAGTAATTGTTTTTTTTTTTGTTTTCCGAAGAACGAATAACTTTTTTCACCTTGTATGGGTAGATCATAGAAAGATCCATTCCAAAAGACACAGTGCACTTAAAATGAGGAAAATCCACAAAACGTGAGTTCTTTGGGGAGACTGGAAAATTCTCTAGATTTCATTTTGGAAATTAGTTTGCACTCTGTATAATATTTATCTTTGCTCATCACCTGTAGATTAGAAAATATGCAATGAGTCCTATTTTAGATGTTAGATGATCTAAGGACATGTCAACTATAGCGAAAGTCATGGTTATTTGAATATTTGTGTTCTGTGTCACTTTCTGTTTCTGATATTCGGTGATTCCCATTTCCCTGCAAGATTCCAGATTTCAGGTGGTTTTATTAATTTTATTATTTTAGTTAGATAAACATTTCGGTTTTCTGTAGTAAAAATGGACAAAGTTTTTAAAATTGTCGAGAAAAATTTCATAGCACTGCCTCCAGAAGAAGTCGAAGCAAACAATCTAGTTCTCAATCAGGTAAGTATAGGTAAAGTTTGCTTTCAGTGTGTATACACTGAAGTACCGATATTACAATTACAAAGTATTGTCCTGTAGATATTGGACACCATTATTTCTGGCATGAAAAAAGTGAATCCTCTATTCGAGACATTGTTCATAGATAAATTCTACGGTGGCAGCTACTGGGATGGACTGAAAGTATACAAACCAGATGAATATGATGTCCATATAAAATGTTCTATGTCCGCCTATACTGACAGATTAGAGCCCAGCAACGAGCCAGGCTGGGTCAACTTGAAGTTCACCAGACGAAGAAATCCGTAAGTTATTGAGTTCATAAACAACTAGAGTATATTCCAGATTCCAGTTAAGAATAAAGTAGATGGCATGCAGCTGCAGAGCAAAGCCCGTTTTACACTAGTGATACTAAACCCGCCAAATTTAAATATCTGTGAATGATTGCAAAGTTTTGTGAACCAATAGAGCATTGTCAGTGACGTCATATGTCGGCCATTGAGCACCTGATGGGGGGACAAGCATACACATTTTCCATAAGGGTACATGTAACTTTCTTGCACATTTTCCACTAAAATACAATACTGGAGCATTTATTTATTGACATGTTTGTTAATTTATTCATCATGAATCCTGTGAGAGAAGTGAATGAGTCCAAAGAAGATTTCAAATTGGTTTATTTGTCAATTTTAAATTACTGGATTTACTAGAGTTCAGCTCTAATATACCTCATAATATACCTCAATAGATACTCATTTTGGAAGAAAATGTACACAAAATCACCAATGGGTCAGAAATAATAAAATCAAAATTCCCACACAGCTTTGTTTGTCCCCCGATCAGCTGATGAAAACGACGAGTGCGCCATGTTGTGACGTCAGCAGACATTGCTCTATTATATATTTCTGTATTAACATCCAGGATATATTTTGCAGAATTTGAAATTAATAATAATATTATTATTGGTCCAAATTAAGGTTATATTATCTTGGTGTTTGTGGCTAGTGGACCGGCAACGGCTGGCTATGCATGCTATTGATAATCAAACTAGGGCGAGCACCACTGAGGATTCGAATTTACGGGAATGAAAAATAGTCCTTGACATGCCTTGACTAAACAAGGAATGCTAGAGTCACTGGATAGTATTAGTTAGATAAGTTAACGCCTCCACAGTATTTTTGTCAAATAACCACAATGTTTTCTGGATTATTTATAAACAGCCGATTGGTCAAATAGCCAGTTTCATTGTTCATTCATGCTAGTATAATCTTGCCTATGGACTAGACCAATGAATAAGGAGGTCAGACACTTAACCAACACATCTGTGACATGACATCTCTGAGATGTCTCGTTTAGATAACAGTGCCATATCACAAACGTTCCATCGCTGCGATGTTCATAAGCTAACACATCTGTGACAACACTGCAATATCACGAATTTATCAGAATTTGTGAAAATTTGATATTTTGAGTCTTCTTGGGTGAATAATAATACATGAATATACCTTACTCAACAAAGTGAAGCTAAATTCACAAACAATCGTTACATTGCTATCAAACTATTATTGGTTTGCTTACATCTCGCCGACACACACTACATAATTTTTGATACAAATACGGAGTTACTGATATCTTCATCGTCAACCAGTCACAACAATGCATAATCAATATTATTAGATGTCATCAGAGGTCAGTGGTGTATTATCACACTATGTTTGGGGAAACTTGTCGTCTCGCATCACAGCGTAGTGTTATCGCACAAAAACATCGCTTTTCTATCAAAAATAACATATCGCAATTACATTACAAAAAATATATCACTCTTGTATCGCAGAGAACTTATCGCTGCGAACTTATCGCAGCGACGTCTCATGGATGAAACTTGAGAGGGACAAAATAACATCCCTTTGACATCGCAGCGACGACTATTCATTATAGAATGCGACATCGCAGGCTATCTACTTTATGCTTAACTGGAATATGAGTAAAGGTAGGTATGTATGGTACTCTGATAATTTTTCAAGTTTGATTAATTTGACTTTATTTCAGAAATAAAATACCAAAAAAAAGACCTAAACCATATTATGGAATTGCGTAAGTTGCTTATAATATTTACTACTTTTATATGTACTACTAAACAGGGTGTTGACTTGATGAGTATTGCTTTGAATGAATGAATTCTTAGTTGGGTGTTGGCAAAGATCTAATGATGTACTGGGTGTTCTCGTTTCTATTGTTCACACAACAGGGATCTTGAAAATGTCATAAAAAATACAGAATTTAACTTATAGCTATTTCAATTGTATACAAGGAATCTAAGATACTTCTGACCATGTCTTTATTCATATTAGAAAACATACTGAAAATCCATTGCTTACTTTTAATTGGCATTGTTTGTGATGGGAATTCTATTGGCGTCAATTTTTTTTTATTGGCCAACACTCTTCTGAATTTTAAAGTAGCAAAACTGGACTGCTTTTGAATGATTTCACAAATCAATACAATTATGAATAATTGTCATTTCTATTTGACAAAAGGTGCAAATGAATGTATTTATATCAATTATTTTAATTTTGGCAGGGGAATGCATGTTTTGGTGAACAACGAAGATTATTTGGATACTGAAAAAGTAATGTTGTGGTTTCACCAAACTCTGTCTTGTGCATTGGGAGGTGAAAAAAAGGGAAAAAAACGACATTGCAAACTATCAACAAGTCATGGTGTTTTTAATGTATGTACTAAATCACTTTCTTTCTCTCGCTAAGTAGGGTGTTACACATGTAGATATACATAAGTGTCATAGTTCTAGAGATTTCATCTTTTTATTTTCGAGAATTTCTCTAAATTGTGTTACTCACCAATTGGAAATATTTCTAATATGTCTATATACAATTCTGTCCCTGTCATGGTGTTTGTTGCCAAACTCCTCCGAAACGGAGATTTTCGTGCATATTCGGTAGGTCTGAGATTCGGTCGTAAACTATTTTTCAAATTGATGATAATTCAAGATGGCTGAACCAATATGGCGGACGAGTTTTTTATTTACGATCCAAATCTATTCAAAATTGGTATCTGGAGATTTTCGGGGTCGGAGAATCCTACTTCAAAATAGGTAATTAAAGATAGCGGATCCAATATGGCGGACGAGTTTTGTATTTATGATCCGATTCAATTCAAAACTTGTATCTGGGGGTTTCCGGGGTCGGAGATTATGAGTTTTTCTTCAAAATTGGGAAGAAGATGGCGGATGCAATATGGCGAACGAGCTTCGTAATAAATAGTAGTTTGAAAAACTAAAATGAAACACGTTTTTATATCGATACCCAAACTAAAAAGAAATAGAAAACAAAATAATAAAGGTGTGTTGATAAATATTTAACTGAAGAAATATTTTCTAGAAATAAATGTATTTAGCAAAACAACGTTTGTCGGGTCAGCTATTGTAATAGATAGTGGTTTAAAAAACTAATGAAACACGTTTTCATAGATAGCCAAACTGAAAAGAAGTAGAAAATGAAGAATAATTTAAAAACATGAAGAGATAGATTGCCGAACTAATAAGAAGTCGAAAATAAATAGAATAGTTTGAAACAATAGAGAAAAAGAAAATGAAATGATAGAACTGTATCGATAAATATTCAACTAAGAAAATAATTTTTCAACAAACGTCAAAAATGACAAGGTCGCGCGTTGATAACACTTTTTTTCAGTTTCTTACGTTACCATGGTACCTTGCACAAAACAATGCGCGAAGTAAAACAGTGCGCGGAGTACCTACTTCGCGCATTAATTGCTATGTAAAATATATGAGATATTCATATTTCACCTTCATGGTCCTCAATCGAGCAAACATCCAAGAAATCATTCATGTCTGTATGCTCAACAATAACTTTGTTTCATCTCTCGGAGCGCACGAAAGGAAATTCCCTATTATGTTCGTGGAACATCGTGCGTACCTAGGGAGGATAGGGGGAGGCGTTCTAAGCCAGTTCAACAATATTTTTTATATCAAGCTAAGCATATTTTTACTCTAGAACTATGTCATTTTACGTTTGAAGAAAAAATTTCGTTTGCAACTCGAGCGCGAACTCGTTAAAAAAATCAGATCTCTGGGTAATTCCCTGGGTAGTTATCTTTTCGCAACATTCGCAAACTCTTTTCAGTTGAGTTTCTTCAGACACGGTCCTGCTTTCACATTCCACGCCTCGGGAACCGCAGAGGAAACGCCAGTCGAGATGGACATAGATTTTGTCCCCTGTTTCGAGTTCCCCAACGATCAGTACCCCTCCAGAGGGTTCCTGCCCAACCCCTACCCCGACAAGGGGATTTTCGTGGTTTGCAAACCGGTGAAAGGGAGCAACAAGGGCTCCAGGTATTGGCGCATTTCCTTCCAAGACCAGGAAAGGGAGTTGATTAAGGGGAAGGAGAACCTGAAGCCTGCCCTCAGGCTGATGAAGGTGATGATTTTTATTAAATTAATAGTATAAGATTCTAAATGGAGGCATATATGGACACAATTTCAACACTAAAACACATTTTCATTCACTCAGATGACCGTTTATAAAAATACAACATTGACAAGTGATTCGTTCTGATGCTACGATGCTAATGACTAAACCTGCTTCAATCTTCGATCACACGATGATTACGAATACCGATGAGTCGTCGAGGCTGCTTGTGATAAAGCATTCCTTAGGCGTTCTTCTCATTTACTGGGTGATTTGGAACATCGTCGCTAACAATAGTTATTTATCTACCAAGGACGAAACACTGTCTATTATAGTCGAGTCTGAAAATTTATAGCCGAAGCCTTAGCCAAGGCTAGCAATCAGGTGAAACAATAGACAGTTTTTCGTCGAGGTGCATATTCCAGTTTTTCTTAATGACAATAATTCAACTACTAATGTACTCGAATCATTAACTTGATTCATCAAAGTATCTGCCTTTCAGCCTGCCTTTGGAAAACTGAATTTTGAAAAATTATTTCACCTCCCTCTCTTCTCCTTTGTTTCTATATTCAGTAATATCATACCAATGCAGAATTTACAAAATGCAGAAATGGGAAATTCATCACCCGTCGTTGGTTTCTGGTCTTCCATTGGGCTTGGATCGATTTATAGCACGGCTCTTCTTCGATCTAAAACATATAGTTATAATTAAATCTGAAATTTTGGATTAATTGAGAATTAAAATTATGGAAGTCACCATGGAATAAGAAACTGAGATATATATGAAAACTGTTTACAAATTCCTTTGCTGAAACCGATGCCAAGGGTTGATAGTCTCCCCTCGTAAGGGTACCTGTCATGTCTCCATTGAGACCTAAAGGTGACTATCGCAGAATGTTCTATGATATATCGCCTTTATAAAATTTGGAAGAAATATTCGAAATGAATTGAATATAATTCGTAAATAGGAATGAAAAACTCATCACCGGTTCGCTGGTTTCTGGTCTGGTTTCATCTCCTGTACAGTTTTTCCGTCGATTTAATAACATCGCTTCTTCGATCTAAAACATAGTTAGTATTATATCTCGAATTTGAAATATATTGAGAACTGAAATCATGAAAGTTACATGGAATAAGAAACTGAAAAATATATGTAAACTTTTTCAAATTCCCTTGCTGAAACGCGACATATTCTTTTATTGCTCAAAAAATGAGCGAAACAGATAGCCAACAATTTTCTCCTTAATGAGAAACACTGTATATACCTAACCCATCAGGCACCTACCCCGGTTGCAACGAGGGTTTACCGATGCCAAGGGTTGATACTCTCCCCTCGTAAGGGTACCTGTCGTGTCTCCATTGAGACATACAGGTGACTATCGAAAAATTTTGAATGATATATCGCTTTCCATAACAAATATAAAATTTGGAAGAAATATTCGAAATGAATTGAATATAATTCGTAAATAGGAATGAAAAACTCATCACCGGTTCGCTGGTTTCTGGTCTGGTTTCAGCTCCTGTACAATTTTTCCGTCGATTTAATAACACATCGCTTCTTCGATCTAAAACATAGTGAGTATTATATCTCGAATTTGAAATATATTGAGAACTGAAATCATGAAAGTTACATGGAATAAGAAACTGAAAAATATATGTAAACTTTTTCAAATTCCCTTGCTGAAACGCGACATATTCTTTTATTGCTCAAAAAATGAGCGAAACAGATAGCCAACAATTTTCTCCTTAATGAGAAACACTGTATATACCTAACCCATCAGGCGCCTACCCCGGTTGCAACGAGGGTTTACCGACGCCAAGGGTTGATACTCTCCCCTCGTAAGGGTACCTGTCGTGTCTCCATTGAGACATAGAGGTGACTATCGAAAAATTTTGAATGATATATCGCCTTCCATAACAAATATAAAATTTGGAAGAAATATTCGAAATGAATTGAATATAATTCGTAAATAGGAATGAAAAACTCATCACCGGTTCGCTGGTTTCTGGTCTGGTTTCATCTCCTGTAGAATTTTTCTGTCGATTTAATAACACATCGCTTCTTCGATCTAAAACATAGTGAGTATTAATATCTCGAATTTGAAATATATTGAGAACTGAAATCATGAAAGTTACATGGAATAAGAAACTGAAAAATATATGTAAACTTTTTCAAATTCCCTTGCTGAAACGCGACATATTCTTTTATTGCTCAAAAAATGAGCGAAACAGATAGCCAACAATTTTCTCCTTAATGAGAAACACTGTATATACCTAACCCATCAGGCACCTACCCCGGTTGCAACGAGGGTTTACCGATGCCAAGGGTTGATACTCTCCCCTCGTAAGGGTACCTGTCGTGTCTCCATTGAGACATAGAGGTGACTATCGAAAAATTTTGAATGATATATCGCCTTCCATAACAAATAAAATTTGGAAGAAATATTCGAAATGAATTGAATATAATAGGAATGAAAAACTCGCTGGTTTCTGGTCTGGTTTCATCTCCTGTACAATTTTTTCGTTACCGGTCCCTGGTTTCTTGTCTGGTTTTCTCTGCTGTGCAATTTTTCCGTTGGGCTCAAATGGTTTATTTATCATACCGTTTTTCTTCGATCTACGACATAGTTGTTATTAAATCTCGAATGTGATGAATATGAAGATGACTATCGGAAAATATCCTTTTATATATTGACTTTTCCAATAATAATAATAAAAGTACTTTATTGAACAACAATGTTCAAATGACTATCAACCGAAATCCGGCTGCTGCCAACAACGTCCATAAGAAATATCAATTTTGAAGAAATGTTCGAAATTAATTCAATTTCAGAAAGTGATACAATGAATATGAAAAGACACATCATGATGAGATGATGTGAAATAGGAATACGTGAAGAAACTCGCCATTATGAAGACTACGATTTCTGGAACTGTCCTGTAACAAAAGAATTGAATTATTATCGATATATTCATACAAGACCGAATACATTAATGTAGGTCAGTTTTTTCAAACGTTGATATTACGAAAACTATCGAATTAAGGAGTAAAGTGTATAAAATGATTGTTAAGAATTATGAGATTTCGAAAATGAAATAATGTTCCATTTGGAAAAATATTTCAAAATGGCGTTGAGCTATCATCTTCTATTCAAGCCCTCCAAATTTCGTTGTGATAAACAAAGGGTTCAAAAATTAGAAGGGGGCAATGAACTTAAGACGGGCACAGTATACAGGAATTCATAAGTAGATAGATCAAATTGATTCACACTGTATACAGAAATAATGGCCACAAAAAACTGCAATTCAGCAAAATAATAGTTTTTTTCATAACGACATAATATGTTCATATGTGCGGAATGTAAACGGAAAATCGTTACATTGAAAGTAAATTGCTGAGATACATTTTGCTTACATTTTGAGTATGCGTATGATGGTCACTACATAGTGTCGATACGAAATGTCAAATTGACATTAGGACCAAAATGGAATTATTCAAAATTTTTTCAAATGCTATCAGAGGTTTCTCCACCAATTGAATCGACCGTACACAACGAAATCTAATATGCGACTGATGAATGGCCGGCTTGATTCATTATTCTGATGACTGATTAGTTACGTCACCTTTCAAAACGATAAATTCCCGAAAGATAAAATTTCATGTATGACTAAAGGACCCCGCACTTTTTCTATATAAAAATGGCGTTCTGTCGAATTCTCTGAATCTCTGGTATATTATAGAACTCGACCTAATGATCAAATATGCCGAGTCCCAATCCGATCCTATGACCAGTTTTTGAGATACAGGGTGTTGAAGTTGAGAAATTCCCCCTTTTCATCTACCCATATCTCCAAGAAAGACAAATGAATAAGAATTTTCTGCTAGCAGTTTTTTAGTTCAACCTTTAGGTAGAAGAACCATGTACAGAATCAACCAAAGCTGATCCTTATCACAGGGTGATCCACATCTGAATTATTGTGTTATTTTCAATTTCTAAATATCGATACTACAACTTGATAAAAATTAAAAAATCGAAATTATCATTCGATATGTTCTTCTTACATGAAATTGATCAATTCTATGTATTAATTATACATGGTGTTTCGTGAATGATGATGTTTAGAAAATTAAGTTTAATGAGCCACCTCGTATCATTGGGTTTATTTAGGCTATTGATTATAATTTTTGAGGACACATTATGATGCATTTCATGGTATACAGAGTGATTTATTGATTGAAAAAATTGCCAATTACAAAAAAATATTAAAATACCACTATTTTTTTCATCACCCTCTAATTCTAGATTGTCACCGTTAAGGTCAGATTTTTTTTTCATTAATATACTAAGTATTAATACCTCAATGAGATGATTTTCAGCTACTTGCTATGACTAGTTTTCCATTTATTGAATATAATAAAAGTAATTACCCACTCAGATTAAATACCTACTGCTTCCAAAACGAAAATTTTACCTGTTGAAAATATTACTGTTACTAAGATATTTCTATTGGAGACTTGAAAGAATAACAAAATATACAGTATACAGGGTGTCCGATGAACCATCGATCATACTGTAGCCGGTGATAAACAAATTCATAACCTATCAGAAAACCACATTCTGACCTTAGCAAAAAACTCACGGATTTCGAGATATTGGAACTTTTATATAAAAAAAAAATAATTTCTGTCTTCATGTGTAGCTTGAAACATACAAATAGGAATTGAGTTCTTTTTGTATAAAAGATCAAATTGTGGTGTTTTGAAAAACAGTTTTTGATTTCCAACTTTGACATCCTGTATATCGAATATGAAGGGCTAAAATGAAAAATGGCATTTAGAAACTCATATTGTTTTTGTTCCAGGAATATATGGTTAATGGATTGACCTCCTTTTAGCGGACACCCTGTTATAAATGGCTATTTACAGAAGTATACATTCTTTTTAACATCTTGAATTTCGAACCGATTTCATCAAATTTCATGTATTGAATCATGGTGTACCAAACTTCGAATAGTTTCGTATACCTTATAAATAAGTGTCTATCAATAGGTAAAGAAAGCGAATTTCAAAATGTTTTCATCGTTATATGGAAATATACCGAGGCACAATACCAACCACGTGATGAATGCCTCCATTTACATATATTATACAGAAACACTTACCATTTTGAAAAAATACAACTTTCACTCACTCAATTGAAAATACAATCACTAAGCCGAATATAAATTCCAATTTTCCACTCTCGAATACTTTTTTTTATTATCACTTGAATCGACCACCGTACACGATGAAGTCTAGAACGAGACTGCTGATTGGTTTGATTTATCATTCGAATGACTAAGTAGTTACATCATCCTTTCAACCGATTAATTCCCGAACAAGTATGACTAATTTCGATATCGATAGTAGGGATACGGAGGGGAGTGAAAAAAATTTAAGGATATTTTATTTCATTTTCTTATCTATACGAGGTGTTTTTGAAATGAGTTCATATATTCAGCAAATCAATGAAATATAGGTTAACGGATATTCCCATGATATCAGATTTTTGCTAATTCTTCTAATCAACGAGGAATTCGATCTTGACAATGTAATAAAAATCTGAAGAAAAAAACAAATACGCCACTTCAAGCAATATGAATGATTGAACTCCGCACGGAAATTTGTACAGAGGACAGAGGTGAAATTATTAAGGTTTTGAAATATTTGTATTTATTTCATTGTCACCTGTCACCTTGTATATTAGGCTGAGTTAGGTTAGATTTTTTATAAAAAGTATTCTCCTTTTTCACGCAGAAAGGATATTTTTCCTTCTGTATATACAGGGTGATTCATTAAGAATGGAATCTCTGAACTACAGATAGTAAATACCAAAATATTAAGATTTGACCCAACATGCCTTGTAGAAATGTTACAGATACAGGGTGCTCAATATTCATCTAAATTTTTTTTTAGCTCTGGTCGAACATTTAGTTTGAAATTCTGTTTGTATTCGGCGTTGTTCGTGATTGTCATCACTGATCACTGTCTGTTTTTCCACTGTCAGTTCGTTAACTTTATAATTTGAAATTATTAAAATGATAGAAGCAAACGTCCCACTTGTGAGACATCAATTTAGGTCTATTGAAAATGCAAAAATTTTGAAATTTATCTACTCTATTTTTTTCTGAAAACTTCAACATAGGTAGGCAATAATTACTTTTCTCCAAACGATATTGAAAGTGGCTTTTCAATGACACTCAACAGGCAGAAAAGGTATACTTTCTCTGCCTAGGCAGAACAAGTTTGTTGCTATGCAATGTTCCAAGTAATGATTCGAATCAAATTGTTAATCGAAATTGACAAATGATTTTGGGTGAATACAAAATAATGGATTATTTGGACTTTGCATGAAATCGGGAAAAATTCGGAGAAACAATTATTATAAGAGTTGAAAGGAAACTAAGTTTGTCCCCTTTTGTTTTAGACAAAATATTGAAACATTCACTGGAAATAAAAGTGAAAACATTTTTTTTTAATAGACCCAGTTGAATACAAGCTATCAACTGTACATCAAATTTGAAGGACTCACAGTAATATGGATATTTTCTTTGCAGAAAATGAGAGATAAGCTGAAACATACATGTATTGCCAGCTATTTCATAAAGAATTTGTTTTTATGTCAAATACGTTTTCAACCAGAATCATTTTGGAGGGAACCACTCAGCAATGTGTTCATAACTGTAAGTTTAAATATTGCCATCTAGATTAAAATGAGCTCATTTTGAATTGATCATATTTTTTTCTTTCCATCAGATGTTGGTATATTACCAAAACTGTATAGCAAATCGCTCAATTGATTTTTATTGGTATGCTGCTGATAATCTCATATCGCATATAAAACCAGAGGATTTGGAAAACGTCAATAATGATCTTCTGAGGGTTATTTCTGACTTTCAAAAACATCCTAATGGAAGGAATGTGGTGGCCAAGCACTTCCGTAAGTCTTTCTGTAGGTGTTTTTAAACGATTATGAAGTTTGGGGCTAATTCTAATAATTTTTGTACCCAATCAACAAGAAATACTCATCAGTGATAATTATATGACAGGATTGAATTCTACTGATGCGCTCTCTTGTGCCTCGACGTGGACATAGACAGACACCCTATACAGGGTGTCTGTAAAAGGTTGGGACATGGCTCGGCTGTGCACTCCTGGGATATAAACAAGTTGATTTAGGCCAACTTACCTGTATCCAAAATCGTCTCGTTGAGTTGGTACAAGGCGTTGAAGTTTTTTTGGTAAAAAATAATTTTGCTCATAAAAAGAGTAGGCTGAGATCGATTTCCATAATTTTTGGCATGGCATGTTCTGTGACTGTAAGTCACGTTTTGAGATGTTTTTGATCATCATCAGTGACCTGCAAGTGTTTCAAACACCCATTATGTCGTACAAATTTGGTGATAACTTTTCAGAGGTCAGACTGAAATCTTCCAGTTTTTTTTCCAGAAAGATATTTCCTTCAGAAATATTTGCAAATAAATGATTCCTGATTCAAGTTGGCCTATATCAACTTGATTTTATCCCAGTCCCAACCTTTTACAGACACCCTTTATATAATAATAACAATAATATTATTGGTACCTACTCAACAAAATTGAATAAAATGAGACAATTTATCCTAAACGAACTAACCTATTTGTAATTGCAATATTTTTTAAGGAAGGAAAGCCAGAATGAAGTGAAAACACATAGATTAATATATAGCAGATTCGTTGAACGATTTTTTTGTCGAAAGTATCGAAATAATCGCCACTGAAATTGGACCAACAGATGTGGACTTACTTGCTATAACGGATACTATTGCTGATGTGGATAATGTGGGTTTTGGTCACTTTAGTGCAATATCTTTGAATAGCTTATATAAAGTTATATGTACCCAGCATAAAAATGGAAGCGTCGATGAAATTGATCTGAAACTCATCAAATCGATCTTTGATATCATAGGATATCCTTTGAGATATTTGATAAATCTTAGCTTAGAAAGAGGAAAATTACCAAATCAATTCAAAACCTCGGTTATAGCACCAGTCCCCAAAGTCTGTAATACAATGTTGGCTGAAGAGTTGCGACCTATAAACATGTTACCATTTTGTGAAAAATTATTGGAGTTAGTGGTGTATAATCAAATTATAGAATATATAAATGCCAAAAACATTCTTGTGTCCTATCAATCAGGATTTAGGACTGCTTACTCTTGTGAGACAGCCTTGCAATGTGTTATAAGTGACTGGAAAAATAACATTGAGGAAGGAAGTTGCATTTGTGCGGTATTTATTGACTTGAAGCGTGCCTTTGAAACGATAAATAGGGAAATTCTCTTAATTAAACTGCAAAAATATGGATTTACTGGAATTGCACTGGAATGGCTGAATAATTACTTACAGTTCCGTAAGCAGAAAACCAAATACAGAGACTGTTATTCGGAAACTAGAAGTAATGAATTAGGAGTGCCTCAAGGTAGTGTCCTTGGACCACTGCTATTCATATTATATATAAATGACCTAGGTAATGTATTGATGAATTGCAAAATACACTTTTTCGCTGATGATACCCTAATATATTATAGCGATAAAAATTTCGAAAGGCTTATTCAAAACATCAATCAGGATTTGAATTCATTGCATGTGAAGTTTGTGGCAAATAAGTTGAAGGTAAACGAGAATAAAACAAAATGTATGTTTGTTGGAAGTGAAATAGCTCACAAAAAATTTCTCAGTATGAATCTGCAAATAAAATTGAACAACGTAAATATCGAATATGTAGATGAAATAAAATACCTTGGCCTCATTATAGATAGACAATTGAAGTTCCACAAACATGTTCAATATACTTCGAAAAAAATTGGTAAAAAGTTAGGAGTGTTTTATAGGATAAGTAAGCATCTTTCCATGGAAACGAAATCCACCCTCTATAATTCGATTATATGGCCTCATTTCAATTATTGTAGCTCCATAATTTATACATCTGGTGTCAATCTAGATAGACTTCAGAAACTGCAGAATCACGCTATGAGAATAATTATTGGATGCGACAGGTATACTAGTATAGAGAGTATGCTCGATAAACTCAACTGGTTGAACTTGAAGGATACATATTACAAAAATACTATGATCTTCATTCACAAAATGGTTAATAAAATATTGCCTCAGTACTTGTTTTCACATCTAGTTAAAGTTTCCGATGTACATGCATATAACACCAGATCTAGAGACAACTATTATGTGAACTCTGTGTCAAAAAATTGTACGATGAATAGTCTGTTTTACCGTGGTATAATTGAATATAATGCGTTACCTGACGATATCAAGAATATACCTATTATAATAAAGTTCAAATCATCTCTCATCAAACATATAAATGATAGAAAAACCTGTACAAAATGACCTCATTCTTGAAATTTATTATGTCCATCATATTGTCGTCTTAATAGGAGTGACCAAATTTTGATCAAAAATTTGAAATCAGTATGATCATCTATTCAGTATATCTATTCATTAATTTATCATATTCATCATATTATAATTATAATATTAATTTCATTACCTTTCTGTTTGTTATCGTCACAAGGTTCCTGTAATATTTCCCGAGATATTTCCTCCATATGTATGTATTATCTTCATGATAAATAAAATCCTATCTATCTATCTATCTAAAATAATAAAAGTTGAGTTTAACAAAATTGAATAGGTACCAATTTAAAATGAGACTATCCTAAACGCACTAACCTACTTGACTTTCAATATTTTTTGAGGAAGGAAAACCAGAATGAAGTAGAAAAACATTGATGAACAAAAAAAGTTGTTGAAAAAAGTTGAAGTTTGCAGTGATTCAAACAAGGGACCATCTGACTGACAGTTGGCTACCTAAATTCCAAGCGGCAAGCATACAACAGAATAACAACAGACAGGCACCAGAGAGCGCTTCAGTAGAATTCATTCCTGTGTGAAATGCCTGGTATAATGGGCTTATATATCACAAAAAAAATTTATTTCATAATAGCTCACCGCCGCAAACCGTTTCTTGCTGTGAGCTCCCTACGTTTCATAAAAAATTATTGAAATCCCCGATTTTTCGGACCTCTGAAAACGAGGCGATGATGTGACGTCAAAACCCTAATACTGAAACAAGACTATTCCAGACAGAGATTAATGATACATGAATTACATGATTTCTGACAGAGTGAATTAGCGCGAGATCACAGTTGAAAGAATTAATTAATATATCAGTTGCCTCAGTCTCCGTCGGGGGTTTGAGATTTTCTTTTAACTATGGCGAAATGAGGTTTCTACGTCATAAGAGGGTCCGTTTTCAGAAGGTACTATTATTTATGTCCAAAAATGAAACATTCCAGTTGATTTTTCGATCGAATTATGTCGTCAATCATTATTTATGTATAAAAGGATCATTATAAACATGGTTCGATTTAAAAGTTCTACTAAGGTGTACACGTCCATTATGTAGGTTTTTATTTTTCAATGTTTGTTTTTGTTTCAGTCACAAGAAGTGAACTTCGAGACTTCAAAAATATATTCAAAGATTGAAATGAGGTTGTTCAGTGTTTGTTTCATTCTCTAGTGAAAGTCAGTGCCTTAAAGAAATGTTTTTTTTGTTCTTAATCAATGATATGCATATGCATACCTAGTACATAATATGTGTATACTACTTCTGTATATATTTCCATAGTTGTTTATTGTTACTGCAACCAATATTTTCCATTCGTTTTTTCAGTTTCATCATATTTTTAACTTTCTAAAAATGTACATACTTTTTTAACTTTGATTATGTTTGTGACGGTTTATGTTAGGGTGACTTTATAAAAACTTTTAGTATTTAAGATTCAACATTCAAACATTTAAGAATCAAGAGTCATAAGTGGATTCAGTCATAAAAAAATTTGGGACTTCTGTCATTACTGACATCCAGTTTCTGATACAGAACCAGATTTTCAAAGTTTAGTATGTTAGAAACTGGTTGGAAATAAAAATTTCATGTTCTGTTATAAATTAATAGAATGATTTATATCCCTAAAAACCCACATTCATTATATCTCCACAGTATTTTAAAAGCAAATCAGCTGCTGGCAGTAATCAGTGTAAGTATTCCTTGCCTAACAGAAACTGGCTCACTCCTTGGATCTTTGGCCAAATATGGAGGCAATAAAGGTGACATTAGTGTATTTTTGAAGAATGGTTCAGTATCCATATTAATTTTCTATCAGAAGAGAAAGAAATATTCAGGAATTAGATCCCAAGATATTTTGAATAATTTTTTAATTTCCAGATGCACACTCCTTAAAAAAAGAAAAACACTTTTTTGGGGGTAGAGGCTTCTTTATCCCCCCAAACTTTTTCGTAGTACGCCTCTGGCATCTTCTTGTGATCAAATTGTGTGGATCGTTCAAATAATTGAGCATATACGTTCTGAAACATGTTAATTTTGCATATGTTTCGATTAATTTTCATTCAACTGAAAAAAAACCTCGACTTTCTACCCTCCGTATTCCCGTAACTGATCCAGATTGGACTAGTGATTGCAATTATTTTAGTGAGTACATTTCATTGAATTCTCAAAGAATTAAATTTAAGCGAAACATGGGCACAATTAACATGTCTTAGAACGAATATGCTCATTTATCTCAAAAACGGTTCGATTTCTGGAAAAGAATCAGGAAGCAAAAAAGCCTCTAAATTGAACGATCCACACAATTTGATCAGTGAAAGATGCTAGAGGCGTACGACGAAAAAGTTTGGGGGGATAAAGAAGCCTCTATCTATACCCACAAAAACCTATCACCCTGTAGATTTTGAAAATATTCAAATAGCTTGAAATGATGATCTTCTAGGAAGTATTGACCACACCAAATTTCAAAATGAAATCTCAAGAAGTAAGCTTCAATTAATAGAACAAAATTATTGAACTTTGACCCCCTGTAGCTCCGCTTCTAGACGAGATCGGACTAATGTTTATATGAACTTATCCCATTGAAATGATGAAATCTATCTCCCATTACAGTTTGTGCCTCAAAACCTGAATCACCCTGTATATATCTAAACACCCTCATAACTATTAATTGTTGATTGTTAATTCCTAATAGTTTAATTGAATCTATAAACCCAGCATTAAGTTGGAAGTTGATCATCTTATTGAATCTTGAATGTAAAATCATGTCTTGAATGGTTTTGTAACAAACCAAAGTTTTCTATGGAGTGGCACTTATTTGTAATGATTTCATATTTTCATATAACTGATCACCACTCTACCTATTCGAAATGATTTGATAATTTTTTTTTTCATTCTCACCATCCTGTCACGTTGAAAAACAACCATAAATCAATTTTGAATGACTGAAAGTTTTGATTTTGATTAAAATAAAATTTTCTAACCTAACATTTGTTTCATTAATGCGATGATACAAATTATCATCAGTTCTACCAACCTTGCTTGTTCAGGAATCTAAGAGCCATCTATTGGATGATTTGGTAAGTAAGTGTAAGTAGGTTCTTGAATACAGGTTTCTTCTTCAACTATTACAGTTTTCTTCTTCAACTATTACAGTTTTCTTCGAGCAGATCACCACATCTGGAAAACTTCTTCCTCAAACAACTTTCGACGCTTTTACCCTAGATGGCGCTAAACAAATTCAAATCAGTATTGAAGCAAAAGGTCAGTTCGTTTGTATTGCTGAACTTGCTAAAGATTTTTTCCCCTAGTTGTCTCTAATCATGGCATGATGTGAACAAATAAAGCGTCGGTGTAATTAGCAAAGTGCGTAACTCCACAATGACTAACTTTTCAGGAGAGCAATAAAACTGAATGACTTAACTCCAAGATTCGAATCATTTGGATGAGAGCGAAAAATTCGTAACTCCATGATAACGATTATAAACCCAATTTCAATTGATTTTTATTGATATTGATCATTATCAAGCATGCATCATTCAGTATAAATGTTTTAATTACCTTTTCCAATGTGAGATTGCATATTTTTTCACTATAATAAACCAGAAGTTGATGATGTTTTGCCGAACATGTGAACAGTAGACAAGGAGATACGAATATTGCCGAACATAAAATGGCGCGTTGGAGTTACGACTTTTTCTTTATTGAGTTTATTCTGCTGGAGAAATTTATTTGGAGATTGACCGTTTTCCAACATATTCGTTGAATTTTTTCCCAACAGATGGCACAAAAATGTCATTTTGACCCAATATTGGAGTTACGCACATTGCTAATTACACCGACGTAAAGTCAAGTTCAGCAGGTAGAGCAAGCACAAAACGCTAGCACAAACGAACAGGCCAAAAGTTTACATCTGTGCACATGCACGTACAGTGGCGGATCTAGGCAGTTTTTCAGGGGGGGGCCATGGGCCGTGAGTTAATGGAATTTTGAAACCAAAGTAATTGAAACCACATGAATAATGAATGATATGTATATATATATACATATTCAATCAATATATACAGGCTGATTCACGGTGGATGGCACATTAGACGTTTCTGGTGAACCAGACAACGGATCATTTTGAAAATTCAATGGAGGGCATATTCGGACATTCTCTAGCCAACTAAAATATTTTCGACAATGCGGTGTTGCCGCTTCTATTAGAAAGCAGTAGCAACTTTGATTTTTCAAATAGAACACTCTGTATTTTATTGCATTTTTAGATTCTCCCTGAAGGGCTGATTTCATCGATGTATCACACTTGGGATCTAGCGGAAATGATTACAGAGATATAGGGTGTGAAAAATCGACATTTTTCAACTTTAGGATTTTTTTGTGTCGAAACTATTCATCATTGGTCAAAACGGCTTACATGTCCCTATCTCAACTTTTGATTAACTATCTACTGATATTTAATTGGGACATATACCGGCTGATCAAGATTCTGAATTCTGCACCACTCTGTATTTGTTTCAATTAAATGTTAGTAGATAATTGATCAAAAGTCGAGATAGGGACATGTGAGCCGTTTTGACCAATAATGAATAGTTTCGACAAAAAAAAATCCTAAAGTTAAAAAATGTCGATTTCTCACACCTTATATCTCTGTAATCATTTCCGCTAGACCCCAAGTAGGATACATCGATGGAATCAGCTCTTCAGGGAGAATCTAAAAATGCAATGAAATACAGAGTGTTCCATTTGAAAAATCAAAGTTGCTACTGCTTTCTAATAGAAGCGGCAACACCGCATTGTCGAAAATATTTTAGTTGGCTAGAGAATGTCTGAATATGCCCTCCCTTGAATTTTCAAAATGATCCGTTGTCTGGTTCACCAGAAACGTCTAATGTGCCATCCACCGTGAATCAGCCTGTATATATATATATATATATAGCACAAAGCCCATGGTTTTAACTTCATCACTTTCGTTTAGGGTGAAACTTTGCACATGGAATGGTTTTGGTATGAAAATGTTCAGGGACAGCAGAGTAGAAAAAACATCTGAAAAGACCAAAGTAATGTGTTTCAAATCTCCAGAAAAGAGATGCGGGTAGAGGATGCCTCGCTTTGAATACTTTGAATTGGTTGTTCAATTTTCCGCTTTTTTTGTACTGGCAAAAAGTATGAATTAATCTTCCTTCTATCCATCTGAAAAATTAAAGAGCTCAGCTAAGTTCTCCAGATCAAATAGGTAGGAGATTGAAATTTTTTTTTCACAATGACACCATGATCATTAAAATACATTTTTTAGTTGGAATAAACTCAGGAATGTAGACATTAAATGATTCTCGAAAATGTATTGAAGATTTATCTGCAGCTCTAAATAGTTTTGTTCATCCAAGTGAGTAAAATTTTATACACTGATTATCGGTTTTCAAAAATATATAAAAATCAATCTCGTTAATAATCTCACTGTTGCGTATGTACCAATGTACCTACTTACCATTTAATTTTTAGTATAATTTCAATTTCACTTATCACTTACTTCTTCTTTCTTTTTGAACTGAATCTTACTGTTCTGAAGAACTAATGTGAAATGACCCTTTTCACCCTTTTCTTTCAAAACCAATTGGTGTTTTTTGCGGTTTCGGATAAAAAACAACTACTTATTTCAGTTATTCCCTTTGTTTTTGATTCTTGCCGCTCACCGCCACCGGTCACCGCTTACCGCTAATTTGCATTTTACTGAAGCCCCGGCCTTGAAAATAATTATTTTTCCTCTATCGTTATCTGTTTTGCCGCCCTCTGATCTGACCGCCTGTGTCGTTTTCCCATATTCCCACTGCATACAAGAATATTTCTATATAATATTTGTATATGATAATGAATGAAATTCAAAAAAGAGTTGATTTGGCATGTTCGAGTGTATGAGGAACCATTCAATACGAAAACTACGAATACGAATAATTTTGGTTTGTATAACGTAGCTTTGGTTGCATATCCAGACTGATTGTTGAACCAATATCAACTACTTATTCAGAGCTCTGGGGGGGGCCATGGCCCCCATGGCCCCCCCCTCAGATCCGCCAGTGTGCACGTACAGGTACTTTCGAAAAGAGATCCTTTGCCACCAATTCTGTAATTTAGTGATTTCTCAATGTGACAATCTCAGAAACAAAGAAAGTTAGAAATACACGGATTTCAGATTCTTGTACAGCATATCGCTAACAATATGTCTGCAAGTTTTCAGTCCATTCTGACACCTTGAATTAGTTGAAAAAAGTACAAAGGGGTTAACCTTCTTTCTTTTTCAGACTCCAAAATCAACTTTGTCTTAGGGCCTTCAAATTAGGCATACAGGGTCCTTAAGAGATGCCCTAGTGCGGAGTAGAAGTACAGCTCTCTATCTCAAAAAATAAATAAAAAAATATTTTTGACCCACTTTTCGTTTTTTGTGGTACCTTCGATGCAAAAAAGTTTCGATCCAGTATCCAAATTTTTCTCGAGCTCGAATACGATTATCTAGGAAACTGAAGGAGATAGAAAGAAATGATATCAGATTCTTGTTCAGCACATCGCAATCAATCTGTCTGCAAGTTTTCAGTCCATTCTGACA